AAGGCTGGCTGAAGTGAGCGGAGGACTTTCCTTCGTACCACGGAACCCGATAGGTGTCAGCGATCCACTGGCCGTGTACCGTTTCCTCCCACTCTGCATCAGTCACATCTAAATGAGACACAATAGAGCCCAACGGGAAGCAGAGGCGAGTGCTAAACGGCTAAACAGGAAGGCTCTCCGGAAAAGTCACTCAAGCTCATGAATAGGTGACTTTTAAGTCGGCGGAGAGACTGCTTCAGACAGGCCGACTCCCTCAGCGCCGGTGCTAACAGTTTACTGTGTAACCGAGTTAAACATGAACCAATGATACCACGCCGGACACGGACGAGCTAATTTTAGCTCTGGGACAACACAGAGAACATTCAGCATGTATTACACAGAAAACAGCAGGTAATGCAGAACAAGGTGTACTTTTGCGGTTGATTGTTTTCTAATTGAAAGAACAAATCAACCGCGAAGTGACTCATCTGCAAGAAAAACTAAGTAACTAACTAACTAAATAAACGACGCATGTTTTTGCACATCCAAAGTGCTGATGAAGCAGTGTGGTGATCAGAGTGACGTAATCCCTCATTAAATTCACCCGGAGGTCATTTAACTTCTCATGAAAAGATAAGAGACTGTAGAAAAGTCAACAGTGAATAAAAAAAGGACACAAAAGACTTTGTCCTATAAACATATATCTCACACACACACACGAGGTGGATAGGTTGAGGACTATGAAACCAAAAGATGTCATTCCTCTCCAAAAAGGATCCTTCCGATAGTTATGATTTGCCAAAGAAATTCATGTGGTCGAGGTCGCCAATGGTTCCGGATCAGTGAAATGACCTGATAGGGCCTTTTAAAAAAAAAAAGGTCACTTTTGGCATTTGAGTGTTTGCAATGTTAGACGTGACGTGCACATAGAACCTGCAGATCTATCGTTATCCAAAACAAACAAGGGCACGAGCTGCACGTGGGGCCGGGGTCCTATTGTGCTCAGGGAGGCTCCTGCAGGATCTCTCGCTGCCGCTCACGAAACACTGCGCTCTCCGGTCAAACTAACGAGTCATTGAAGCCCTGATAAGAGTCTCAATGCTGCTTTGCGTCACAACGACGAGAGCTGTGAGCAATCGGCGCTGTGCACCTTTGCAGCAGCGAGGAGCCTTACAGAAAGAGAAAGTGGGTCGCGTGTGTGCACTCCAGATAGCGAGCAGCCCAGGTGCTAACATGCTTTAGCTTAGCATTGTCTCCAAGACAGAAGGAGACATCCTGAGAAGTACTGTGGGATGAGCAGAGGAGGCGGGTGGGGGCACGACCTTTCCCCCCCACTCGCTCGCTTGCTCTGCAGGCGCCGAGGCCAGAGTGCACCTGGAAGCAGGGAGGTGTTTCCCTCCCGCTCAGGAGGAACTACAGCTCAAAAAAAGAAAAAAAAAGAACTGACGGTGGCATTTGTTGTTTTCTGCACTGCCGTGCAGAAAAAAACAGAACTGACGGTGGCATTTGTTGTTTTCTGCACTGCCGTGCGAGAGAACGGCGCCACGAAAAAGCAGTTTCCAGAACGCCTACACGCGGCCTCCAGTGGGGAGTCAGACCGACAGGCCGCGTCACACTTTAAAGCGACGGATGCAAGAGCCCCGTCAGGTTGAGAGGAAGCAGCCTCCCGCGTCACCAACTGAACATCTACTCGAAAACAGTAAAACATCTGGACATTTTATGAACAAGGGGAGGCCGTTTCTCCTTTCCCACAACTCACCTTGTGGGCCCTTTGGCGTTTAAGTAGCGACCCACTGAGGGAGTCCTGACCCCCGGGTTGGTCACCGATGGCCTGGTGACTGTTGTCTCCCAAAATCCCTGCGTGGCCTAAACGTGACTGCTATACTATGATGGAAGAACTACAAGTAGTTTAAATCCAGCGGCATGAGATCTAGATAGATGGTCGGGGACAGAGTGCGGCGCTCTTGAGGGTCACTGACGTCACATGCAGACCAAACATCTGTAGAATGTCTCTAGGAGAGGGGGGGGGGGAGGACGACGGCTGATTGCACGACAAATGGGCCCATTCTTGTTCCGCCCGGCGGGGGTGCGGCCTCAGCAGGAGAAGTGCGCTACCGCTTGACTACCTGTGAAACACGCGCTTTGCATTCCGGGTTCCATCCGCGTAACCGTGAAGTAACACCCCCCCCCCCCTCCTCCTCCTCCTCTCCCCCTCTCGTCCTCGTCGTCCTCTGGACTGCTCGGTTCCCCGGTGGACGTGTGACGACGATAAAGTGGCGTGAAGTGAGCAGGCGCTCCGCGGGGGGGGAGAGAGAGATGGTTGGAATCCACGCGACCAGCGAGGTGCGTGAGGCGCGCACGAGGAAGTCAACTTACCCCAAAGTGCTGATGAAGCCGCTCACCGAGCCCTCCGCGCACAGAGACACGACGTCCCCGTTGTGGAGGAAGCTCGTCCTGTGCTCGGACATGTTCGCGGTGCGTGCGGGCGGGCGTCAGAAGCGTCCCCGCGTCTCCATTTAGAAACACTGCCACTTCTTCTGGTCGGGTGGGGGCGTGGCTGCGCGCGTCACGGCGTCTCCGGTCCAACTGCAGTCTTCGCGTTCCCTTCCATTCTCTGTAGATGAGTCCTTTGAGGGGTGGGTGAGGTAGGGGGGGAGAAACCGGTGTCGCTTGTTTTGTTTCTGTAGAAGAGGGCGCTGCGTTTCGGGACTTGTTGGACTTCTTCCTGTATGTCGGGCAGAGCGGAGGCTGATCTTCTTCTCGCCCACTTTCAGGGGGGGGAGAGACTGCCGCTGCTGCCAGGGCCGCAATCACACATCCACAAAAGACATCAAGGAAAAAATACACTTCCGTGTACTTCCTGTTTGATTTTTTTTGGAGTGTTGGAATGTTGCGCGTGAATGTCACGATTTCTCAGCGGTGACTTTCACTTTGTTTGGGGGAAAGTCTTTAGCACAGTCAGCACAACGGAAGTCGACGCGGGTCAAACTGGAGGTCGCTTTTTCAGTTTTCAAGTGTGACGCGGTCCCGATCTGTTCACTTGCCTCAAAGTCGACCAGCAGCCGACTTGTGTGTGTCGACACTGCGTGCTGGACGTGGAACGTGTTCAATGTACACAGGCCAACTGTGAAATGGACTGCTATCAAAATAATTCAAATTGCATACATTTTTGAAACTGGGTCAGTTTTAATTGCTTGGTTGCATCGATGTATCTACATTCCTTTAGAAGACAAAGTGCCACTCTGGGAAAATCAGGACGTTCTGGTGGACTGTTTCAAAATAAAAGCCTCTCAAAATTATCATTCATGAGACAGCTTCTGGTCAGAACCCTCTTTTTAGATCAGATGTGTGAAATGGTCCATAGTTACATAATGATTTCACTTCAGATTAATAGTGAAATTATTATACTATACTACTATAATTATACTGTGATATGAATGAAATATGTTGAACAATATAGAAAGCGCCCGTATTATTGTTGTGGAACATTTTGTTAAATAAAATAATTAATGACAAAATATTGCTGAAGGGAAACAGCTTTTCAATTGAGGTGTGAATATCAGTGTTCTCTCTTTTTTATAGTCACAGTAGTTTCTAGCATGAGATAAAAAGGTTCACACTTATTTATTAATGCTGAATGCATAAGTAAAATTGTACAGTTTGCAGTTACTTGGGTATGTTATGTTGATTTTATTTTTAATCCACTACATATTTCAGAACGCTGTAGTTCAGATTTGCACACACACACCATTCGAGATGAGCTTATTGAATACAATGGCTAAATCAGTAGTTTCCACCCTTATTCTCAGTGGGCCCTCAAAGAATTATCAATTCATTTTGAGTGTTCTGTGTTGCCCAAAAGAGACGTTTACCCTCCAAACTTGTCGTTTCAACCGATATATCTCAAAGAGGTGAAAATGTCAAATAGTAACTCAAGATTGGACATCCAGCTAAAGATTAACTAATGTATTCTTTCCTCTTCATTTAAGCTTCTCCCAACCCCTCCGATTTGTCTCGTGATGCAAATGAAAATGCTGCGTAGACATCAATACATCAGTACTACAATATCATATACCAGGAACACTCTTCAGCAGTATTCATTTTTTACTTTTGGGTAGTTTGCAATACATATAGCAGATAATACTCATGTACTTTTACTTTTACCTTTTACTAAGGGTTTGAAAGTTGGTCACCAAAACATTTCTCATTTTTGCTGATGGACAAATGAAGAAACTGGGACATTTCCATGTAGGTATTATGCTACCTACATGTTGACACAGCAGGGGGCGCTAGAGATCAAGCCTCGTTCCACGACACGTCACAATCTAATCGGGATCAACGGGTAACTCTTAACGTTGTGCTTGTGGTAAACACAAACAAATGCACCGGTAAATGTTATTTCGTGTACCTGCGACTGGTCCCTCGGTCATATTCTCAGTGACACATTATAGATGTTATTCCAATTATCACTGTTGCATTGATAGATTTCAGAAACTATAAACCGTGACCAAAAAAAAATACAATAACCTGAAAAGTCAAATAGACAAACTAGGAACAAAGGTATTTTAAACTCTGTGGAACAGATGCAATTGCTCACACTGTTTTGTAAAGTCCAGATATATAACGTTAGAGAGAGAGAGAGAGAGCGAGGGGGGGAGAGAGAGGGGGGGGGGGGGGGGGGGGGGAGAAAGAGAAGGCAATAATGTTCCCGTGGAGGCAAGGGAACGCATCGCGCCGACCTGGTCGTTTCCCCCCTCACGGCTTTTGAGAGAAAAATGGACACCTCTCCTTCATTATTAGTGGGGGTCTCTCTCTCTCTCTCTATATGTTGATCCCTCTCTGTCGACCAGCAGCTTCCCTCCCCCGGTACAATCCACTTTCCCCGCCGTGAGTCGGGTCTCCGCGGGTGGGCCGGGGCAGGGGAAAGTGGGTAACCCGCCTCTCTCTCCGCAGGGGTAGAGACATCCCTCGCGCTAGTCGTCGTGTCGTTGACCCGTTATTAGTCACCTCGCCGGGGTCTTCCGTAAAAGAGACAATCGATACGTCGGCGTAGACACAGTGGGAGGGACTTCTCCTCTCTGAGATGTGTCTGTCACACGGCGCTGCTTTGCCACCATCCACACTGTGTAAAACGTTAGACGTGTCAATGGATCCTAAACGGTGTGCTTCAGCTTTTTAAGGTCTACTGCCAACTGAGCATTTTCCACCCAAGCTCAAATCCCCTTTTCAGAAGATTAAGGGGCAAGCTGGTCCCAGTCTTCCTTCCTCTTTTTGTACGCTGATGTATTGTGGAGTACTGACAACGTTTCTACCCCCCCTTTAGAAGCTGGGGAGGTGAACGGGGCTGGAATGCAACGGGATTACAACCTGACCTCAACTCGGCCCGCCGGACCACGCGTTTGCTGCCGCCCCGCCATGCCTGTGAGGTTATAATGTCTTCGCTGCAGCACGTTATTCTACAGGAAAAGGACCAGGACGTTGAGAAGAAGTTGGACTGGAGTTACATCGAGTGGGCCGAAAATGAAGTCGTCCCCACCGGTGTGGCGAACGCGGAGACGCAGACGGACCGGGGCCCATTTCAGCACAAGGAGTGTCAGACCAGCAACCCGGTCATAATGCACATAGACCTCACGCGGACGCACTCCAAGCTGAGACATTTGTCCCTGGGGGACACCGACGCACTGGTGGCCCCCTTCGTCAAGTTTGACCGGCAGGCCCCGGCCCGTATCTCCACGTCCCCCACCTTGAGGAGAATGAGGAGCACCAGACGTCCCGCGATGGACAATCGGGATCTCGTCATGATGGGCGTCACTCCGGAGGAGCCTTCCTGCGGGAGCGCTGCGTCCCCAACGAAGACCCCGTCCCCGGCACACAGAGTGAAGTCTCCTCTCGCGGCGAGCCCCCTCTCCTATGGAGAGATCTGTCCCGATCATCAGCCCGTCTCCTCGTCCGGCCGACAGAGGACCCCGTCGTGGAGATCAAAGACTTTCGACAACGGTATCACTTCCACGGGACAGGAATGTCACAGCGCTCATCCTGCGCTCACTGAGGACTTTGGATTTCAGGTGAGCTTTCAGCAGTTGTCCCGTGCTGTTATTTATTCATTGCATCTCTCAAAACCTCCGTCCACCTTCACCTCCATTCATGTGCTTTAGGCCCGGGTGAGTTTTTTAAATTTTTTTTATTATTATCTGGAGCCCCGTGAACGAAATGGTTGCACATTCCTTTCCTGGTGGAAGTCTCCTCTCGCTCATTCTGACCCTCACCTCCTGCGGCGCGGCCGCACAATGCCGGCTTTTGACAGCAGATGAATCGGCAGTTACGTGCACTGACAGCTCCGACCAAGCCCACGGCCCCGGAGAACCCTGGGAAGCGCTCTCCTCCGGGCCCCCCCCCCCTTCTCCTCCAACACCCCCTTATTCATTCACCGCAGCCAGCAGTCACCCAATAATGGAGGGGTCAGTGAGCGATAGGGAAAGATAAAGGGGAGATCTATTCATCAGCTATTCAACCGAGCGTTCATTCTCAATTTGAGAAGCGCGGCATTCTCCTCGCACGTCACGCGGCGACCACTTAAAAACGCCGGTTCAAATCTGAAACGTCCCCGGAAAGCGACACGGCGGTGTGGTCATAGCAGCAGGAGGTGATTGATGCTGCTTGATGCCGAGGGCACGGCGCTCCTGTGGTGTGTTATTATAGCTGCAGCTTCGGAAACCTGATAGCCACACAGAGATGAAAATACATGAATGTGTACAATTATCTGAAGTGGTTTTGAGGTTTTCATTCTCCAGTAGTCGTTGATCATCATTGACTGTAGTTCATGTTTTGTGCACATTTTGCTTCAAGTTTGCTATTCACCGATGCCGTGTTTTCTTCTTTTTCGCAGGAGAACGAGCATTGTCTTAATAGGTAGGTGCACCTTGGACTGTCTGCAGCTTGTGTGTGTGTGTGTGTGTGCTCACCCCGTCATCAGAGGCTCGCAGCCACCCTCCACTCTCAAGTTTGCGAGAGCATGTTTGCCTTTCAGCAACGTGGCCCCAAAACATTTACTGTAACTGATAAGCTTTCGTTCCTTTTTGTTGTCAATGCATCTCTTGTTTCCGTCTTTGCCCACAGCAGCTCCTGTCAGCCAGATATCTGTGTCAAAGCCCTTTGTCGACGCGGACATTTGTGGCCACTGCGCGGAGCACCGTGGGTGCCGTGCGTTGCCTGCTCTCGGGACGCTGCGATTGGACCTTTTTGGTTTGAGGGAGCCATTGTTCATTCATTGTCATTCAGGTCTTTGTTAATGGAGCATAAGCCTGCTGAGGTTTTGAGAGTCCCATGGTCATGTATGGACTAGACAAACCCTCATTAGGGCTGTTTTCTCCTACCGCCACCCACACCCCATGCGAAATGGGGTCCCGGGGCTCTTCCCCTCACTGGATAATTAGGCAGCTATTGTCCCTACAATTGCACCCTGGCACCGTGCCTCTCCCAGCGACTGGGCCCTGCCAGCCTTTGGTTGGGGCCCCTTTGTTTTTCAGGGGGGCATCGTGATTATTTCTCTTGTTGTGCCGCGGGAACAAAACGTGCATAAGCGCTGTCGGTGGCAGAGAGGCTGACGCGGGGAACTCGGCCTGAGCCTGATGCCACCGTGACGTGAGGATTGTGCGGAATGAGCCGCGAGGACGCGCTGACCCGGTTTGGAGGAGTATACAGTGATCAGGTGGACTATTGTCTGCCAGCCCATACGTTGAGGCGAAGGGCCGTATCGGTTTACCTTTGCACGTATTCCTGTTCAGTGGCATCCTCGGGGCGTACGGGGGGGTTCGGCCCTGCACGGGCTCCTGTTGTGCGTTTGCTTCTGGTGTCGGCGGGGCAGCACAAACAGGGATGTTATGGGCAGTAAGAGGGAGTTATTCAAAAGAGGATATGCAGATGTAACACATGACTGCAGACAGAAACAAACCCGTACCAGCTTCTGTTCACTTTGCTTGTACTTCCGCTCCACTCCAACCCCATGTAATGAGGATGTGTTAACATTCCTCAAGTGGATGTGTCATTATTTCCCCTTTGTCAGATCATTTTAAATCTTAATACTTCTGCACTCCATTGACAGTTTTTTTTTTAACTTAGGCGATGTCCTGAGAAGGTTTAGAAGTCAAACCGCAGCTCGCTGACCGGCGGTCAGCTGAGATTCCGTGTGTGTTATTCCCGTTGACTGCGGCCACGCCGAACGATTGGAGACGTCCCGTTGGCACCGGGCGCAGTTTGGATTGTGATTGTTGGGAGTCAGACAATCCCGTTTGACTGCATTTAGAATCGTTTCACTCGCGTTATAAATGTGGTGGTTATGCCGTTCCCAAGACAATTAGTCGGCACGTTAGATATCAGCCACACAATAACAGCATCGTTCATCTACGTGTTATTGGGTCTGTGAGTTTGAATTCCAGCCCTTGCAGGTCGATTTTGCTTTCAGCAGTAATCTTGAAGGTTCAACGGCAGCAGCGGATGAGACAAAGCACTTGAGCTCTGCCTGAGGCTGAAAAGCAGGCCTGCGTTGTTCCAGCCCTGGACGTGCCTCGGTTACTAACCGCTTACCGACAGCTCGCCTCCTTCCACACAAATAGCATGATCCATTAATCAGCAGCTATCAACGCATTAGCCAGACACATAACACTTAATCGCCAGAATTTTCTGCACAATGCGGATGGTATTTCATCCCTTTAAAATGGCGTAAGGAATTTTGTTATTATCCTGTGGCTTTGCGCTAAGTCTATTCTCTTTGTGCTGTATAACATGTACAAAAGAATAACAGTGGTGCAAATGTCCAATGTCCAATGGTTTATAAATGTTGAGTAATACTACGAGTTTTTAAGCTTGGCGTGTTTGGCAACCAAAATAATAAGTGCCATCTAAAGACTGACACATGTTTACTGTTCCCTCAGGCTTCAGGAAAGGAGGCGGAGCTCCGTGGTGGTCAGCTTGCCCGGATTGGATGTTTCACCGGGAGACCTTTTTGTCTCCAATGGAGCAGCTGACAGATTAAATGGTTCAAACTTCTCTGGTAGATTTCTTTAATGCACTATATATATTTATATATATATAAATATTGCAATGGTGTGGCGGATTTAACCAAGCCGTGTTTGGCAGTAGGCCGTCCTTTGCGTGTCATCACGGCCATCAGCGTCAGGATTTTATCAAGGAAGAGGAAGTTCACTAAAGAGTTCCCTTTGTTATTTCATTTTTTTACGATGCTTCTGTAAACTGTCTGGGTGTTGACCCTTGACCCCCTTGAAATCAAAGCACGAGTTACACTTAAATGTTTCTGTTTCTGCTTTCGTCAAGAGACTGTCATTCGTCAGAGAAAAAATGTCCTGCTAGAATTCATCGTTTTAATATAATTGCATATTCTGTGTGTGTCGGTGCTTCTGATGCAAAAGCCCATGTCACTCGCCACACATACGACAAATGTTCTCTTGCTTTATCCATAACTCAACCTCTCCACAAAAAGGAAAGTCCACCACGGTTGTGACCCCGAGACACTGTTTTGTTTGTTTGATTCTAATCCCATCCGTTGCACAGCGCAAATTCCTGCTGGGTCTTTTGTTCACAATCCTTTCTTTATGTTTATGATTTGTGCAGATACAAAGAAGTCAAAGTGGCCCTTCTCAAGGCGTGGAACGGTAAGTGCTTGTCCGCCGCTTGTTGTCTCAGTGATGTGCTTCTGGTTTTGTTTGGATGCACGATGTTGCATCAGCGGGCAGTTGGTTTGGACATTGTTCTCTGACCCACTTCCCAAAGCAGATTAATGCGGTTTCTTTTATCCCTTCGGCCTCGATCCGGCTTTTATAATTGGTCAACATTTGAAATGCAGAAAGAAAGAAGTTATTCAACACCGTCATACGGAAGGATGATTATAAAATGCCACTTTCCTAGTTAACTGTGTCTTTTCCCCTCATGTTTCAGACTAAAGGGAAGTCCCACACAGGCACAGCGTCAGATATTGAGAAATATCTCTCTTCGTCACAGATTCAAGACTGGAGAAACCCTGATCTTCAGAGGTACAAGGTGAGACACGAGCACTGCCAGCAGTCAAGCCCTGAACCACCCCAACTGTTTGTAATGTAAATCACCGCGTTGTTGGTTCCGTGCAGTGACTGCACAAGCAAGCAAAGACGGGGTTTGAACAAAGACATCTAGATTTCCTGTCCAAATAGATCTCAAGTGACTCGGAGGTAATATGATGGCGGTTTCAGGGAAGCTCCATCGAGCCATTAAGTTGTGAAAGAACCGGAATTTCTAGGCAGTTAGCGATCAGCGGGATCCCGCACAGGTGTATAAACAAACACTGACACATGTTTGAGTCACTCAAGGTGGGGCCAGGTACAGAACACATGTTCCACTCTTTTTTTAATAGTCTTCTTTTATGTTAAAACCTGAGCATGGACCCGTCTCTCTGTCTGCGTGCAGGACCTCTCTCTGGCCGAGTTCCTGCAGGACCAGTCTTCCCAGGTCGGCCCTGCCTCCGACCCGCAGGGGTTCAAGAGACAAGAGGCCATCTGGGAACTCTTCACCAGCGAGTGTGTTTACTTCCTGGATCAGCTCATGGTTCTCAAAGAGGTGACTGTCCAAAACAGAGACCAAACGCATACACACACACACACACACACACACACACACACACACACACACACACACACACACACACACACACACACACACAATGAATTCACCAAACCCAACGTCGGCATGTCATGGAATTCCTGCCGGTGTGGTTCATGTAAAAAAACTCTTCGGGTTTTTCAAATTCTTTACAGTGTGGATAAAGAAATTCGATGCAGGCACAACTGATGAGCATATTCTGACATCTTTGGTGCCTTTTCAGGTGTTTTCAGCTACACTCACAAACCTGCAGGTGAGGCACTGCCTGGCTGATGTTGACTCCTGGAGACTGTTTGCAAACCTCAATGAGCTTTGCCTGGTGAGTCGTGATGCAAATAAGTAGCATGTGGACTGTTATTTTTAGGTGTGTTATGCAAAGAAGTACAAACTACAGCAGCCACCCAAGCATTAGTTACAATACCACCTGTTTGTTGCTGAAAGGTAGAAGTTAGACCGCAAACGTTAACTCCTAAAAAAAGGCCTCTACATAGGAAAAACGTACGTATTCATGAAAGCTTTATCTAGACTGGAAAGCCCCTGTTTCAAGGCAACCAGTGAGTGACAAACTGCATAAGGAGGAGGAATAATATTCGTATGTACTTCGATCTGAAACGATGTTTTCATGCCCGACCTGCTTAATGTTCTTATCTGCTGGCAGAAGATGGAAACTGGGCCTCACAATATGTTTTCACTGGATAAGTCATGTCTCTTACAGTATGCCTCTGAGTAGAGAGGTTTTGCGATGGGAAAATAAACTCACCGTAGTACTGAAGTGTATTGTGGTCTGTGACAGCCACATGACGGTTACTGGGAAAGCGGTTTCCATGGTGTCAGAGTTGTATTGTTTCTTTTCTTTTCTAAAAACAAAACAAAGGGTGTGACACGTTTGTTTTTTTTTTAACGCTCCTAACAACTGCTTCAGGTGAGCTTTGGTTTCCTGAACAACCTCCTCCGCGCCATCAAGGACACGTTGGAGATTACGCACGGCGGCGGGTCCACTCTGCCCGAGCTGCTGAGCAAAGCAAGTGTCACACACACGGGGGGGAAACGCACACAATGACACCGACACACTGACTCTGCCCACAGACGGCACGCATTTATGTTGTAAATCTCCCTCGATAAGATTTGGAGACAAGGAAACACTTAAACAAACAAGATAAACCTGCCCTAATATAAGCTGAACCCATGTGCACAATATGCGAGAATCCAGAAATGCAAACAGTGTGTATTTTTAACAAACATAATATTATTATTATCATAAAGTGTAAAAATATAAATATAAAAATATATTTCAGAATTAAATATCAATGATAGGAAATCACACATCTGACCCCAGTCCCAGTTTAATATGTTATTATTTTCTCATAAATCGTTGTGCTTCAATGAAACCACGACTGTGGGAGAGTGGGGAGCGCGTTCGTCCTCCAATCAGAGGGTTGTCGGTTCGATCCCAGGCTCTGCTAACCCGCATGTCGATGTGTCCTTGGGCAAGACACTTAACCCAACGTTGCTCCTGTAGCTGCGACTAGTGTGTGAATGTTAGTTACTGATGGGCAGGTGTCACTGTGTGTGGTTTTCCTGTCATCAGTGTGTGAATGATGTCATGCAGTGTTAAAGCGCTTTGAGTGGTCAGAAGACTAGAAAAGCGCTATACAGTCCATTTACCATTTACTTGAATAACGCATCACACGAAGCGGCTGCCGAGTGTATTTTCTGCACAGGATGATCTTTGTGCCTTTTTTATGATCTGTTTATCTGCTTCTTAATAGCTGATGTGACCAGGCAGTCTGCTTCCTGATGTTTGTCTTGTAAATCTGTTGGCAGGCTTTCCAGGAGAGCTTATGTCACTGCCTGCAGAAGTACTGCCTCAACTACTCCACCGCGCTGCTTTATCTGGACAGCCTGAAGCCCAGAGAGGACTTTGGATCCTACGTGAAGGTACCGGGGGCAGCGAATCAGCGTGTGCGCGTGTCGGGACGCCTGACACGTGAACTAGTTCGGCGCCAACGCCGTGACCTTTAGCCCTCTGACGTTCTTCTTGGTCTCGCCTACAGCCCTCCGCTCACCCTGTCTTTTTCCCCCTTCCTCCCCCTTTCCCAAGTGGTGTGAGAGGAACGAACAGTGCCGGAGGCTGCAGCTGCGCGACCTGTTGGTGGCGCCGTTGCAGAGGCTCACCCGATACCCTCTGTTGTTGCGTAACATCGCAAAGAGATGCCCGAGGGAGGACGAGGCCGCGGGCCTGCAGGTCATAACGGAGCAGGTGGACACATCTATATGTGAGAACCCCGATCGACCGGTTATTCATCAAACGCACCACTACAAACTCCGTATTTACACATAACAGGCATGTTATTTAGCGCCTGAGCCTTGCAGCTCTGCCTCATCAGCAGGCCGTCATTGACAGTGAGCACAGTGCAGGGTGGGGAGGGGGGGGGGGTGACGACGGTCGGACATTCCTCTGAGCCGGCAGTCGTGTCATTCGCCTGCGTGCGTTTCATCACCAGGGGGGTCTCTTTGGTGAAGATACATTAGGTAGTGTGTAGTTTCCGTGTGTCAAACGTTCTTCAAAGGCCGCCTCCGCCTGCAGACCTGCGGCGGTTTTAGTCTGTGAGCGAATGGACCGGCTGTGGGAATCGGGCTGCAGCGCCGCGCCTCGCTTGCGTTTTGTCGGATTAAACAAATAACCAAAGAAAGAGGAACCTTTGTACAACCGTTAAAAAAAAGAAAAGGCCGACAGAGCGGCGCAGGTGAATAGTGTAAACCTCGGCGAGGGCGTGTAGGGCAATGTCCTCTGCGTGTGGGAGGTCTGGCCTGTAAAAGCTGGGGAGTGGGGTAATCTCTCACCACACGTTTACGCCCATGTTCACAGGCAGCCAACAAGTACCACTTTATCTTCATCAATTCATCTGACGTAAATAAAAATATTATTTAGTTGTTGTTGTTGAATCATGTTGTGACTTAACTACATCATTATTTTAGTTTCTGTCTATCTTGGTAGTGAGGACGCCTCTCTTCTTCCAGGTGATCTGGAGGGAAAGGTGAAGTGGCTGGACAACTACCAGAAGGTGAAACAGCTGAGAGACGCCTTGGTGTGGCTGCCTGTGTGGGAGAGGGACAAGCGGGCCTTCGTCCCCGAGGTCGGTCTGCTCGTCTGTGTCTGTGTGTTCATATTCGTGCATGTTTGTGTCTGCGAGAGCTTTCACCTGACTGACCGCTTCCCTTTCAGAATCTGAAGCATTTGTTGAAAGCGGTGACTCTGGAGAATCTCATCTCTCACAGAAGTCTGCTGCATGAAGGGAAAGTGATGCTCTCAGGTATGTGCAGCTCCCACACACAGCTGCATCTCACACGCTCAGTGCTCCGGCTACACTAAAACCTCCCCTCCTCCTTCTGTGGTCCAGAGAACACAAAGCTGATCGACGTTTACCTGTTCCTGTTTGACGAATTCCTGCTGATCACAAAGATAAAGAGAAACAAGAAGGTGTGTCACTCCGTCGTCGGGTTCTCAGTCCGACTTGGACCGAGGAGTTTGTGCGTGAGGCCGCGCGGGAGCTTCTAACCCCCGTTCTCACTGTGCCCTGTGTGTAGCGCTCCATCGGCCCAGAACAGAATCCTCTCAGGATGCCACAGAACCTGGAGCTGGATCAGCTCCTGAAGGACGGATGCACCTTCGTGGTGCTGGACCAGCCCGTCTCCCTGGACCGAATCCAGCTCAAGAACATCGATCAGCTCAATGCTTCGGGTAACGTGGCCGTCCCTCCCGTTCATTCCCTTTGGCCCGGAGCATTAATGATATCCACCTCCTCCTCCTCAGTGTGTAAGTTGTTAATGCTTCTTTTTGTAGCGTCGGGGCTGCCTCATTCTTTCATCATCATGCACCAGAACCGCTACCAGCAGTGCATCGGCGCATTCATCCTGCAAGCTGCGTCAGAGGCCGCCAAGGTGCATCACTTCTCTGAAGTCCTGCGGGAGCCGGCAGCACGCCGACTAGCACGCAGATGTGCTTCGTCTTCTATTCACTTTGTTAATTATCTCCAAACACGTGGGCTTTTTGTAAAGTAAAACATTACTCTGGGAAGCCAAAAGTAGTTTTAAGTCTGTTCGGCTTAGTTCAACTAAACCCACTAATCACTGACATTGATGATTTTAGTTAGTGTTTTACTTTGTACATAACGGGTTACTTCAGACATGCATATTGGAGATAATTTACACTACTACTACATTTCTGAAGTTGTGTTGTCCTTGCTGTAAATGGAGAACAGTTTATATCATTTTACACGTAAGGGTCTACTTTCTTGGATTGCCTGCTTCTATTCACATAACAAATTTAAAAAAACAGCTAACTTCTGGATAATGAACTTGATATTTCTGTTTGTGAAAACCTTTCTGTGCGTCTTTCTACAGCGAGCGTGGATGTCGACGATAGAGGGCGCCGTCACGGCGCTGCTGGCCTCCCCGCAGCCTCGGGTCAAGAGCTCCTCCCTGTGGCTGGAGTCCTCGCAGATATGAGGAGAGAAAAGCAGCAGGAGCCGTCGGAAATGTCTCCCGACGCCTTGTAAATAAAGTGCACTGCCATCGTTCGTCAGCCGCTGCAATAGAGCTCAATAAATGTCTCATCAAGTCAAAGCTGTTCTCCGGTGTTTTCTTTTAGAACACATTCATTCTGATATCAGATTCACTTTTCAAAAGGCATTTCACCTTGATATCAACTAGCTGATTTGAGCTCTTCATAAGCTTTTCAGCGGCAGGAGGAGCTTGGTCAGTAGCGCTACAGCACAAATTGTGCCAGAAGTGGTAAAATTTTTAATTTGAACATTAATAATTCAATGACAAGTAGTCATGATCATCTGACTACTATTAAGCTGACTTGATGGTCCGCAAGGTAAGATTGTTTGGTCAACTAATGCTGCCAAGGCCAAGAATGAACTTCACATTTTAATTATGAAAGAATTCAACTAGAACTACAAAATACAGATTTGGATTAAGGTGTGAAATACAGATTGATACAAAAATGTAAAAGCATTATGCACTTCTTAATTGTCTATTAATAAATAAAAAACACTACACAAGAAGATAGAAACATACTGTTTTATTTATGTATGACGATGAAGTAGAAAATGAAATGGTGCACGTGAACATAAATGACATTGTTTCCCTCGACCCCCTCAGGTGAGCGGAGGTCACCCCGGCCGTACTAACACGCGGCGGGTTCGCCGCTAACAGCGAGCAGTGACGCACGAGGCTTCACAACCGCCAACTGTAATGACTCAAAACATGAGGCCGCGTGTGAGTGAGCCACAGGCCAGTGAGGTCATCATGCGTGATTACTGGCAGCAACATGAAGAAAGCAACAATCCACTGTGTTCAGAGCGGAAGGGACTTTGTTTTTTGAAAAAAGAAAAGAAAAAAAAAAGGAAAAATCGAATTTAAGACACTGACGAGTCCACACACATTTTCACTGTTCTACATCCATAAGTGTTATATAAATTTTCTATTTCATTACAAACATTCACAGAGATAATTATGACAGCCTTATCATTAATGAGCAGTTAAGTACATCAAGGCTAGAAATGCTGAAGCCTGTATAAAGTGGGTGGTCCTTCGTTCGTGGCCCGTTTCTCACGCCGATGAGCCCAGAATACAATAAGGTGCAAATCCTCTCTCTGGGTTCTAAAGGGACTGTACAGCTCGAGAGATGAATCACAAACCCTCAATTGAAAGCAGGCCATGACGCAACATCTGTGATCTGTGATCTCTCTCCGGTTTAGAAATAGTGCTTTTCCTGGGCCAATCTGAGGTAGACGTAACGGAACCAATGCAACACTAAACGAGACGAGGTCGCCGGGCCACCGAGTCTGAAGACGCTGTTTGAGCAAAAGAAGCCGAAATAGATAATCAGGCAAGCAAAAAAAAAAAGTCAGTGTTTGTCTGCTCCAGTCTTTAGACAATTGCACATATGATCTTTCCAAAATTTCCTTTGACAAATTATAAATTATAGAAAGCAGGAAGGAACTTCTACAGTGTTATCGGCCGCGCGGGTTGGAACCAGCAGCTGACAGCAGCACCGACAACAACACGCGTTCATACAGAGCATCTCTGCACACACACACACAATTCTAGTCAGTGCCATTGAGTTTACATAAGCAGCATTAAAAAAAGTTTTTTTTTTTTTTTTTTAAATGAACATGCGAGTGACTGACATGAATTCTGCATAAAAGAAAACAAGAGAAATGTGGCACAGCAAAGAGAAGTGATCAGACATGAAAGCCTCCCAGATGGTCACATGTGCGGTGATCAAAATAAATACAAATATTGTCAGACCCTGTGATTTAAAACTGAAAACTTCCCACTTAGAAAAATACTGAAATATGAAAGAAGCATTAGGTTTTCATCTTGACTGCGTTCCTGCTGCAGACATTCTTTGGTCGTGAAATAGGCTGAATACATCAATTCCAACACACACACACACACACACACACACACACACACACACACACACACACACACACACACACACACACACACACACACACACACACACACACACACACACACACACACACACAAAAGGAAACATGCAGTAACTGATCGCAGATGAATCGCTGGTGAAAGAAATTACTGATGAGGTGTTTTCTATAAATCAAAAACATGATTTGAGGCTAAAATCTTGAGCTGTAATTTACGGTACATAATGCATATTCCATCATTTAAAAATGACATTTCTATGAAAAATCCTGTCCACAAAACATCAAATTAAAGGTTTTGGGAACAAAGTATGTAATTCTGTTATTCAGTACAGACAATAGTTTCCTGTAAGAGAAGTATGTTCCACAAAAAAATTAAATATGAAACCAATTTCAACCGATTTCAACACACTTTCTTATTCACGTGTCAAATTACACACATTCATAAAAACAAAGCTTAAATCTTAAAAATATTTTTTCCAATGTTTTAGTGATCAGATCGATGTAGTCCTAAACAGATATTTACTTCCTTTACAAAAAAAGTTACCTGCATTTACGTTCGTGGGGCAGAAGTGACCACCATCACAACATCTACCTCCCCCGATCCCTCCGACAGGCTCACACGGACCTCTCACCTGACGCCAGACCTCTCAACACGTACACAACAACCACCTTGCACTTGCTAATGATTCCAAACAACGACAGAGATGTGAACGTAAAACGAGATGGACGGGGGTTTGTTCTCACTCTCTCTGCCCGCTGGCAGGCCACAGTAGCAGCAAAGGCACAAAAACAGATGCAGACAATCCAAACCAACTCCCGACACGCCGCCCACGTGTCACTTGGTGGAAACCCTTCCAGAAGAGCCAGAAGTCCCCCAGCAGGCGAGAGTCCTCCTCGCGCCGGGTCCGTCCTCAGCAAGTGCACATCAAACACGACAAAGACTCCCCTTCTCCTGCCCGCTGAGGTCGAAGGCAGGGGGCAGGTGAAGGGATGGGGGGGGGGGGGGGGGGGGAGGAGTCAGCCCTGGAGCTCGTCGAAGCACGTCTCGCAGACCCGCACGGGCTTTTTGGACGACGGCGTGAAGGCGTTCCTCATCGAGCACTCGGCGCAGAAGATGTTGCCGCAGTGTCTGCAGTGGTGCTGCGTATTCACAGGAGGAGAAGAAGAAAAGTGTTACGGCACGAAAAGGTAACACAGAAGTTCAACGCGCCGCCCTCCGGGAGACGCCGCCGCTCTCACCTTCCTGACAGTCACACTGAAGCCTTTCCCGCAGGCCATGCAGTTCTGCACCTCGTGGTCCTCGGCCCACTTCCTCGTCAAGCTCTGGCACTGCTTGATCTGGGGGGGGGGGGAAAAGGCAGCGAGGGGGCCGGCGGTTACAAGCAGCGCAACACCGCGTCCGCATGGCGACGCTACGGAGGGCCGCCTAAGACGAAGACATAAGTGTCTCACGACCGACCTGGAGCGACTGGTTCTCCCGGCCGAGCTCCTGCATGGCGGCCGTCGTGTCGTCCAGCTTCCTCCTCAGCTCCACCATCTTGGCCTGCAGTTTCTCCATTTCGCCTTCACCTTTCACGCACCTGAAGCACCACCACAGAGCAACGGGGGGGATTTGTGGGAGAGGGTTTTTTTTTTTTTTTTTTTTTAGGGGCTCAGAAAAACTAACTGAGCTCTGAGTCTATTGACCACATATCGGTGCTACTCAGCATTCTATTCTCATTTCAACTCAACTCACACTTCAAATGCTGCCTTGTACATGTGCTGCATGTAAAAACACTGTTTTCTATTGTTTGTTACCTACAAACAACCTACCTCAAATGGTATCATTTCATAGCACCAACTATAGAACTAGATCTACAGATCTGATCACAGCCGATAAAACTCCCTTTTTTGAATACCTTTGAAAGAGTAAAACCTTTGATGAAGTGCACTGTAGGAAACATGTTGCGGTTGCTTTAATGTTGACAGAAGTGGAATGTGTTACGGATGTACCTCTTTTCTAGGACTTTCCTTCTGCTTAATTTATCTGTATGTTTATGCCCTTACATCTAATTTGATTTTGAAACTTCTTGTGCTCCCGTCGTAACAAGAATTCCATCAAAGAGAGGAGATCTTCTCAATTTCAACAACCAAATCCACCAAAACCACATTAGACAATCCTGGTGACTTCAGAGTCCTGCACTGGATGTAAAAGGTTCCAATAACCTGAATGCACTGGCAGAAAAGCCTCAACACTGAATATGAATGACCAACTTCCTTTTCCTTTAACCTATTGGTATTGAAGCCTTTCCTAACCGGCTAATCAAGGACCTGTTATTTAGTAATCATTTTTTAAATTTCTTTCAGGCCGACGCCTTTAAGGGAAGCGACGTCGACTGACCTTTCCAAAAGAGCTCGCCTCTCGTCCTGGTTGTTCTGCACGGTGGCCTCCAGCACAGCGATCTCTCCCCTCAGCTCGTCGGTCTGCTTCTCCAGCTCGCCGACCCTCCGCTGGCTGCCCTGCCACTCCCTCTTCAGCGTGGCCACGTTTTCATTCAGAGCCGTCACCTGCGCCTCCATCTTGGCTACCGTCTCCTCCCCGCGCTTCACCGTCTCTTCTCTGGCCCGCTTCTCTGCCGACTTTTGAGAGAAAGCGTGGACCGCGTCACGGGGAGTGATCGGAGGGGCGACTAAGGGAGCTTTAAAGCGCTCCGTTCAAATTATTTCGGTGGAATTGGACTAGTGGGCCTACCAGCTGATCCTGGACCTTCTTGGTCTGTGCAAGGAGCTGCTCCTCCCTCTGGCCCCGGCTGTCCCTGGTGACCTGGTGCTCCTTCTGCTCCTGCTCCAGGGTCCTCTGCGCTGCCTCCGTCTGACCCTGCAGCTCCAGTTTTTGCTGGATCAACAGCTGTTTGGCTTCCCGTAACTCACCCAGCTCCTGGGGATGAACAAATGTACACTCGTAATGTCTGCATTAAAACCTTTCACCCACGGGGTCAACTTCAAAAAAACTTTTGAGCGCAGGGAAGTTACTGCTTTAACAATCAATAGAAAGACATTTTTAGTGGTCGCTTTTGGTGAAAGGTGACTGACCTTCTCCCTCCTCTCTGATAGTGTTTTTAATTGAGAAGTCAGTTTGTTGGAATTATTTTCCAGGACAGTCTTGGCTTTCTTCAGCTCCTCAACGTTGCTCCTCTCCTTCTCCAGTTGCTCCTTCACTTCACCCTGAGTGTGCGAGCATCATTTACAACACATGAGCTTAATCCCGTCAAGTGTCGTTAGTGTTCATGCCGGTGTTGGTTAATCCGTTTGTCTGACCTGCTGCTTCTGGACTGCCTTCAGTGTTTGCTCTTGCTGTTGGAGCTTCACGTCCCGTCTTTCCAGCACCTGCTCCAGCGAGCCTCGGCCCTTCTGCAGATCCTGGACCTGAGCTTCCAAACCCGCCTGATGGCTTCGGTTGGCGGCCAGCTCTTCCAAACCCAAGTTCAGCTTCTCCTCTGACGCCTAGAATCGGAGAAAGGTCCAACGTCACTCACTTGAGGAGGGGACAGACAAATAACTTCAAAGCAGCAATGCGCTTTTATGATAGTCTGTGCACCCCTCCCTGTGCTTAATCCATCTGTGTGAATTGGTTGAGAGAAAAAAAGGATGCAGGATCGCAGCTTCTGATTTCAACACAAAGTCCTTAAATGAAGCGACTATCTGTCCCTCCTACCTTCAGGTCTTGACGCAGGGCAGACACCTCAGACTCTTTGCCGTAGAAGTCGGACTGCAGCTTAGTGAGGCTTTCCTGGCTTTCCCCCAAGGCCTTCTGCAGCTCTGTCGTCCGGCTGTTCTCGGAGGCCAGCTCGTTGCCGAGCCCAGACACCTGGGCCCTAAGATTACTCTCCTCCTCCGTCTGGAGGAAAAAAGACACACACACAAACACACTTTAGGTAACACACAAAGTACTCTCAGTCACGGAATAATGAGTGTAACTGTGTTGTTCAGTGAGATGACCGTTTTTTTAACAGCGTGGATGTCGGTGTGTTCTAAAATGCTACTTGCCTTCTTCACATTTACTTCTTGCAACTCGGCCACTTGGCCCTTAAGCTTCTTCATCTCCTCCTCAAAGGACCCCGTGGCTGCCTTCAGTTGTGCCTGCAGCTTCTCCAACTCCTTCTCTTTTTCCGTCAGCGCTCCCTCAGAGTCAGAGCGCTGCTGCTCCAGCGTGGCCAGCTGCACCTTCAACCTTTTCTCTGCCTGAAATTTGCAGACAACACAGCAGGTCTTTACGGTTCAAACAATCATACGGAACAATAATGCAGCATTTCATCGGAAGCTTACCTCTCCCATCTGCTCCAACTGCTTTTGCGATTCTTTCATCGACTTGGCGATGCCCTCATTAATCTTAAGAAGCTCCTGTCTGGCCTTCTCATTCGACTTATCCTGAGGATTAAGACAGATTTAGTTGGTGAATGTCCTGGTGATGTAATTAGGTGACTTATTTGTTACTCCAAGTGGAAAGGTTGAAGATATCTAAACAACAGCTTACTGAACCTACCTTCTCCTCCATGACTGACTTATGTTTCTTCCTCTCGGTGTCCAGTACGCCGAGACTCTCTTTCAGTGCTTTGTTGGCCTTTCCAAGGCTGTCCTGTGTATTGGCGAGTTCCTTCCTTTGAGCATCTTTCTCCTGCTGGGCCTTCTGTAGGTCCGCTGCCAGACTCTGAGCTCTCCTGTCCAGATCTGCATGCTTAGTTTTCCCTTCCACCATCACCGTGTCCAGGTTCACCTTCAGAGCAGCTTGGTCCTGCTCGCTGCGCTCCAGCTGCTGCTGAGTGTCACTCAAGGCAGCTGTTTTTTTCTTTAACTCCTCTTGTAGTGTTGTAGCCCTTAACGGTGGAAACACGGGATGTGGTAGGTATGATTCATATACATATTCAATACAGTGGAGCAAAACAAAATACTGGCATGTATATGTAACAGAGCGTTACAATTGGATTAACATGCATTTATTATTTCTTTTCAACTCTGCACCAGTATAGTTAACTCACCGTGCTTTCTCGGTTTCCAGCGAAAGCTGCAGCTCCTTTGCTTTGCGTTTGACTTCTGATCCCTCCTTCTGCAGCTTCTGTACTTCCTGCTGCACCTGGTCCTGTGTGACCTGCAACTCCCCAACCTGTGACTCCAATTTCTTTTGGATTAAACCAACAGATTCATTTAGAAGAATGCCATATGTATGTAGTCACTTCGGACAGGTACATTTTAAGCCTACAACATCAAGGATTCACTATAAAGACTCAAGACAAACCTTGTTAAGCCCCTCCAGCTGCTCTATGCGCTGTTCGGAGGCCATTAGCTTGTCTTTGCATTCCTTCAGACTGGCATCCAGCTGTGTGCACTGCGCCTGTCTCTCCTTGAGCCTTTGGGCCTGCTCCTCTATCTTCGTCTGAGCCTCATTCAGCTCCTGTAGTAGGGTGAGACAAGAGAAGGAAGGAAAACACTTAAATAAGGGATTTGCAATACCAAAGACTAAGGGACAATGGCGGTGGCATTAAAAGAGCAGTAACCTGCTGTTTGTCCTGTAGTGCATGCTGAGCCGTCTCCAGGCTGTTTTCCAGGTTAGCCTTCTGTGCAGCCCTAGCTGCCTCTGCAGATAGCAGCATCTCCGTCTTTGCCTTCAGCTGAAGAAAAACGTTTTATTTCAAATGAATGTATGTGTATATATATATATATATACATACATATACGTATATATATATATACATATATATACGTATATATATATATATACATATATATACGTATATATATATATACATATATATACGTATATATATATATATATATACATATATATACGTATATATATATACATATATATACGTATATATATATATATACATATATATACGTATATATATATACACATATATACATATACATATATACACATATATACATATATATATATACACATATACATATATATATACACATATACATATATATATATATACACATATACATATATATATATATATATACACATATACATATATATATATATACACATATACATATATATATATATATACACATATACATATATATATATATATACACATATACATATATATATATATATATATATATATACACATATACACATATACACATATACACATATACATATATACATATACACATATACATACACACATATATATATATATATACACATATACATATATATATATATATACACACATATATACACACATATATATATATATATACACACATATATATATATATATACACACATATACATATATATATATACACACATATACATATATATATATACACACATATATAGACACATGTATATATATACACACATATATATATATAGACACATATATACACACATATATATATAACGGCATATGTATATATATATATATATACACACATATATATATATATATATACACACATATACATATATATATATACACACATATATATATATACACACATATACATATATACACATATATACATATATACACATATACACACACACACACACACACACACGCATATTTATTTCACAGAGAGTCTTCGGAAGCTTACCTGAGCATCTAGCTGGGCAGCTTTCTCCTTGCTTTCTGCCAGCTGGGTGGTGACCTCGGTGACGGAGGTCTCCAGGGTTAGGGCTCGGTCCTGGGCGGAGCGCAGTAGGCTCTTCTGCTCCTGGACCTGCTTATGCAAGTTATCCTGGGCTTGCTTGTTGCTCTCTGATTGGTTCTTCAGCTTGTCTGTCAACTGTGTGACCTTAAGAGACCCACATAGACGTGTTATAAGCTCCAGAATGACAAATGGTTCCCTGTAGTTCTTGTTAAATCAACGCGACCTTCTTTTATGACGCTAACTGAGATAATGGTTTCCATCAACCCAGCCTGTTTTGGTCGTAACAACACATTTATTCATCTTAGAAGGGGTGGCACGTGTCTACCAAACAGCAACATGAATTTGGACCTGTGTCTGTGTGTGTGGGGGGGGGGGGGGGGCACACACACCTGTTCCTGTAGTCCATGGTTTTTCTCTTTTAGCTGGTTGAGTACAGCAGTCTCTCCCTCACCGGCCTGGATCTTTGCACACAAATCGTCCCTCTCGGTTTCCAGTTGGCTCACAATGTCCTTACTCTTTTGCAGGAGGGCCTCCAGGTTCTGGATCTTCTGGTCCTTATCTCCAATCTGACGCAGCACCTGCTCCAGGTCATTCTACAGCCAGCACAGCAGAAAGACTATATGAGATTTTTAGTTTGTGAGAGGTCAATTTGGAGATTCCCACACAGGCAGACGGCAAGGCTTTTGTTTGTGAACGGACAAAACTTCAGAAAAATTTAAACTATGCTATAATCTTTTACAAATACGACACAATAATTCAATTACTGATATTTCTACACTAGTGAGAACTCTCAAGCTAAAAATCTATGGATGAAACTATCATCAACATCATCATTGGTAATTTGATTACTTTGTATGAGACTGTATTGGATATTATTCTGGAAGTCACAGCGCAGCCTGTCCTGACTTTACACTCTCCAATATTGTCAACGGAGGGTTGTTTTACGCTACCTGAGCCTCACGGAGTTTGCCATTTGTGTTTTGCTGCAGCGCCTGCAGCTCCTGGTGCTGCTGCTTGGCTTTCTCCAGCTGGTGCTGCACGTCTGTATTCTTACTCCCACTCTCCTTCAGCTACGGAAGCAAAACGGTCATTTTGTGCATTGGGAGGTTTTTGGGTCGTCATCCAACAACAGTTTCATCGCTGTGATCTTAATGGGTTTGTTCTTAGAAGATAATTAGATACAATATGTTTGAGTTTCATCTGATGCCTACCTGCTCTTCTGCACGGGACAGTTTGAGCTGTAGGTCGGCAGCCTGCTGCTCGCGGTCTTTTAGTTTCTCCCCCGAAAGCTGCCTCTGTTCTTTAAGGCGACCTTGCACCTCGCCAAGCTGTCGCTCTGCCTCCAGCAGTTTGGCATGCAACTAGGAAGAGCACATAGAGAGGGGTGATGATTCAGCAGGAAGGCGCAGGATGACAAAAGTAACAGCAGAAACTTATACAACGGACTCACCTGACTGATCTCGGCCTGCTGCTGAGCTCCTTGGTTGTCTTTTTCCTCCCTTTGCTGTTGCAACTGTTTCCTCTCCACCTTCAGCTCTGCATGCTTCACCTCCAGCTCCGTAATCTCCTTTTTCAACTTCGCCACCTCCTCCGCTCTCTCTGCGAGCTCCGTCTGGGCCTTCGTCAGGTAGCCTTCGGCCCCGGTGGCCCGAGCCTGGAGCTCTTGAGCCTCCAGCTCCCTCTCTCTAAGGCTGCCTTCGGCTCCCTTCTTGGCGGCCCTCTCTGCTCCCAGATGCTCCTCCAGTTCCTGGTACTCTTTCTCCTTACGTGCAAGCTTCTCAGACAGGCTCTGTGAGAACAGGGAACAGGGACATCAGGCCGATTGGCCAGAGGTTTGGGGAATTATGGGAGGGATAGACGTGCCAGAATAGGAAGGAAAGCCAGGGCGCAAATCAATGAAAGTGAAAATATAAGTGAAATCATTTGTTTTCTGACTTGGAAAGTACGCTCTCAGCTAAAGTATAATTAATTATTGACAATGATTGAAAGGATAGGCCATTAGTGAAGCCCCGCTGTAAGCACCTGTCTCCTCTACCTTACAACTAAGTTGGTCTGATGGGAGCTGCAACTAATGCAATTAATAAGCTGTGGAAAAGAACAGTTGGCTGAGTAATGTGAGGTGTGGCGTTTATAGCGAACCGTTTACCAGACAGGACTTGCAATAACGTGGTATGTAAACAGCTCTTGCTTTGGTTTAAGCTCTGGCAGTAAACATAATGTGGTTAGGAGTCGAGCGTGCCGCTAACTGGGAAGATGGACAAGGCACCTGGGCTTCACAGTAATCCTCTGCAGGCCACCAGAGCAGCTGGCCAACATTAACAACCCTCTGCAGACACGTCATGCCCTCCTCTTCTGTTCCCCTCTGCATCTCACGGCTTTGTTGCTGGCTTTCTCTAGTGTCATTGTCATTGTGATAGATGCCTGCTGGGTCTCTCCCCTCTAATCGTAGGGCTAAGGGCAAGACCATGCCCTTAGTCCTAATCCTCAGTTTCTCACCGTCTGCTCAATCACTTTTGTTTCCATTCTCCTGAGATAGGTGTCTTTATCAGATCTCAGGGTATCCTGTTGTGAGAACCTGTAATCGTCGTCTTACTAGGCCGGGACAGCATTCACAGGCCTGAGGTGAGAGGGTTCAATCTCTGACAGGAACCTATCGCCTCCATTGCTCATTGCGGATAAGACACAGCGCTGGCATGGCAGAGCCCCCACCCACCTGCTGGTTTAATTTTAGAGCTGCGTGTGGTTTTTGTATCAACGTGTCTCCGTTGCCAAAGAGGGCCCCCGCCCGCAGGGCATTGTGATGGGGCCTAAGGCCGGGAAACAGAGGAAGGTTCACAGACACTGGGCCGGTGGGCTCTGAGCTTGAGCGAAGTGATAATTAACACCACTGAAGTAAAAGTAAGTCATACGCGCTACAATGTGTCACAGATACTTCAGCAAATGTGTTTGCGCCTGCAGTAATCTGCTTCATGTCTGGGTCATAGGTGAATAATTGTGGTGTGTGGCGTACCTGGCTTTGCTGCTGCAGATTATTCAGATTGCTCTGCAGCTGGTGGATCTGTTGTGTGTAGACAGCGGCTTCCTGTGGACCTTTCTCCAGCTCTGCTTCCAGTTGGGATATGGTCATCTGCAATGTACACACGTTACACTCTTTTTGCAGGCCATTGAGTGGAAATTGGAAGAACTGAAGCATCACTGTGAAGGAATGTCAAAAAGAGAATAAAAACAAAAAAGCCAACATAGATGAGTAACAACAAGGGATCAAACAAACAAAAACAACTAGGCACAGAACCGGTAGCGTGGAAAAAAAAAAGAAAAAGGAAAGATTCAAAACTTTTCGAACATAACAACTCAAAAGGTGAATTCAGAGTGCGGAGCCAACTTGAAACAACATGTTTTACCTCCAGTTTACGGGTCTTGGAGAAAGAGTGAGTGTTGTGGAGGGATACAGTGTGTGAGGAGCAAGATAAGAAGGGGAGGAGAAGAGACACATACAAAAGGTGAGGCATAATACAACAGCAAACATTTCATCTGCAACTCCGAGCCAGATGCTACTGGGAAGAGAGAATGAATGATCAAATTCACAGTTGATACACTTAACTGTGACAGCATTGTGCTGAGGCCGCATTACGCAAACATTTTATTCAAAAGAGGGTTTCTGTATTTGTGTAAGGTTGCCAGGGCAGTGATGCATGGTCCTGAATTTAAAGTTAACGGTTGCGTTATGGATTATATGCAACGTGAATATGTCGCTGGACTGCTGGCCTCAAAAAACCCAGCATGTTGTTGTTGTTGTTAGCAAAGCCACTTGTCACATATTATCCTACAAGCTGTTATGTGATCAATTCTAAATGCATGAAAACAATGTTTAAAGATCTTTTGAAGAGATGTGGAGATGGAGAGGTTTCAGCATCTGCCATTCCAATGAAAATGCTCCCACTGTTCAAAGTAAAACCTGAATAATTCATCAGGCATTAATTGGTGAGAGATAGGCACAACACCACCTGGTGTGGCCTACCCATTATGAATATCAATCTTACAACAAGAGTTGGTGAGCGTATATGAATGACACCATAGTTGTGTAGATGACCGTGCAAACAGAGGGGAACCGGTGTGCACGTTTATGCACTTATGATGTGTACAATTTAGGGGAGGAAGAGCTACAGCGAACAAACTTTCTGCGGAACCACATTGTAAATACACCAGGCGATTTGGTTCCCCCACCTCTGAGGTAGTGTAGTCGGCCTGCAGCTGCTCGTAGCGGGATTGGAGCCGTTCAGACTCTGCTTCCCTCTCACGGGTCATACTGTCCATCAGTGTCTGGACCTGCACCAGCTCCTTCTGCAGTACCTCCACATCCTCCACTCCCGGCCGCTGCAGCTAGGGGGCAGAGCAGAGACTGAGAACTGAGTGCCACAGTGGAGGGGGAAGGGGGAGGGGGGAGGGGGGGATTTTGGGGATTTGATAATCAAAAGTTATTTTCATGGGCTTAGTTGGGGGTTTGCTGTCTTGTCTTGATTTAAGACTTAGGTAAGGGGGTAAGCAGGATCTGCCAAGCAGGCAGACACGAGTCTGACAGGATGGGGAGTCAGTTTCTGTCCTGGCTGAGGAATGTAAGGTCTGCGGGTCAACTAGAAGATTTACCAGCCAGAGGCGGGTTAGAGACACACCAACACTATTTAACATACACACTCTGTTTACGATGTTTACGTTAAGTCAGGAGTCTGCGACATCTGGATGTGACCAGATCTATAGATGCGGGCGGTGTGAAGGTCCTCCTTCTACACGAGTATAGAGACAATAGAAATATTTCCTTCTCTGTCTTTCAGGGTTATAAAACATGATGTTCTTGCTGATGTTAGTTGGTTGTTCTTCCGGCCTGTGTGCTGCCTGAACTGCTCCTGCCTTTGCAAACGCAGCGCTGATACTTGACCTGTGATCTGACAAATAAATTTTCCAGAACGAGAGAAGTTATTCGGCTGAATTTTTGATAACCCCGACCAGGCTCCAAATCTTGAACACGTATTCTTACAGATTGGGATCAAAATCTATCGAAACTAGATTCTTAGTAATATCTGAAAGGATCAACAGCATGAGGATGCTTGAAGCTCCAGAACCAATATTTGTATGACGGCTGTAACCCAATTTTAAAAGCAACACAATAAACACAAACAAATAACACAAAAGCGCACAACTGTAAATTGTTAGTCTGCAGGGTTCCCTGACACTGATGAAAGAACTGTACCCTCTGCTTTGATTCTTCAACCACACAGCTTTGAGGCAAACGGATTACATTGCATCGATTCATCAGTATTCCCTCAAACAAAAGCACAGCATTCACAAAGGTCCACACAAAGCATGACTCGAGCCCTGTGAGAAGAGAATAGATGCTTAATGGAAACTCAGCGTGAGAGCTTACCAGTTCCGTTTGCAGTCTCTCGTTCTCCTCCTTCTCTTTCTGTAGCTGTTCAGTCAGTTTGCCCAGCCTCTGGTCAGCAGCCTCCCTCAGGCTCTTCTCCTCATCATAGCGGGATTTTAAGTCTGTCATATTCAACGATTCAAAATCACATCCAAATAAATAAAAAGAAACACCAAGACTTTGCTTGTTGACGTCATCCAACTGATTGAAGGAAAACACTGTGTAAAACGCCCAACTTGTGCCTTTGGTCCATGAAACCAAACGCAGATGGAGGCAAACAACGGATAGATTGAGCATAATATTGGTTTAGTACAAGAGTACTTTAGATTTGTTAAATGAGGCGGACCCACAGACACAGTGCAGCCCGTATTCTGGCGTCACACTAACCTACTATCTCTGTGGCCAGCTGGGCGGCCTTCTGCTCAAACAAGTCTTTCATCTGCTTGATGTTGAATTTTTCTGTCTCTGCTTCATTCAACTTCTTTTCAAGCCCTGGGAAAAAGAGAGCGCCATACATTAGGGACTGATGGTTGGCATCTTTTCCACAGTTATTTTAAGTATAATATTCTCTACCGGAGTCATCTGGGCTCATCGGTCCATCGTTCTGTGGAAAGGAGGGAAAGATAGAAACATGTACAGTAAGAGTAAGCATTGGCATCATGTTCAATCAAGCAGCTGTGTAGAAAACTCGGAAAGTCCGTGTAAAATGTATTAAACAACTTGAAGGAATTACTTGCTTCAGATGTCCTTGGACTTTGTCTAACTCCTTCTTGAGCTCTTCAGAGAACCACTTCTCCTCCTAACCAGGGGAAAACAGACACGCAAAATAAGGTATTGGAATTAACCGAACATTTACAGACCTCTGCTGTTCAGAAACTTCACCTTGAGAGAAGTGTGCAAGTCCTGAACCTCTTGCCGCAGCATAGTAAGGTCTTCCCTAAAAAGCAGAGAATAGCACATTCACAAACAACAATTCTCTCCCCACAAAATCCGCCTGATCGTCATGAGTGATGTGACAGTAACAGAACGTTTATATCTCACCGCGTGGGGGCCATATGAGCGGGCAGGTCCCCGGTATCATGGAACAGCTCATAGTGCTTAAACAGCTCCTCCGCCGAGTTGTGAGACTTCATGCACTGAGGGCAGATGAAGCCCTGAACACAGAAACACACAATAGTGATCAAATAAAAACAACAATCTGATCTGCGTTAATGGGAGGAAAACAATGCCAGAAACGCCGAGCATCCACCCACGTTACCTCGGAGGTCTGATCGTGGTTGAGGTCGGTGCTGGGCTGCTCCGACTCGGCATTCTGGGAGCCTCCTTTACCAGGAGTCTGAAGAGGAGAAAATGCATTTAATGAATCGGAATGTATAGCAACACTAGATCTCTAAGCCTGAAGCGGTATTCTCCACTGTAAGGCATAAACGTTTCATAGGGTTGTGCCCAGATTAGCGACGCAGTGGTACGTGATTTATGGGAGGGACGGCGTGGCTGTGTGATGTACGGTAACTGGCTAGGCACAAAACATTTAGTGTAGTATGTGTGGCCAAATGCTCCACAAAGATCCAATGAGCATAGAAGCTTCTTTGACTTTAAAGTGTCCAAAAGACATCTGGCGAAGAATAGTCCAGATGTCTGAAGCCACAAGGCTGTTCAAGCACATCAGCAAAAGTATGTGAGGTGTCACCTGTGTGTACACAGGTCACCCTTCCTAATGTTGTGTCTGTCACACATGTTACATTATTGAAAAACCTTCAAACTCACACAAACTCCTTATAAACACAGAACTCCATTACTTAATGGGAAAAAACGAACACTAAAAAGGAGAACTGCCCAATAGAAAATGATGCCCATTTGACCATAAACATTTAATAACGTAACGGTCGTTAACTAACGTTACGAAATAATTAGCACGCTAGTACTGTAGGTTAATACAAAGATTAAAGAAATAAACAGCAATACGTATAGCGACATGTTTTACTTTGTGTGGCTTCCTAACGTTTGCAATAAAAGCCCTTGGAAGCTGCGGGTCAGACAGCTCCTGACCTCAATGAGACCTGAATGATATTGTAAAATGGATTTTCCTGGTTCCAAAGCCGGAACTTCAGTGTACACAGCGATGCCGTTAACATTGCCAAGTGCACTGTGGTAAATGCAGTCCCAAAGCTAGCTAGCTAGCTTAGCTGGCTACATTAAGTAGCTAAACTCCTATTCCCACATGAAGGCTAAATGTAGTGACAAGCTGGCAATTTCTCAAAACAAAAGGTCATCATGGACATTGTATACGCTGCATTTGCGTTAATTAGAACAATTTTGGTTCATGTTTCTGTAACCTTAAACCAACTAACACGGGACTTCCCAAATGTCAAACTGTCCGGCTAACGTCAGCGTTAGCATGTTATGGGTGGGCGATGAATTAACCTACACTGCTACAACATAGCTTGCTAACGGGACACAGAGAGCAGGTGTGTTAGCTGGCTAAATTGTGCCTGGAAAGCAGGACACGTTAGCCAACGGTTTGCTGCTGCATTACAGGTACTGGCTTGCGTTACCCCCGTCTGGAGTAACATTAGCATCAACTAACCGAACCAAGTTAGCATCGGGTGGCTAGCTGTAGCAGCCCCACACAAGGAGCGCTTGATGTGTCTATTCCTATGTGACGGCGTAGCGCGGTTTTTCCCCCAATCGAGGAACTCAGGTCGGGAAAAAATACAAAACCCGCCCACCTACGACGGACTGTGTTACAAAACATACGTCCCCACCATGAAAACAAGACAAGGCTAGGCCCGTGTCTCGCAAGGAAAAAGACTCCAGTTTATCTAAACGAAAGCGAGATCGTTGACTTCGTTGGACCAGAAGCTTACCATTTGAAGTATCCGTCTGAGCATGGCCCCGTCTGTGTTTTTATTTCCCCCTCCGCCGGCACGGAATCCAATCAGTTTAGAAAGGCAAAGTTTACGTAACGTTAACTGTACAGCGAACACCTGACCGAGCTCGGGCAGCGGCGGCGGATGGGCGGGTCGTGGGGAGGATGGGGAAGATTATAAAATAACTGTCGTCATAATTATACTGCCCTGATTAAAACGATGTCTACAATGGGGATGTCCAATGTACGTTTTATTAATTTATTATCCAAATGTTTTATGTACAACGCAATGGCACACAAGTCCAGTCACAAAGACGTTTTGCAAAAAAATACTACTATACTACTACTATATCTATAACATACACTGACAAAAGCAGTCAGGCAAGCGTTTGATTTCTGCTCATAGTTTCCCATTCATCAAGGGAGGGGTGTTTTTCCCTTTTGAAACATACATAAATACATGCAACACATCACTGAACATTCGTGTAACAATTCCTCCGACATCCAATTGTTCAAATCCAAACGCATCTGTATGTGAAGATTTCATGGCTTCCAGTAAGGCTGATTGGTGTCTGGTAGAAACTAAACACAATTTACTATAGTTTGTGAAGGCACTCTGACTAAAGCACAATTGTAATTCTCCAGGAATACAAAAAGGCCTTCTGGCCTTTGCACTTGATAATCATCGTGCCTTCTGCAGATATGTATCATTTCTTGTACGATGTGGTCTACTGTTGAACAGTCTTACTTTGGCTCATTTGCTGGTTTTGACTTGCTGACTGCAGGTCCGTTCCATGATGCGTGTATAACTACCACTCCGCTGTACTCTGTTCAATTTACCAGTCAGCTCAACACCATTGGCTAACTAACACACACACACACACACACACACACACACACACACACACACACACACACACACACACACACACACACACACACACACACACACACACACACACACAGAAAAGCTTGCTTGAAGAAGAATTTAAGTCTGCATTTCAGTGTGGGGGCTGCTATGAAGCCTGATCTACATGACATTACACAGTAACTAGTGATTAGAGAGAACACTGTGTGCAGTTGTAAACTGGTAATTGTAGAAGCGGTCATGTTGTTCACACTTATATAGCAAAGCAGACTTTGCCCTAAGCTCTATTTAGACAAAATAAGACCTGAGCTCAGGCGACATACATTTTTGCTTCCCAAAAGTGTCCCTGCAGTTCACAAGAAAAATGAATTTATATAAGTGACTAATGCACATCCGCGCCTCCTCAAAATAACTTGAGGGAAATTCATTTTGCACCGATTCATTGTGGAGGTATTACTTCCTGTGAGAGCAACAACTTCCCAAAGAAACAACCTAAATACTTGTGTGCACTGCTAGTCGAACATCCTGCATTAAAGACTAAACAGGACCCACGCTGTACAAGCAGCTCAATGAGAAAATCCATATAGAGCTGAATCCTTTTAAAAAAGGAATCGATCGCTCCATTAGCTGTTGATATTTTTTAAAAGATGTGCATCTTTAAAAAGATGGCGTTAAAAGATGTGCATCTTTTAATACGAACTGGAAAAACCTAAAAACGGGGTTCAAATCAACGTAAAGGAAGTCCATCCTGTACATAGTAAGAGGCTGCTTTTGTAACACCATCAACGCTTGAGTCTCTTCCAGACCTCCATCGCGTTGTTGTCTGATGAGAACTACTTTCTGCTGGTGGTGGTCCTATCGGTTGGAAAGATCTGACCCCTGTGTGGAGCAGACGACATAGCGAGGTGCGTTGTTGTCCGTCACTTGGGAGCTCGGGGTGTTGCCGTTGGACGGGCTACACGTCGAACCGCGGGGGGGGTCACAGGTGCTTCTGTGTCTTTGGAGGTACTCTGCATGGACGGGCTTGTGGCTCTGCAGCACCGTCAAGGCTTCGTCGACTTTGAACCACTTCCTCTTCCTTCCTGTGAAGATATTCAAGATGTGATCATCAGATGTTTGGTGTGGTCATTCTCCTTCCCCCGTTGAGTTAAGCGTAGATTTAGCATGATTTGTTAATAACACTGACATTCATAAGTAATGGTAAGAGTGCCGAAAAGACAACATGTTGCAAGACTTAGTATACTATATACTTAGTATACACTATATAAATAGTATACAACACGCACAAGAATAAAGTGTTCAGCGCACCTTTCAGCACTGAAGCCAGAGTGGAGATAGACATTCCTGACCTACTTCAGTTACAGTTTATGAAGTCCACATGTCACAAAACCGTTCTAAGAAAAGCACCTGACATAAACGCGCCATGTGCCACGTGAAACGTAAGATGGGAGTTTTTAATAATTCCAAACCTGGAATTTCCTCCAATTGCATTCCAAACAACATTATTATTATTATTGTCACGTTGAGGTACACTGGCCTTTAGTAGAGAGGGAGAATGAAGGATAAGGGGCCCAAACATTGCTCCCCTTTGTTATCAGACTAAACCCTGTCGTAATGAAGGGAGTAAATTATCATAAACACTTTTCTTCAGACTGCCAAAAGATTATCAACTGCTCACCTTTTGAGTAACTAAGTCTCAAGAAAAGCATTATATTTAAAAAGCATTCAATACAATAGGGATCACACGTCAACACAAATTACACATTACAGGCAACCGTATGTTTTATGATGAGGTAAAGTAAGCAATATATTGCTGTTGTGATCTATGCAATGATAGCATTCACGCACAAATGTTTTAATTTGCCTTAAAAACATAAACGTTTGGGTTTGATAACCTCACTTTAGTCTCAATAAACCCCTGTAACTAAACTCATTTGTTGCAAAGGGTTTTTACCCGCCGAGACATACCAATATTGACAGAATCCTCCCAGTCTTCCAGCGTTTCCGTCACTGTGAGGGTAAAGACGTACGTCCTGTGTTTTCTGTCTTTATTTTGCTGCAAAGGTTTAGTAGAAGATACTTCTTCAAATCTCAGCCATAAACTGAATAAATATAATGCAAACAAAGCTGTCGTTAACACAGGACTCAGTTCCCCTGCAGCCGCTGTGTGAACAAAGAAATCCTTCACACACACAGGCTCATTGTGAGCAGGAGGCATCAGTACAGGCACATCACAGCAGGGTTACCAGCTAAGCTGATACGAGATTTTAAATCAGCGTTATACCACGAGGTATATTATATATAAATGTCAGAATATAGAAGTTCTGACAAACTCACCTCAAAAATCCCTATGAGTCTGCCAAGTTTTCCCGTCACACCGGCCTGTTCGAACAGGAAGAAAAAGAACCAGGGGTCATTCAACGTTTCACCGGTACCTTCCACCGTGACATATTTTCTTACCGCTCCAATGGTGGCCGCTCAAACGCCGCTACTTTTAGAATTGTTGAGCTCAATTAGGACGTCTAGAACCAAGAGAGACCATTGCTGCCAAACTCATGCCCCCCTACTGATTGTATACAGTGTATCGTCATATTACACTGTTTCTGCAGTAAATATAAACATTAAATTGAACAAATGGACGGCATGTTTATTTTAACTATGTTTTCGTTTTCCAAGAGCAGTTTAACCACATTTGCAAATTTATTTAAATGTTGTGCGGAAAGCAGCTCCTAAATTTCCATTTTTTATAGCTTTGTGGAAAAATGGTCAACACACTTAATAAAAAGAATAACACAAGCGGCCGTCTAACGTGACGTTTTGAATTGTCACAGCGGTTGATTTGCAGCTCATCTATATTCAGGGTCATGTCTGGTCTGGGAGGCAGAGGATATGGGTAACTGGAAACCTTTCCCAAATGTCACTGACATACTTTAAAACTGTCAGCACACTTCTATTCAAGGCAGCGGCTCACAGCGCACTGCACTAAACTCCCAATACTGGTAATGTAATATTTATATCCCTCTGTATTTACCACAGTAAAATTGTTGATATAATCACCTTGTGTTTACTATAATGATCATGGGTGTCTTTGCTTTCAGCCTGACGAGATGAGATGGAATGAGATGAGATGTTATGGAAGGTCACAGGGTCGTAGCCTGTACGGCATCACTCTTATTCTTTCATTCTATGACAGCGTAGCTTGTGAAAGTAGAACAGTTGATCAGCTCACTCTCATTAGTCACATATTGGAATTTTTGAATTGTCCAGTGAAGTTAAACCTGCAAAAGCGGCGGTGTGGGCACTTGATGTTTCTACGGCCTTGTCTTTAAGTGGTGCTGACGAACAGCTCCATGAGGCTTTTCCGTGGATGAACTCGCCTCTTCGTAGACCTCCCTGACTGCGGCCCCACAGGGCTCCTCCTCGGGCTCCATTCCTCCTCCTGGCACGATCCACTGGTCTGGATGGCGGCTGCTGCTCACCAGCAGCACCTGCCAAACAGAAAGGCCCTTCGGGTCAACCCCGGCAGAGTTCGCGGTCCCAAAAACACGCCAACGGCTTGCCCATGTTTGGAGTCCGTCACCTCTTGGTGTCTGGTGGCGGCTCAGCGTGGTGCTCGTCATTTGTTAAACATCTCACAGGGCAGGCCAGGCATTCACTTCATTTACTTACTGCAAGATGAGCATGTCACGCTCTTTGCCACATAATTAAAACGGGGGAAGGAGAGAAAGGGACGGTTGATCAGCCCAACTTACAAGCGCGAGACACCTCTAGATGTACTTTTGCTGTATTAAGAAATAGACTTAAAGAGAGGGAGATATCTCTAAATCATGACAAAAAAAGCAACAGATGTACACTCAAATCAGAAATAATCTAAATAAAAGCCGCTAACTATGTTTAACTGACCTGAAACTACTTCAGTTTGGTCTTTTTTAAGCAGGGCGGCCGTCTAGAGATGCAGTCCCTTGACCTTAAACCCTTTTCTGGCCCCACACCAAGTTCACGTGTGAATAGTTCCCGAATCCTTTTGGACACGGGACACCGAAGTAATGGACCTCTTGACCTCGAAGGTATTTGTCACAACAAGCGGCTTACACACTCCATGTTATACTATAGGTGAACACGGCTGTCCCAGCAGGGGCTTCTCAGCGTTAAGACGCGTCTGCATTCCTTCCCGAGACCCGATAGCGAAAGCGCGGCAGATTTGTGAAGCGCACTAATGACAACATCTTCTTTGCTGTCAGAAGGTGGACTCTACCGGCCGCAAATCACCGACTGTAACGCGGCACTGTTGCCAGGTCAGGAATCAGAAAAAAAAAAAAAGAACAAGAAATCTCAGGGAATTCATTCAAACATGACTTGGACGGTCGGTTCTTTTAGCTCATTCAGTCACACAAACCGATGACTCCCAACAAACTAAGAGTCCCCGTTTTCCTGCTCCGGGTCGTTGATATTGTTGCTTGAGGGGTGATCTGTTCTTGCGTAAGTTATTCTCAACACAGGCAGCTCTGTCAAGATTTACATATGGATAACAGGTAAAGTTAGAAGGTACAAGGCTGTCATGTGTTGTTAGGCCGAACATCAGAAAATGGGCTATTTTCTTTTTTTTTAGATGCCAAAAAGGATGCAAAAGAATCATTTCTTGAGGCATTCATGCTACAGTGAATTCCTAATTTAAAAGTAATTAAGCAACAGTTTTATGTTTTGTTGCCTCACAACATTTAGTGCAAGTAGATTTAAGTCGGCTTTTATGACAATAATGTCAAAGTAAAACAATCTGACCGCTACAAAACCATCTCAATGAAATCTAAATGTGAAATAGCAGCGTTGCACTGTATGTGACATTGATGAGGTGTGAAGAGTTTTCACCCGGGGGCACCGGGGGAGGGGGGGTGCTGTAGAAACACTGGTAGCTGTCTCACTGACACAAATCCACACAAACACAATGTAGGCACTTCAAGCAGCTACACACAAACAACAACAAAAAGCCTTCAAAAAACACTCGATCAGCAGTCGCCTCTCTGTATGAAAAGAGGAGAGCTTAGTGGAGGATGTTGATGACCCCGATGGGGATGAATAGTTCGCCACATAAAGTGAGGCGTATGCAATCGGAGCGTGAATGGTGAGAAGATCAGCGTGGCATGTGATGTGAGACCTTTCCATCCTCCTCCGTTGCAATCAACAATAATCAAAGTGACTTTCAACACATGTCAGTCAGCACTTTGTCCCTGACACCCAGAAGAGAGAGAGGGTGTGTGATGGAAATGGGGGGGGGGGGGGGGGCAGGAAAGCAAATCTGTCAGGGTGCAGCAAGGGCCTCCACCTTGTTTCTATAAATTGCAGCTTGGTGTTTAGAACATGGTGCAAGCCAACCGGCCCCCGGTACCTCCCCCCCCATCACATGTTTTCCTCAGAGGGGCCCACGTCACTGGGGAAACACAATCAGTTGAACCCTAACCCACAATGCACAACTTCCTCCACATTAATGGAGATGATAATAATCAGAAGCATCAAATTAAAATAATGCATGTTCTGGATCAGTGATTCTCAACTGGTGGGTCGCGGGCCTTTGCCTGGGAAAATAAAAATTAGAATTAACAGCTGGCTGTTTTGTTTTTTCATTAAACTTGTTTTTGTGTCGGCATGCGTATTCTGTCTCCATACAATCTCAGGTTCAAACTGCATCATATTTTCATTAAATAAAGTTGAGAACTCGATTTGGGTCGCGGCTCGTCATCAAGGGGTGATGGTGGGTCCGGGAGCCAGACCAGTTGAGAACCACTGTTCTAGATAATGACTACGTGCTCCTTTTTAAGAGTTAACATTAGCGGCACAATGTTCAAGGCTGATCATTTGTAATGTAAAGTGTGCCAATAATATATATCACCATTTTAAATCATCTACCAGCTCTAAAATTAGCTGGCAGGATGCAGTTGGTCTGAATATTTGAGGTAACATATCCCGATCGACTGTCGACTGCATGTTTGAGTGGGTGTGTACAAGCTGAGCGAATGTCCTGTGCACACTCATTTTTCTGCAAGACTGATAATTTACCAGCTACACAACAATTAGTGAGGCAATTATTGGAACGCTCAATTGTGTGAGAAGCGCAGCAGCGACAGCGAGCAGGAGCTGCTTGGTGCCTGAGCAGAGGCTTGGTGATCCCAGTGTGTTGTTGAGATGGAGATTTACCAGTTCAACAACCCCCCATCAGCTGATGTCAATGCAAGTTAGAGAACAAACACCAACATGTGATCTAAAAGGCTCAGGCGCAACATTGAGGAACTGGCCAAACAAAATGGCCAATTATTGAAGATGCAGCGAGGTCAATGACGACACCAGCTCACGCTGCCAGCGCACAACCAGGGGGCCTTGTGCTGCGAGTTACATCTCCAGCACAGGAAATGAAGACGAGGCCCCCTGCTGAGAGCCGGTTACTATCAGTGGCAGCTTGTAACACCCTTTTTTTCTCTGCATTAGGTCAAATATTTTGGATTTCAGCCATGGTGTGTTCACCTCTGACCAACAGGTCAAATTAAAATAAAGTCCTGAGGCTCCTATGGTTAGGGTCCATTGTGGAGCACGTGACGCCGCGCTTACCTCGTCCTCTTCTTCGTCTTTAAAACACAAACACGCCGCTCTTCTCTTGAACCCCTCGCCATCGTAAATCCGGGTCTGGTTGGGCTTAAACTTCATCATTTATGTTGCCAATCGGTCGAGTTCGTTTCTCTTTGTTTTAAGGTAAAGAGGAAGTGGGGGGGGTTGGGGGGGTCTGGATTCAACCAGACGCCGAAGAAGAAGTGTCTGTCCAAGAGACAATCCCACGGGAATATGCTCCCAACTTCGAGCCCCCCCGGCCGGCTATTAACGCGAGCGCCGTGCTCATTCATCCCCGAGCTGCGTCAGCTGGCTGGAGGCTGCAGGCCGCGTCCACGCGCACGCCCGCGCGCCGCCCCCCCTGCGGCCGGAGGTGTCACCAGCTGATCTGAGATCTGCGCGACGCACTGCCGTACTTGCATAAAGTGTATCATAAAGTGCACGTGGCGGCTCGTGAGAAGTTTTAAAAGAAGACGTTTATTTCAGGAAGCATTCTTGAAAATTATTCTAAAATAATTCCGGTTGTGCACATTGAACTTGTTTTGTTTGGAAGGTCACAAAAAAAAACAGAAGCAGATACGTTGACCCAACGTTTACATAAAACGTAGGAACTCTAACCCCCTTGCCCTGCATTTGCACAGCATTTATTTCAGAAATGAAATGGATTTAAAGCCGTTGAAAGTTAAGGCAGAATAAGCAAAACGAGGCTCGGGTCATCAGCAGCCTGGAGGAAACGTTCACTGGTTGTTTACAGCAGAATTCCTCTTGAAGAGCAGCTTCTCGTGGAGCTGCTGCTGGTGAAGCTCAAGGGTTCTCTCTAGTGGAGGTGGACAGTCTGTAAACCACAGGATTGTTCAAGGGAGGACAGGTTTACACGTGTTATAGAGAGACAACCATGTCTGATTGGCGTATCACAGGGAGACTTTCTGCAGAGTAATTGCTCAAATGACAGCATTGAAGGCGGAATCACTAAGAGTACAAATAAGCATGACTTTTATTTAACATTGTCATTTTTTATGACCACTGCAGTAGCTTTCAGTGCATAAAGAGTCAACTTCAGTCTCATTAACATGGGAAATAGTGAAATCATTGGTAAAGAGATGTGCTTTGTCCATGTAATAGACCGGTGTCTATGGACAACATGGACATATTTAGCACACAGCAGGACTTGCAATCTCAAACTTCAGACATTAATCAACTCAACTGGGAAAGAACCGATTAATTCAATTACATTTCTTTCACTAGTTAAGGTCATACTAGATTTAACAGGTTATCATTGCTTAGTACAAACTTACATATTCTCAAATTCCAACCATACACGTACATCCTTGAAGTAAAGTAAAGCCTCTCAGCAGTTGAAAGTAACAAATGTATAAAAATGATTTTCCAATTCATACCCACATATCAATTTATACTGTACTTGTCTCATCCACTACATTTTTTAGGAACTATTATTTTGTTGCTGGTTTCTTTAATACATTCATTCAAGTGACTGAGAGACCAACTCAGCCACGATGAATCAGTCTTTTTCCGTCTGCACACACAAACCAAATCCAGAGAAAAGATCTAATCAGGAAAAATAAAGGACATACCTGTCCTGTAAAATAATTATACAAAAGACCATTTACTTATGAACAGATTTTATTTACATAACAAAATATGCGGATGGGCTTTCATAGCATTTTCTTCCCATAATATTAGAAACAAACAGTGAATTGAATACAGATTTTTCAGCCAAAAAACAATAAACTTGAGAGTCAAATCCTTCTTTGAGCTTTTGAAGTTTCATCCCGTAAAAACTAAGCATCTCCTCTCACCAGTCTCTCAACTCCAAACGCGTCCTATTCAACAAACTCCTGCCATAAAACAAATGACAGATTAAATGTAACCAACCACGTTGTAAAAAAAAAAAAAAAAATGCCGTTGGAAGAAGTGAACCACAGTGTTGTAGAAGCACTGATGACACACAAGGGGAAGCAGAAAGGTTAGTACATGCATATAAAAAGGATGGGTTTGGCAATAAAACGCATGCTAAATTGAACACCGGCAATGTAAACCCTCCCCAAGCCTACAAAAAACGTTAATGTGACAGGCTTAGTTTACTTCTTAGTCATTGTTTCGTATTTAACACAGCCAGACGTGACTTAAAAGGAGATATAGGACTACGATAGTTGAATGCATCCCGGCTACATCGCACAGAACTCTATTCAGCCTCCAGTGGAACGTCTGCATGTGATGGGCTAGCAGCAGTTAGCTGCTTTTAATAAACAAGTGACAAGAAAACTAAAATTAAAAGAAACGTAAAAAGTATACAATATTAGCCCCCCTCCAAACCCGTTCCACTGCTCCAGTACCTCCAAACCTACCCAAACTCTCCCAAAATGAGAACTGGATGACCCCTTTAAACCTTTAACTTGCTTGTTGAAGCTTCAGTTGGCGAATGCTTTTTAAAAGCCAATGTGCAAAGGAAGCCTGGTGCGTGTAGACCTCTGACCCGGCATTACATGGTAGTGGGTTCGGACAAAAACAAGTCCTTTCATAGTCAGTCTTTAAATCACCAATTATCAGTCATTGCTTTTTTCATTTACAATATATTCAGGTTTATAATATATGTGCAAGTATACTTAAGCATGTGTCCTTTAAATGAAGTAGGAAGAGGTTTTGGCAGAACATAAGTTTTGTTCACATGATTTCCACTCGCTGGGCTGCTCTACAAGTCGTTTTGGTTTCCGGCATAAAGCCTGGTCCATGACTTGGCTGTGAAGTAAAAAAACAAAAACAGAAAATCAACATAAGTTATGTATATCATACCTGTTTGGCACTTTTACAAAGACAGGTTTATTGATTGACCCCTGAACCTGTAAGTGTATTTACACTGAATATCCCTGCGACCTAAATAGCAGAGGGCAACAAGAGCTGGATGGACAGGCGTGACAGAACCAGGCGGTAGCTCTCACCGGTTTCTATGGCTTCAACTTCACTGGACTTCCACTTCTCTGCGACGTCATTTGCAAGGGGATCATCCGGGTTGGGGGCGCTTAGCAACGCCTGGATTGACAGCAGCACTGTGCGAATCTGCAGAGCCGGCGACCATTTATCTGAGGGATCATTAAGAATAAAAAGACATTAAAAAAATCGAGACAGAGAAAAAAAAAAGCAGGAGAGGGAATAGTGAGTTTTACGCTGCAGGGGGGATTAAAGAGACGGCGCTTTTATCCGGTAGAAGTGGAACAAGGGGGCAAGTTAGGGCTCACGAGTGCGCTGAACAAGGCCCTTGATCTTTAGAGCAAACTGGAATTGGAAAAGCCCTCGCTTCATTCACAAGCCAAACATCAGAGAACACAATACACACAGGCCTGAGAGGGAAAACAAACAGCTTTTGTCGGTTGAAAACTGGCTCTTTATGCTAAAGCAGGATGCAAACCACACACACGGCTGGTCAGGCATACACATTCATGACTTACCTTTCAAAATGTCTAGACATATTCTCCCCAGCTTGTCTACATTGGGATGATATATTTTGGTCATGAAGCGTACTTTCGGTGCGGCCATGGGATATTCTTCCGGTAAAAAGAGCTCGAGTTTAAACGTGCCGCCCTCGAAAGGCGAGTCCTGAGGTCCAGCAATGACCACATGAAAGTAGCGGGCGTTGCATTCATCTGGCTCGGCCTTGATGCCCGGCACCGGCTCTGCAATCAGTCGTTGAGTTTCCTGCCACACAAAAATAAATTGTTGTTGTTGGTGGTGTCCCCATGTTGCAGGTTGCTGCCAAGGGGCTTTAAAATTGCACTCCAAAAAGAAGCGGTAGCTCCCAAAATGAGGCCCCTTTCAGGAAGAAATGAGTTTGCCCGGAGGAATGCGTGAACACTACATTTCAGTAGAGGGAGGCAGCTCCGAGTGCATCGAATACTTTGAAAGATGCAGCACAGAGCATCGCTCATGGCACACAAGGTTAACTAAGGAGTTAAAAGGGTATGAAACGTATGCATATCGACTATTGCGGTTTAGTTCACTAATCGGCAAAAAACAGCCAACGAGCTCTACATTTTATTTTCGGAAAACATCCTCAGGAACTAACATTTGCAAAATGTGTTGACCAAACTGTTTGAAGGATTTCCGAAGGAGAGCTGCATACAAGTGGTGAGTCACTACTATTCTCACGGTGGAGATGTGGCCATCTCACGCAGGGCGGTGCCTTTGACCGCAGTACTGGCTCAGCGCTGCGATTCTTAAGAGGTGGCGCTGACTCGGCACCACGGGAGACAATCACTTTCATTCCCCTCGGCCACTGCAGCGAGGCCTCTCTCCCAATTCACAGCGGCAGACAGGTGACCTACAAAAACATGCATTTACCATAAAAGAAAAGCATCTTGTGGTACGCGAGAGGCAGCGCGATTGATACACCTGACTTTGCCTTTAACGGGAAAACAGCATTACATTTCCAGAAATTACAGGGTTCTTGACTCTCAAACGTGCACACTGCGATTATTCTTTTATTGAATTACTTTACCCATTTGGAAATCTTGATAGTACCTCTTTTGCCTAATTGCAGTTATGAGTTATTAGATGCATTACAACGGAGAACAATAAATAGCAACTGCGGAGGAAAACATCAAATAAACTTGCCAACTTGGCACTTGTCTTTGCCATTCTTCCCCTGAATGAAACAGATTCCTGAAATATTTCAGATAGCTCACAGACAAAACCATGCAGTGAAAACACAGACGGGAGAGGGGCTCCCGGCCCCAGTCACACGCTCCCAGGGCTCAAGGGCTGCGTGTTATCAGTACTGTTCCCAGCCCTTCCACCTTTTCCCACCCACACTAATGCGGGTGGGCGCTTACTCACCCACCTGTGCAACCTTCTCTGGAAGAATACGCTTAATAGAAAATATAACAGTACAGAGAATGCATAGTTGTCATTGGTCAATTTGCAGCGGGGGAACTGTAGGGTTCTCCAAAAAAAAAAGCAACAGTCTGAGGTTTGTGTAATGCTCGACTGTCAAATAAAAGCAAATAGAAATCAAGTAAGTAGAACACTCTTCATCAGAAGATTACAATAGTGGCTGCTGGTGAAAACAGTATCAACGTGGTGGGACCGTTTGTTACTACAAATATATTGATTAGTGCAGTGCACTGCAGGTGGGAAATGACATATTTAAATGCTTTAATATTCAAAGAAAACCTGTAATTGTCATCATACTGGTTGTTTAATTATACCTGTATTCAGCCACTGTCTGCTGAATAAAGCACATTTCAACATTATGGTGAATCACCCCGTGTCAGCCGATGTCATCCACACACACGGCGTCCAGAAATAAACTGGGACACATGCATATTGTTAACATTTATAACGGTTATTAATAATTGATTGATACCGTCATGACGTGAACCCGGAAATGCAAGAAATCTGGATTTCAAAGTAAGAGACCCTCAGTGGGCTGTATCACGCTGTTCAACACAGCACATGGAACCAATTCAGCAGCTTCTTCAGTTTGCTGAGCAAATTATCTTTTGTTACGAATTTACTGGGCTGATGTTTCCCCGTGAGGTCGGGGGTGAAAGTCTGCTCCGCAAGTGAATTCTGAACGTTTCCGAACTTCACGTGTGCTTAAATAACGTATAACACCAGGGATGCGAGGCTGTCTTTAGCTTATTCCGGTTTTAGATCATTCGCACGCAAACAAGGCTTAATAAACTAGCTGGTTTTAGCATGGTTAGGTAACAGTTGAGCTCGCCAATTAGTCAGTAATCAAAACGTGATCAGTCGCAGTTTCACAACACTATTATTTGACATGAACAGCATTTAAAAAAAAAAAAAAAGATACAAAAGCACATTTATCCGCCTGCGTCTCATAGCGTTGGTGTTTAAATAACCCTCCGTGCATCCAGGCACAGGAGATAAACGCAAGTTATTTCGGTATTTTAGCAAACCGTTAACGTTAGCGAGCTGGACGTTCACCGCGGAGCCTTTAGGAGCACGCACGCGCACCTCCGAGGACCGTGTGTGTGTGTGTGTGTGTGTGTGTGTGTGCTGCTATGTGAAATATTACCTTAGAAATCCTGCGGGGCAGCCCTGCCATCTTGTTTTGACGTTAAATGCGGGTGTTTCGCTCTCGACGGAGGCTCCTGCGCGTCGCTGGCAGCGAACTCACGTCTTCCGGGTTGTCTACGTCATGACAGTGGACGCAGCTGATGGAGAGAGGCGCTTTTATGAATGTGCAAAGAGAAAAAGCGTGTTCCTTTCTTTTAAATTCTGCATTAGACAGGATTTAGAGAAATATACCCGAAAGTTTTGCACAAAATATATTAATAACAAACATCTTCAGATTTTAAAAATGTTCTTTCAGATTGAAGAAGACATGACGTCGATTGCTCATGTTGCGTTACATGTTGGAAAGACTGAATGTTACATGATACATGGAAAAACAACACTTGCAATAACAAAACCGTTTTTTGTCATTTTTAGCATCACTTAAGAAGTGATTGGAATAATTTAACACACACTATTTGAACTACATTTAGAAAGTCCTTTTCTGAGGGACTCTCAACATTATGTAACCACTATTTATACCCTCCAATAGTACTCGTTTTAAAAGATTCTCCTGTAGCTGATGAGTTCTGTTTATTGCAGTGCTGCTTGAGAACAGCAACTGAGAAGGAAAACTCTTAAATGATTATTTATTTTCAACACAAAAGTTTACCTTGCCCCGTTTATCTCAATTGTTTGCGTGATTTGGAAGCAAAGGTTATCAAAAAGCCAAAACATTTTGTGTAACTACTCCATCTGTCGTAGACACAACAAAGCACGACTCAGACCTTCCACTTCCACAGGCCCATAAGCTCATAAAGCTGTATTTTCACTTTCTTTTGCTCAGCATGGTAAACAGGAGGTATGCTTGCAGGGGGCTTGGAGCTCCTCCTCCTGATGTTTTTGGATGGACAGAAGCTTTTGTCCCCTCGGTGGCGAGGCCTGCTACACGAGCATTAGCAGTGGAGACAACTAACGGGAATGATATTTTAAAAGCTGTCTTAGATGAAGTCCAGCATGCAATTTCTAATCAACCAAAGACCAACAGGTGGGTTTGATGCTTCTGTGGAGAATGTGTGTTTAAACAGAAGGGGAAAAAAGTATGCTTGTTTTTTTTATTTTTTGTCTTGGCAAAGGCATAGTAAATTATACCCTCTGAATACTTACTTACATACTTCATGTTATTCGCTGCTGTATTTCTTTGTGGTTTATTAATAGCATCACAAATGTGTATTAAAGTAAATCAGGATATGTTATGTTATACTGTAGATTGTTTAGAAATGTTAAAATCTTATTTTGAAAATTGTATTGCAACCTGAAGGAGACAGTATCTTACTCATACAGGTATTCTTTGGCCAATTCCATCACAGTTTAAGGATAAATAACTATATTAGTGTTATGTAAAATATGTAAATTACACGCAACAAGCTGTCAAGTGTCAAATCTAAGCCTTTAATTACTGCACACATCTGTCCCGTACAGGTGCAGGTTTTCTGCTCATTTCGTCGTGATCATAGTTTCAAGTTTCTCAAATTGGAGCTCCTACTTTCTAGCAATTAAGTTTGAGATGTTAATAACTTTCTCTCTGTATTAAGGTATAATAGTCGAATTTCAGAAATGTAAACAAAGTCCACAAATAACATTTAGAAACTACAATTTCTCATATCAATTTGCACATGATAGTAATAACAAAAACTCATTTTCAGAAAATGATGGAAGTGTTTTATTAGGCACTGCGCCGACCGAACCAATCACCCAACGTTTTCCATTGTTCAACACACACAGGAACAGACGAAGCGGCAGCTAATCGAGTCCTTTCTCTCAGTGCACAGACAGAACAGACAAGATCCGTCACATCAGCGCTGATGCTCAAGCTCAGCTTGATTGGAGTGGCAAGATTTATATTGACATGAATTGGCAAGACTTTCTTAGTAACTTGGAGTGTTTTACATGTGTATTTTGGATTAACGTGTGTTAATGTGTCTGAGATTTATACTGTAATCCATTTATGGGTCCTGACCACCTGGTTTTGAACTACATAATTAACGTTTTTGTACTGTTAATGAATCTGAAACATCCAGCTTTGTTTGCGTAACTTGTTTGTCTAAATGTAATTTCTTTCATTTTCTTTTCTTCCTCGTATTTTTTTGTTGTTAGCCCAGGGGAGCCCGCGGTGGTACCTGGTGTGTGCACTCATCACGATCGCCTGCTCTGGACCAGTTTCGCCTCTTCATGCCCCTCCGGCGACCCCGGATCTCCGCTCTGCTTTCTCTGCCACCCGCACCAACAGCGTGATCGGCGGCAAGCAGAAGGAAATGACCTTCGACAGGCTCATGGTCAACATCGGAGGGGACTTCAATCCGGACACTGGTCACTTCCGCTGCCGTGTCCCTGGGGCTTACTACTTCTCCTTCTCCGTGGGTAAGTTTCCGAAGAAAATGCTTTCCGTGATACTGGTGAAGAACGGAGAGGAGGTGCAGGCGATTGCGTACGACGACTACCGCAAGAAAGGGAGGAAACTCCAAAGCCAGAGTGTCATGATCAGTTTGAAGGAGATGGACACAGTGTGGCTGCTTTTACAGCAGAATCCCCAATACGCTTCGTACAGCAATGCCGGCCCTTACATCACCTTCTCCGGATACCTTGTCCTTCCTGATGTTTTGCCTAACAGCTACATCAGCAACCTGGTGGCGACACCACCAGGGCTGTCCCAATCAGTGCCGTCCCATCCCAACTGCCCCCCCCAGTCTGACCCCTCGGCCACAGGTCAGAGGTCAGAGCAGCCCCGGTCTGCCTTCTCTGTGGCACGGACCTCCACACTCATGGGTCAGAACATCAGGCAGCAGGACAAGTCACCTTTGACCTTTGATGTGGAGTTCGTCAACATCGGGGGGCATTTCAACCAAACCTCGGGCCTGTTCACCTGCCACTTCCCGGGCGCTTACTTCTTCGCCTTCACCGTGGGGAAGCACCCTCGCAGGGCCGTTTCCGTGAAGCTGATGACGGGGAAGGGGGAGGTGCAGGCGATGGTGTTCGACGAGGACACGTCGAAGAGAAGGGAGATGCAGAGTCAGAGCTTGCTGCTGTCTCTCCGCCGGGGCGACAGTGTGTGGCTGTACAGTCAGCAGGATGAGCGTTATGCCGTGTACAGCAACCAGGGGAGGTACACGACCTTTTCTGGCTTCCTGGTTTATCATGAAGCAGAACCTGCCTCCACTCAAGACGGAGCCGCCCTCTGATTGTCTCATACCTTTGTAACACATTCAACATTTTACATTGTAGAAAATCGTTAGAGCATGTTTTTGACTTATCTTCAGTGAGTAACTCCATATATTTGTTGCCAAATTACTCCAATAGAGGGCGCTATGATACAATTATGGATACTAACCAGCCTGCAACAAGGTTTTTTCTGTTCTTTTAAGTGAAAATAGCTGAAAGAAATCACTAAATGTGTTGGATGAAAATGATTCGTCGGTAAAATAAAACAATTATAGTATTTACCATTTATAATGATTTGTATTCAGATGTTTTAAAAAGCATTTTTTTACGTTTAAAATATTGCATACCAAAGAATATTATGTAAATGATGTATAGTTTATCAAAATGTTCTTACTGTAAACATGATATTCAGAGGCATATCATGGTCATGTAAGTGGTGATAATAGTCATAATAGTACTTTTATTTTGTAGAGATAAATCTCTGTCTCATTTCAAACAAAATAAATGAATATGCTTCATTAAATTTGAAGTCTTTCCAGTTTATTTTAAATGCAATGCTAACAGTACATACGGTTGACATGTACAACTGTCGCCACTGATGATCTTCATTCCCTCAGCATAGTTCTGAAAACATGGATCCTCACTCGTCCTCCCGGTGGTGGCGCTGCTGCAATCATAAAAGCTTCTGCTAAAGCTACTGCAACTTTCCCACTACAGCAACACCCACAGCAGTAAAGGACGTATAACACGAGAGAAATAGAGATAGTCTGTGTTGAATGTTTTTTAATTATCTAGAAAATTGCTAGAACATGCAAAAAAAACATTTATAGCTACTGATATAATTTATGGATGTACCACATGATATGTCTGTATGTGAACTCCTAAACAGTAATATAACAGGGATAAAAATAATCAAAATAATTTTTCAGCGTGAACCTTGTTCATTGAAGGAGAAATGACTGAATTTAACTTTGGATTTCTTATAAGCACCGTCTATGCTCAGAATGAGTTTCAGTGTTTGAACTTTTTTGTTCTTCAAGATGTTATAACATCTCAACAGTGAGACAACAAAGAGTTGGCTGCCTCACACAACAAATGAACATGAATATGTTAGGACTGTTATACATAAAGCAAAATGCATGAGCAGAATAAACACAAGCAATACTTTAAACCATTTACTGAATCAAAACGAATGATAGTGGCCAGGGATTTAATGCCGCATCCTCACATCACCCAAAATAAATATGCACTGTAGCCGGACCATGACTCTGTCTTACAAGTACAAATGTTCGTGTTCTCATCCCCATGTTACTACTTTCTCCTCCTCTCCCGGTGCGTCACTGCACGTCCCATATCTCACAGAGCAGCGGCGTGAATTTATGGTCGTTCATTCTCCAGGAAGCGAGCATCTCGGAGTGGTAGTGGCTGAGCGTTCTCAGCTCCGTCAGACGGCCCAGGAGGCGAGCAAAGTACTGCTGCTCTTGTGGGTGCTGCAGGACACACAGCTTCCTCAGCACGTCCAGCATGGTCTCCTGAAGCCTCTCGACCGCCTGAGGATCCTTGACATAAGGCCGATCTGAAGAGGGTGATAAATTAATCGTTTTTCCGGAATAAAATGCACACAGTGTTAATAAATAGATAGCTCACCTGGAGTCAGGATGGTTATGGCAGTGAGGATAGCCTGTTCCTCCTGCACCATGTGGAGTTCACCGATACTTTTGTAAAAGTTGAACATGGGTGTCATAAATTCATCGGGTATACCTGCAGAAAGCAATGAACGCAGTTTTCAAATGATATGTATGCTGAGTGGACACAATCAAGTTCCCCTTGTGTTAACTCAGCTCCGATCATACTTTTCATGGTCATTTATCTGCACACATTTATAAAAAATAAGTTGCAGTTAGGTAGTTAAGCGTCATTCACTTCTTCATCATCTGCATGATTATGACAAAGCGCTCTTTAGATCATCTTAAATGTTTGCATTTAGTCTCCTCTTGCACACTGGCAACAGTGCCTACTTCCGAAGCTCTTTATTCTAGTAGAGTGTGTCTGTCTGTTCGGACACATCATGAAGCATTCAGAAATGCCAGTGGGGCTCAGAGGGAGAGAAGTGGACAATGGCACTCTTGATGTTTTGATAAGGAACAATGGTCTCTTCAGACAGCTTTGCTCCCCTTTTCTCCCAGACTGGCCTTTAGTGTGAATATCTCTCACCATTCAGAGCCGAGCTGCACCGAGGGACCCAGTGACTCTCTCACACACACACACACACACACACCCCCCACCCCCCCCCACACACACACACACAGTGCTGCCATCACTGTCTGTCTAAACTGTCCAAACTGGTTGACATAATGACACCTCGCATACATATAAATGACTTCTTCAACCCACCAAGCTGGAAAACTATTGTATATGGGAGTCGTGTGTAAACAGAGGCTGCAAAAACAGACTAATAATATGTGTGTGTTTTAATAAAGTTTGACCTCAGATCTGGGTTCCTTTGCAACGAAACTGTAGCCGCCGAGTGTGTGCGTGCATGTGTAACCTGCACCCAGCCAGAGATCAACAGGTCAACACATCTCCAAGCGACGCCAGACGCATCAGGAAGATCAATTATTAAAGGTTGTTCTGACTTGAACTGGCTGCTTGGCTACAAGTGAAACTAAGAATGTCACGATGCTGCATGTGCTGCCTGCTAGTAGTGCAAAATACCGTTGATTCTTAAAGGTTTAAAATAAGGTTTAAAAGAGGAGGATTTGTGGGCTTGAACTATTTGAATTCTGAACGTGGCTCTTCCAATCCAAAAGTAGCGTATGTTGTACCAGAGAGTGCCTTGTACTTTTAAGGGACAACTTCAGTTGACTCACCGCTCTTGCGTACCCTCTCCTCCAAAACGTCTGTGTGTCCGGTGGGCATCTTTCTGCTGAAAACCTGCGCAGAGCGTAGAAACATGGCCTCTACGGCCGAACCCTTCAGGAGAGCGATCTGATCCTCCCGATCCAGAGAGAGGAAGCCTGCCAGAGGCAACAAAACACTCATTCCATCCGCCAAGAGTCACGTGCGCCATGTTATTGTCCATTGTATATATTAAGAAAGGTATCTATTATATAATACCTTAATACTATGGAACAGTACCTGGAATGTTTTTTGTAAATTCCACCAAAACTTGAACTTGACTAGTTGCCATTTCTGTCAATAGGAGGAAGTTTTCCTCTGGGCTGTACTGGTCCTGCAGCTGCAGGGACAAAACAAAGTGTAAACAAAAACAGCAGATGAACAGAGAGAAGATGCAGCAAGCTGCACACATTCCACCAGCAGTAAACTGGTATGTTTAACAGGTGTAGCAACGTGTCATGTGAACTTCAGTCAGTCAAATGGTGTGATTGCGCCGTCCTCTCGTACTGGCTTTGAGCGGCACTCTCTGATGTTAACTTCAGGAATAGGAATATTTAACTGTCGATGGTTACGGTAATTCAAGAAAAGTCCAAATGGACTTTGAGAATTTACCAGTTTTTTGGCCACGTCTTGAGGGATTTGATGTCTGTTGTAGGCATCCACAATGGCTTTCATGAGAGCCCGCTGCTCTCTGTTGATCTCCACTTTCTCCTGAAGAAAAAAACAAAACGTATTATTACTTTACTTACGTGAGTAAACTGGGAGGGTGAAGAACTGCACATTTTCCCGACCTGGCTGAGATTGTGTTTACCTTGGACAGTTTGGTGGTCGAGGAGACCTGTTTGTTGTCTGTGTTGTCCGCCCCCTCCGTCTCGTTTCCGGGCGACTGTCCCGGCGACGCCTTGGTGTACTTCCGCAGCCTTTTCGACTTACACTGGATCTCTGTCAGCAGGCCTGCCGGGGGGTGATGGAGGCTTCACTGGGTGTGTTAAATACCTCGCAGCTCTTTATTCATCAGCATCCGTTGCTGATTTTCATCTACCATGAGGCCATAAGGAGGTCTCTAATTCTAACATTACATATCATATCCAATGTGACGATACCCATACATGTCAGTGGTTCATGAGTAATCAATTCTTGTTTCTAATAATTGCTTTTTTAATTAATTTTACTGTTGCAACCTATGTTTCTATATGACTTTGTAACTTCAGAGCTATAGAGCCCTTTTTGCTCCAACAGGTGGAGTCATGACTAGTTGTTTAAATAACTACTTATATTTCAAAAGGCTTTTTCTATTGTGTGATATGTTACAGCCAATCTAACAGGCCATGTCATGTCAGGGAAAGAGAGCTCACTACAGCGTGCTTGGGTAGCCTGACTTGACCGGACTAAATAGACATCGCACTGTGTGAGCATGTGCACGGTGCAAATCACTTTGCAAAGATGGGTGATATTATAACATTCAAATGTGCCTACAAGTCTTTAGTTTCCATTCCAATTAGTTGTTTCTGCACCCTGTCGGCAGCAGCAGGAACCGGAGTCTGTTAACAAGGAGCGATACTCACATTCAGCCAGCATGCCCATCTCCTTGCACTTTCTTAGCCGACACTCCTGGCATTTCCTGCGCATGTACATGTCCATTTCACAGTTTCCGCCACTCTTGCATTTATAAACAGCGTTCTTTGTTATGCTTCTTCTGAAGAAACCTGATAAAAACAAGTTGTTATTGTGTTAACCAGGGACAGAAGATGCTGAATAAAGCAAAGACTTTGTTGTACATCGTGGATTTTCTCATTCTAAAGAACACTGACTCAAGTACTCGTTTTCAGTTGATTACAGATGTACTTCGCTATGAAAATATTGAGCTGCTTTCAGAACATTTATTAGATAACAAATACTTTTTGTAAGTCTAAAAAAATAATTTGGTCTATCCATGGTCTTATCTTTGCTCTGTATTTATTAAATGCAGATTTTAGCCTATGATCAGGAAGGATCATAATATTTCTAGGTTACACACTGTTCTAATAATGTCACAGATGTTCCAGACACACACACACACACACACACACACACACGCACACACACTCACACACACAGAATAACTTTGGAACAGTTATTAGACATTCTGACATGGAACATTAAGCTGTACGACATTCATTAGCGTAACCGAGCTCACGTTGCTCCGGCATTGTACAACAGAAAGCTGAGAGGGAACCCGACCTGGCAGCAGCACCGAGTAGACTCGAGCCTTTTCTCTGAGCTGCTGCACTCCTGCCATTGTCCGACCTCCCAGTGTGGAATTTCACTCATATCCATTCTCTCAGTGGTTTGGCTTTGGATTCACGGCAAATTCACAGGGAAACAAGGGGAGCAGCAGCAAAAAGCCACGACTCCAAAGCCAAGTCAGAGCCAACTCTATATACTGCACTGTGCATCTAATCAAATATGTAATCAACCAAATTGTGCACAGTGTGCTAGCATTGACTGTTGTAAAGTGCGGCTAACAGCCTGTGATCTAATTTGACCAACGGCACGAAAACAGTCTGTCTGTTATGCTTTTAAGCACAGACCACACTACCAACGCGCTATTAATTACAAATGCTCATGTCTCAATCCGATCATCCTTAGTAATGGGAGGCCATGGCTAAATGCGACAGCCAGAGGCTATTTCATTTTTGCACACAAGCTGGGATGGGATATTTGGGAGACGCGTCCTTCTACACAACAGCAGCATTCCTATGTGCCAGGAACTACAAGATGACTTTGTTTGGCTAAAATCCAGTCCCTAAAGCTTCCCTCACCTTTGCACCCCTCACAGGTGAGAGCGTTATAGTGGTACCCAGAGGCCTTGTCTCCACACACCACGCACAGTTCCTCCCCTTTGACCCGTCCAGCCTGCGACATGTGGCGGGTCCTCTTGCAGACGGCGGGCACCACGGGGGACACCTCCTCGATCTCAGCAACGTAGCCGCCCTCCAGGGGTTCCTTCCTCAGTTCGTATATCCCTGTGTGGGAGAACCATTCCTCTCCGTGGTACTGAGGGTAGTAGCTTTGACTGGAGTAGTATGGCGTGGAAGACATGGTCTGCTCCATGGACGGATATTGCATGCCTGGATAGCCGCTGAAGGGTAAGATGTCTGTATCCTGCAGGAGAGGACTGCCTTGATCTGCCAGGATGTCTACGAGGAGCAGAAGAGGGATTATAAAACTGCTTCAAATCTGCAAGGCCATTTACATGCATTTGTTTTAGATTCTAGCTGTGACTTGTAGAGTCAAATTGAGACAGTAAGTAGAGACAGAGAGTAAATATGGAACCAGATAATAATAGCTGAAGTCATCTCCATTTCACCTGAATTCACATGACCTTGAATGAAGATATAAACTGCCCATTTAAAAGGAGAGAAGACACTTTCACTCAAAGATAAATTGATATAAATGAATGTGATTACTTGGACTAAGCTAAGATGTCGGAAAGCAGTCAAATCCCAAAGGGGATTTTTTGTTATAGACACTGTGAAGTCAGTTCTTAGACCCCAAAATAAAGACCAGTTTGTTTCAGTGTAAAAATGTACTGTTGGAGCAAGCCACAACAAAGCAATGTGCTAAAGATGCTAAACCAGTTCACTGTGGGGGGCAGAGCCTGGCGACTGTCTGTGGCATCATCATCACCAGAGACCCTTTCACAATACGGTCAGTGACTCAACCCTTTGTTACTACAGCATGTTGATTAGCGCAGTTTTAATAATTTGGACTGATTCCTTGAATTAAAATAACGATGCTCAAGTGTCAGACACAGTGAAATATGTACAGGGGGAGTCCATTTTGATTTGTGTCAAATAAAGTTTATTTTACCTTTACACACAGAATCTTAACTCAGGGGCTTAACAGCCCGCAGTGTGATACCTTCTATAATACAAAGCTATTAAACCTTTATTTGGGGTTCTTACCTGCAGAAGCTTGTTGGAAAAGGCAGTGCATTCAGCGGTGGTAGAAATTATAAACCCATAAATGATTAACGACTCGCTTTCAAAGAGCACACTGTGTCTTTTAGAATGACATGTAACTTCCACTCCCAACAAGTTGGCACTGCAATAGATTCAGTAAAATACAGTAATGAATCATCACTACTTTGAAAGTTAATCCGTCAAATCTTTCACGAAAGCAAAGCGACACACCAACACGAACGCTAACCTCTTGAAGACTTGATCTGGACCATGGCCATCTCGGTGCGCGCAAACACACAAACTACTCAGACTTTACACTCTGGTCCCAACAGTCCAGCTGGGTTTTGTAGATTTGGTCCTTCCTTTGCCTCTAACTCACTGACCATCATCCATGTATTTCTTTTGTCGTCCTTTAAAGATGTGAGAACAGCAGCTCAGGTGGCGAACACCTTGGCCGCAATCCCCACGGGGAGCAAAGGTTGCCACGGCTACTCATTAACCAGAGGCTTGCGTTTCTTTACATACACAAGTAGCAGCCTGATGTGTTGAGTCATTTCCAGATATGGACAATGAGCCGACTGCCACTGTTTGGTGAGATGGTTCATGCAACTATAAGAAACATCCATACATGCAGCAGGTGTCGGGTAATTTGTTTCTGCCCGTATATCTGCATAAAATATAAAATATCAATGGTTACAGTTGTTGTGCGCTGTTCATTTTAGAACTCTACACCGGCGCCCTCCACCACCATCCACCAAACTCATTCAGGGGGACTGATTTGGAAAGAAAAAAAAAGGGCTTCCTTTTTAACACAATTCATTACAGTATACTGTATAGGATACTGCCAATATATTTAGAACATGTAATGATCCTGGAATTGTTGAGTTCTGATCCTCCTTTTGTTTCAGTTTAGTTTGCATTTGTCAAATATTTGTTGATTTTGTTTTTCTACTTTTCTATTTGCTTAGACACTTGCTTTTCATTCCCTGTCCAGTGCAGCACGTGGGGTAAATGTGGTAAACTCCCTCAGAATGGTTAAAGGTGTGCTTGTGAAGTCAACTGGTTGTTGTATCACTAAACCAGCCTCGCACCATACCATATTTAATCCTATCTCCAACTCTATGTTAGAGCCTTTTTTGGTAACCGTTTGGGTATATTTTCCATTTAATTATCTCATTACATTACATTATTAGGCAAATCACAGTTGATGAGTAACATGTCTTCACAGCTTGTGTGTTTACAGCAGTGCTTAAAATTCCCTTTTGGAAATGTTGACGGCAACGAGACAACGGCAATAGATTTTAATTTCTTCTGACCCAATTTTTTACTACCTTTTATGAGCAAATAATGATCCCCGCACACATGCATTTTATTTGTGTGCTCGCCATAAAAAAGCGCAGTGACTGAGGGCATCTAAAACACAGCACTGCGTGGCTCCACGCTGTCTTCTTCTTTTAATTGTCTCTCGCCAAGTTGACTTACCAAACAAGTGGGCGCTCTCTGAGATGGAGAAGTCATCGCCGGGTGGGATTTGCAGCGGTCCCACCACGTTGATGTCAGTGCCCACCCACTCATTCATTCAGGAGGGTTGTCGGGCACAAAGGCAGAAAATGCAGGCTGGACTGTAACGTGCTCGTAGTGAACCTCTGTTTACTCCTGTAATAATCATAACAATGGTGTTATTTGTGACTTCCTGAATACATGAAACCACAACCACCCATGTGATCGATCACATATATAAGCACAGGTTCGTTGTTGACGGTGAGTGTGTCACAAGATTAATGTTGTCTTTGTTCATGTTACCTCACTGAACATAATGTATGTAAGCCTCTAGACACTTAATAAAATGGTATAACCGACTGCAAGTGTCTCGAAAAATATAAAATGTATTTAAACTTTTTTTCTTTCTGGTGTCAAGTCCTCACACACGTGAAACATTGCCTTCATAGACTTCATCCGCCGCGTTGCGTTTTTCAATTAACTCTGTGTAATTTCCCCTGAGGTCCAAGAGCGAGGCACAAGGATTCAGAACCCCCAAGTCCACTTTAACAACCCAGACAACAGCCAAACATACCTCACACACAGCGGCACACAGTGAGCTGATGGGGAGTCACTTGCTAAATATATGTTCAGACTAAATGTCAACGTTTTTTTTTACCTTATGCGTCAGTTGATGTTAAAGTCCCGGTTGGTAGCTTTCCTCTTTTCCAGCCTTTTTTCTGACATCCACTCCGTGAGCTTCAGCTCAACCAATATTTGACAATGAACATTTAGCTGTTTGTGCCTGGACACTGAGAGCATGTTTGACCAGTTGAGGTCAGGGAGAAATGGATAGTGGTTATTAATTAAACTGTCCATTCCTGTCCATGTCATCCCCCTCCGAATAAACTACCCACCCCCCCACCAAACAAACACACACACACACACACACACACAAACACACGCACACATACACACACACAGGGAACACACGGACCGTTATTAAGGAACAAGTGGTGTCTGTGGGCCGAGCCGAGAAGAAGCGCTGCTATCAGTCCAGAAGTTTATATTGTTTATCTTTGAATACAAACAGAGCGTCATGGCGCGGCTTCTCTTCTGTTAAACACCGTAAATCATCGTCATGGATTGTAAATAAATTCCAAATGAAGATTATACACACTGTATATGTGCATACTGTATGTAATGTAATATAATGTAAATGATGTCCATAAATCAAATCCCTTCACTTTTATTAATTCATTAACATATATTTATATTTATTCTGTTTTGTTTGCATAACAGCATTTATATTATTCACCTTCACCTATCAAGCTTTGTTGTCTTTTCTCCTCTAAATTCTAATATTCTCTAAATTTATATTTCAGTATATTGAGAGAGCTATTCAACAACTGAATCAAATTATTTACGTGAATGTTTTCCGTAGAAAACCGCTGAAAGTACACCACGGCAATCGATGCCACTCGACCTTGAACCAATCAAAGTCATTCTTCTTGTCAGTCTACACCAGATTTGTTTACATTGGCAGCTTCCTGCCACAGCACACCTGCCCTTTGATTCTCTAAGATGGACGCACAAACTGGAAATCCCATTTGTCTTTTATTTTTGCTTAATTTTTCCCTAGAAAACGTAATTGTTCAATCATTGACGGGCTGTTGCTTCACCCGAAGAGGCCCTTCTGAGTCAACAGACGGTCCCTCTGAAATCAACAGAACCTTTGCTGCCGGCTGTTTGTGTCAGGGATGTTGCGTATGGAAAAAGGCAGGACTCAAGCGCAGAGTTCGAAAACAAAAAGACTTTAATAGTCTTAGGGGAGGGGAGGGGAGGGGGTGGGGGGGGCATCCAGGACAAAAGACAATGACACAACAACAGCATGGCTTAAATACACTAGGGAGGTGCAGGTGATTGGACACAGGTGGAAACAATCATGACATGACAGACAATCACAGAGGAGGACAGGACAAGGCAGGAAGTGACATGACCCAAGGCAGGAAGTGACATGACCCAGGGAGAACAGAGGCAAGAAACTACAAAATAAAACCAGACATTGACCCAAACCGTGACAGTTTGTGGACTATCGGGTCTGTGTTTGAGAGCATGTGGGGTGGCGTTTCACAACACCGCTGATTACATTAGAAAGTTACATGTACAACAGTCAAAGCGCTCACAAGTATTGACGAGGTTGATTAACGCCTATGCGAAATACCTCTCTGTGGTTTAATGAGGATCAAAAAAGTTAAATGTCAGTTAGCTGCCGCTTCAGTGTCTACTCATTCCAGGAATAACAGAAACAAACCCAACCTGCAAAAGAGACACAATTGTCTTCATGTTGTGCAAGAACATAGTCTGTAACCATGACAGTTTTCCATCCACAAACGCAAATAAAGCAGCGACTTTAATTGTGCAACATTTGCATAAACACGTGTGTATTTCACGACGTGAGGACGCCGTCAAACTGTCATTCCTCACAGTGGCTTTGCAGAGGCCGTTCTGACACTGAAGAGGAATATCCTGTCCAGTAATTATCTTCCGTGGTGAAAATGAAGCAGGCGGATAAAGACAGATAAGACGGAGGATGTTTACCACAGCGTGATGGGAAACAGAGCAGCCGGAGGAACATTTAACATGTGTAATATAAGCACAGTCTATTCTATCAAGTAGTTTAAGAAGATATCAATAATCTGCGGCGCACATTGGGTCTTTATGAAGGCTTTACGTTTATGAAGGTAAAAACGAGCTGGAGCAATGGAAGAAAAGCAGTAATACAGAGAAGGAGGCACATTAAGTGTTCGGCTTGCCTTAAAAATGTACGGAGGAGGAGGCCTTCGGACTTTGTTGACAAGCTGGTTGGCATTTCTAGGTTTGGGTGAAAGCTCTTGATAAATTCATCTAAAATAAAATTTGGTCCAGATAATAATGTCGGTCAGGATGAATTTAATACATTTTTGTCTCGTTTTCATCACCTAGTATGAATCTTCTTTATGACTGAATACCAGAAAACTGTATTGTAACAACATTCCCATCAGCCTCAGCATTTGGGTAATAATCGACTAAATCTTAGAGTGGTACCAAAATAAAGGAACGGACAGACTTGGCAAAACACTATCTGTTACAAAATAGTGTCATTTCTACAACCAGGGTAGAGAAATGATGCTCAAATCGTTAACATGCGTATTAGTGTCCGTCCCTCTGACTGTGTGAGTCCATTAATGACTCTCCAGAGCCAACGTCGCACTCTGATGCAGCAAACTTGCACAGCGTATTTGAAGGCATTTCATAGCGTGCGTACTCGACGACCCCCTGTGGTCGTGTTGACCCACACTTTCTCAAACCCTCTTTCACTACCAGGTTCATAGTGGCAGTGACAGTCTGCCAACACCTCACTCACTGCTCTGCAGCTGCTGCTCCGTGCCCCGGTGGGGGTCTGGGGGGGGGGTTTGCACACTGTTATTGTTTTGGGGAGTGTGTTTGGCTCACCGCTAACAGCTCATGGGTTTATCTTTATGTTTTGGCACGATTGTATTACGTGTGTTATGTGATGACTTCGAGCCGATTGCTGGCAAACCCTTAAATCGCTGCTTGGTTTTTTAAAAAATTTAATTTTAATTTAGTGTGTTTGGCGCTTTACAGCCCTGGTTGCATTCATTCTAACACACAATGCTGCTGTGGTCATTGCACACACACCTGGCGGAGATCATTACCCTACTGACTGCAGCTTTCTAGTTGTTTTTATAAATAGTTTGAATACACAATGTAGCATAAATGTTCTATAATCTCATACAAGGTAATAAATGCTCAGGATATCATGTGTCTGTATTAAGATCTTAATACAGAATAGAAATATATTACATCTCCAAGTAAATAAGAACATACTACATACTAATCTACAGTACAAAATTGATTGACTCGTCTTTAACAGTAATGATAAACAGATAAACAGTGTAAATGTCCCATACTCTTTTATGATTAAACATTACAGTACATTATTTTTAGAAACAAACTGGGTCGCCATGTATCAAACACTGACAGATTCCAAAAAGACAAACACCAGGAGAATATATATCGTCACACTAAATGCGTCATCACCATCCATCACCTCCCATCATGAGCTCGGAGCAGGATGGATGATGAAGGTGATGTAATGCTTGAGAACAGATGGTGAACTAGGACCTGCTCAGACAGAGCGGGCTAAGCGGTTCAAAGTGCAATCATTCAGCAAGAGCAAATACATACAAGCAAACTTAAATAAAATAAGGCTGGTAACATTAACACTGCTGTCAAACCCATCGTTGCATTCCAAAAGCGCGTCTCTTTTCACGTTGCATAGCTGACACGAAACATTTCAAGAAACGGTTGGTCCAAAGTAAGCCACACAACGCTCAGTTTGCCCACACAGACGGAGTACGATCAACGCAGGACTTCTACGTGTGTCTCTGAAGCTCTTTTTAACACAACACGGTTCATAAAGGTTTGTGTGGAAGAGTACTAACTAGCAACTATGTCCGTATAGATAACATTTAATGTTCAAATTCTCATTGCACGTATATTTTCCTTTTCTGACTTTGCTCCAATCGTTTCTAATAAAGACTATTTTATCACGGTAATTTGAGCATTTTTCCCTCAGGATTTTTGACATTACTGGACATCACTGCAGTGTGTGACCAAAAAGGAAAAATGTCTTGAGGTGCATATGATGCTGCTGCTCCTCGTTACTTTTCCATTGCTTTTTTAAAATATTTCCACAGGTTTGTAATCAAACTTTCAGCTGCAACCAGACTCGAGGGTTTTGGAAGTCCTTTGCCCCCTAGTGCGTCTCACTGGTAACGGTCCTGGTACTCGCCGTTCCCACAATGCTCCTCCTCCTCTTGCACGGTCACCCCTCTCCTCTTTTTCCAGCCCTGTTTCCCTCCAGAGGAATTGTTTGTGGTTCCGTAGCTCTTTTTGGGAGCCACTGCGCTGTCCATGTTGAGCTCTGATTCTTCAGCCAGCTCATCCTGATCAATAATGCCACATTTATCCTCGCTGGTGCTCTCGGGGTCGGCCCACTCCTGCTGCTCTCCAGAAGCAAAGATAGCGTAGAAAATGACCCCAGAGTAATGCACCATGGACGCAATAATGAAGACATGCTGCCACTCCAGGCGAGTCTGTGGAGAGGCAAACAGAGTGTTTGAATTTCCTGTCTAAGGTAGTAAACCCACTGCCGTTCTCATGGCGCTGCACTGGAAAATAATACATTTTACGGAGTTATAAATGATTAACAACAGCCATTGATAGGTGCAAGATTACATATAGCGATACTGTGCTTAAGTAAGAAGCAAACCTGATATGTTTTATACATGGCGGGGGGGAAGCCTCAGTGTTTTTTATTTTGCTGAATAAATAATAAAAATAATGTGCGCCTGTACATATATGAACATATATATATGTGTGCTAGCTAGGCCATTGGCCTAGTAATGTCACTAGTTGTCCCTTCTCGGGTTCCTCCTCGTGGAAACACCTGCACATGATTGTTTCATAAGGAGCTGATACATGTACCACTGCAGCCTCTGACTCCGATTTCTTTCTTTCTTTCCAGAAGGTGTTTTATAGCTGACGGTTTAACCGTGATGACAACGTCTATTGTTCAGCTTTGCCTCTTAATTACAGGCATTTCATGCAACGTGGTGCAGCTGCCTCAGGTGTTCTGCGGACGGCTGGTTCATGGTGACACTGTGACTACAGAGACAGATCGAGTCTTATTGGGGGAAACTATTTACCTATAGAGCAGAGTGATTGCGTGAGCTTTGTACTATTTGTAATATGTTAATCTTTGTTGTTTAGGGTTGTCATAGTGACTTCTGTTTTGCCCTGGTGCTGCGCTGCTATCTGCTTTTTACCACAGGCCGATCACACCATTTTGTTGGCATTGACACAGTTTGTTTGACACAGACTGGTGTTTATCACATAGCACTGACCCTAAACTGATTTTCTGTCCATCCAGAGTCACCATCTGTATTATTCTCTCTATTATTTTTACTTTCTCTGCGGAACCCATGTTTACCTGTTTGTGTAGTTTACCGTGGGATTGTCTGACCTTGAGGCTCCAGCTGCTTCTTTTACTTTGTTTCGGTTACATGTGAAAAACTTACAGTTACTGTTACAAATCAACTTGTCATACCTTATTTTTGGTCAAGGCTCCAACAATCAGAGGACACACCATCCCTGATAACGTTCCCACCCCGTTAGAAATGCCCATCAGTATGCTGGCATAGCGAGGAGCAATATCCAAATGATTGACATTAAAACCTGAAAACAAAGATCACACGAGAACAATTGATTCAGTAGACGGTGAATCCAATATACATTCTCCCAAAGCACGCATGGCTCAGATCCACTTGAAAGCTATGAGTTGTTGGTTTCCTTGAATATAATCTATGGAATACTCTGGCTAAGTGCCTGTGGGAATATTTGGCAGGCTAGCGTGCGTAAAGGCCATCAAAACCATTTTTAGAAGAATCCATAATATAAAGAAAGAGGACACAAAGAAAAATGGAAAAAAACAAAAAGCAACATCCTGAGAGCTCTTACCAAAACCCTCGTGTTTTAGGGTCAGTAATAGCCAAACAAAAATAATTATTTATCAGGGAAACGTCCCTTTGGTGCAGATGTGTTAATACCTGAGATGGCAAATCCACTGAACCCCACAGCCAAAACTAGGAAAGAGATGGCAACCCCCCGAGTGTGAGAAAACCCCACCACCAACAGCAGAGTGGCCTCCATACCAAATCCTGTCAAAATAAAGGACCAGAGAATGTGAGTCGTTGGCTCATGTCAGAAAAATAATTAACATTTTACCATCACCGCTGGCTAACTTCAGGATGCTTCAGAACCGTTAGATTATCTTAATTTCCAATACAAGGATGAAAAACAAGGCATATACCGCGACGTACCTCCACAGTTCATGATTTTCCTCACATTCGTGGTGGACATGATTTTGTTACTGCGTAAGTAGTCAGCCAGCTGTCCTCCAATAGGAACCACTATGGTCATCACCATGTGGGGAACCGCAGACAGGAGCCCCACCTGTTGGCAAATGATGTGTTCAGGAAGCCGTCGTGTGAAGCAGTGCTATGGTTTAACTCTCTTTTACTCGGGGGTTGTCATTTGCCCGTTGGATAGCTGCAGTGAAGCTGCCAGGCCCACCTTGCTGATGGGAAAGCCAAAGACTTCCTCAAAATACGCCGGCTGGCTGATGAGGAGCAGGTAGAAGGTCCAGCTGCGGCAGAAGTTGGCCACGATGATGGCGTAGACGGGCATGGAGGTGAAGAAACGACGCCACGGTGTCTTGAATTTCTGGGATTGGGAGACAGAAGCATTGCGGGGACTCGCCTTCCTTTTGGGGTCAACATAAACCATCACATTTTAGGGTGACTTGGGTCAGGTTTTTGTGAAGGTCGAGCTTAGGCAAGTGTTGATTGGTGTGAGGGTTAGTGTCCAAGAAATCAGTTTAAGTCAATGTCCTTTCACAGTATTCTTGACAGAATGCAGTACAACATCTGGCAGCATGTTGGGCGGACGCACCTCAGTCACACTCAGTTGGCGCATTGTTTCCCCGATGGTGGTCTCGATGTAGAGCCTCTCCTCCTCCGTGATGGTCGGATGTTCAGCGGGACTTCCATATGCCAGCAGCAGCCACACGACATACCATATGATCCCAAAAACACCTTTTCATGAAGTAACAACAAGCATTCAGGCATTGGGTCATACATATATACTTAAAGGTGGTAATATTGTACTTGTATATTTCTTTTTAGGGAGCAAAATGTACTAATTAAAACAGGCCCTAACTACTCTGAACCACAAGATTTTTTTCATTATTAAAATTAAATGAATAAGGTATGAGTCACAGAGCCCAGACCGGAAAATGCTAATTTACATCTATAAATCATGAGATTGTATCACAGCAGAATTTTATTAAAACACATTTGGCAAAGCATGTATTTTATGTCAATGTTAATCATTTTAATCAAACACTAAAGCAATTCAGATAACGCTTATTGTGCAACGCATGCAAAGTACAGCTGCCAGAACAGTAGAGCCTTGAAGGATTACACACTTTGCATATCACTGATGTGACATCTAGTGTTTGTAATGGCGCCTCATCCTAAATATATACAGTATATACGAAGAGATCAATGCATGGGTCAAGTATGATAAGGAGCCACAGTTATCTCAGCTGAACTCGAAAGCTAGCCTGGTTCTGTCCCAAATTTAATTAATTATTTTAAAGCGTACAAATTAACAAGTTATATATACATTTGATAATTAATATAAATGTTTGAAACGGGCAAATGGGATTGATCTTCCCATCACACTTTCTGCCATATATTTGCCTTGTTCTATATCGTTACATGAACACAATTTGTGTATTAATCATTTGCATACTGTTTTAATGAGATAGAGTGACTAAAGTGTTTGTTTTACCATAGATATAGAAGACTGAAGGCCATCCGACGTACTGAACGAGCACCCCGGCCAGAGGCATGGCGATCACTGCTCCTGCATAGGATCCTGGGAACAATTGGTGTCACATTTCAGTGTCACGGTATGATTACACCGGCTGTAACATTGGGAATCAGTAATAAATAACTAAAACCATATCATATATAGCCCCTCTAAAAAATAGGGGGTTTTATATTTTGCAAAAAAATGCGTCACTTTCGTTTACAGAGCAACAGCCTTCAATTTTAGACAAAAAAACAAAACCATATACCGAAAATGTGTCTGAATGAAAACAAACACATCAAAGAAACACATTAGTTTCATTGAATGAATGCCAAGTCATTGCAGACAGAGAGCGTGTTTTAATGTGTTTTTCCATTATCAGACGGATTCATGAACACTGTTGTTCTGAATAGAGCTGGGAGGATGAGAGTGCTTTTGGACAGAAAGCAATGTGAGGCTTCATCTAGGTGAATGGAGGGAGAAGCTCCTTGTGAGCACGCAGGTGAGCCGTGTTCATTTACAGACAATGTCAAGAGGGTTTTGATGTGCGGGTTGTCATGGTACCCGTTTAAATTGCAATATGGTTATTTCAATTTGGGACAGACAGCAGTGGTCTACATCTGCAACACAAATTGACCTTTGTCGTGTCCGTTTACCGACCAACTCCACCATCCGGTTGTGTGAACTGGTTTGGATCAATGAGAAAGTGCTGTGTTGAGGTCAGTATTTTAAGAGTGAGACGCATCGCTCACCACAGAAGGAGGTTGTGGCCAGTCGGCTCCGCTCCAGAGGTGGAGCCCATTTGGACCACATCCCATGGCATGCTGGGTAGGTGACACCCTAGCAGGCACATGGTGTGGAAGAGGAAGAAGAAGAAGAAGGTCAGATATTGGTCGAAGAGGAAACCTGGGATTCATCTGTTAAAGAGGAATAGCTTTAAAATAATGGTGTAACATTTTGGGAAATACCATTTTGGGCTTTCTTGCTGAGAGTTAGACGAGATGTTTCATACAGATGTTCTCATCAAACTCTGTACAACAAATCCAATAAGCTTATTTTCCCAAGATGCATTGCTTTATGTGGATCATTCTTCCTAGTTAAAGCGCCACAGTGTTTTCTCTTACCTCCACCAAGCCCTGCAGGATGCGCACAAACATGACGCAACCGTAGTGCACCCGTGCTGCTGATGGGATGAACATGTTTAGCACCGACGTCAGGAAAATGGCAGCCCCAAAAACCCTGTAAAAATAGTGAGTTTTGTTGTATTATGTGTGTGTGGAGGGGGGGGGGGGTGTGGAGTTAACAATCCTTTCAAAGCAAACTCCTGTCTTACCCCATATTTAGTACCAAACTGCAAAATGATTTTACATGAAGACTACTAATATTTGCAATATTCCTAATGTCTGTCTGTAACAGGTGAAGACAAACCACAAAAACGTCCTACCCAGAGTGTGATAGCTGCTATTGTCAGGCAGGATATCTGCAAATATCTGACGGTCAAAGCGTCTCAGTCATCCTTATATAACGAGACGGATCTCACGCCTCTGCCTTTCATGCACTGAGATAAAGGCGTCCCATTCATCCCGCAAGTTTCTGCTTCATCCCCACTGTGCAGCTCATGTCCCATCTATTTTCTCCTTCACCTCCTCCTCCCCCACCTTCCTCCTCCTTTTTCCAAAACAGTGTGTAAGTGACACTTGTAATATTCCAGTGGCTGGTGTTTTAGAAAGAAATCAGAGGCACGATCTTTCATTATTGACTCTGTCAGTGGCGTGTCCTCTTTTCCTGTGAAGCTTTTATTACAGGAGTGCTATCTGCTCCATCAGTGCAGCTCACCACGGCGTACAACTTTAACCCCTTAACCGCACACGCTCACCTCAAACATTTATTTATCCATCGTTTTTTCCTTTTCTTTCTCGGGATCCTTTCCTAACGCACGTGATTATGAACCCAACCCCAACTTGAGCAAAACAAATCATGAGACAAAAAATATAATCCAACAAATGCACACGTGGATCAAACATTTTCTCACGGGTCACATCATCTGTTGTCTCGAGCAACACATCCTCAGCTGATTTATCCTTTTGGAGTTTATAAAATTGAAAGTTGAAAGTGTCTCTCTCAAAACATTACCATTAAATTGCTTTTCTATACAAAGATAGATATTCAATATTCAATAACTTGAAACGGAGACTGCGTGCAGGTCACCTGTTGGCAAACAGCTTGTTGGAGATGAAACCACCAGGGATTTGAGTGACAATGTAGCCCCAGAAGAAGGAGCCGTGGATGAGCCCCACTGTCTCTGGGTCCCAGTTGAACTGAGCTCTCTGGAGAGAGAAAGAGAGAGAGAAACATTTACCACCATCTGTATAAAGAGTTGATAGAAGTGAATACACTAGTTTTTGGCTGTAAGGATACAAAAGAACATAGATATACATAATATACAGATTCCTGCAACGTCAATATTCCAGGGCTCCTGTCTGTTTCAATACAGCTACCTGAAGCACAGGGGTCCCATTGATGTAGACGGTGTTGTTGTTCACCATCTCCACAATGGCCACACCGAGGTTGCAACGGATACCAAAGGAGATGCAGAAGCCCAGGCCGCTGAGGATGGCGATGATGTAGCGCTTGGGCAGACCGCCGCAGCTGCAGTCCAGCAGTGGGGCGGCGCGAGGAGCTGACGCCACCGGACGCCCGTCCTCTGTCAGCTCAATGTGGTCTGTTTCCTCTGCATTGCTACCGTCCATTTTCCTGTGACGCAAAAAGCGGCAAAATAAATCACAGTGAGAGCACTTATCTGTTCAGCTTAAAATAACGACATTTTTCTACTATACTTATTTGTTAATCTTCTTTATTCTTCAAACTGCAATATAGAAAAATGCAGGCTCACTAGAATTTTACTAGAATCTGTGGTTTTGGAAGATTAAAATAGCAAGTCATGCAAAGTTAAACAGAACTTCTATTATTTTGCAAACCTTCTACCTCCAACTAAGTTTATAAAAACGGAGTCAGCAGAAAGAGCACAGTAACACAAGTCTCTCTGCTCTAAAAGGTCACAGCAGTGCTGTGGTCAGGTTGCCTTCAGGTGCATTGGTCTCCACACCAGTTTTACAACCCAGAGTCCATCTCTGTATCGCTGTCTCCCCAATCCCATCGACTCTATTCCAGGAAGACACAGAATAAAGCTGGGATCCGCTTTTCATATCAATTTTCCCTTTTTTGAGTCAAGTGTTTCCTAATATAGTACATATTACAAAATAATGCATCTGCTATGGAAAACATATTTTTGTCTTGAAATTTAGAGTTAAACATTCGGATAATAGCGGACCATTTGTCACGTCATGAGAGAATAGTTAATACGGTTATTAGGTATTTTGACGCACAACTGCATCAAAACTTCTGCAGTCTTTTTAGTGTTATGTTATGAAACCAGTCTGAAATGTTTAAGGAGTCAGAAGACAACAAAAAAACAACAAAGAGCATTAAAAAGAGTTTGTGTCTGATCACCTATTCCATAGATAAATGGGTTAAAATATTTAACACATAACTATGAAAGGGTAACACAAAGCAACTTTCCACACGTGAAACTATTGAAGTGAGATTCTCAGGAATTCACATTTGCACATCAAATTAGTATGTCTGGTGTAGCAAGACGACATAATCAATGTTATTAATCAACCCACAGATATATATATATATATATATATATATATATATATATATATATATATATATATATATATATATATATATACATATATATATATATATATATATATACATATATATATATATACCATGCGTGTGTAGTACAAAAATATGGTTTGAATAAAGATATTTTATTCCTATTTTCCACTTGAATGAATTTTAAGTTGAGGCATTCCTATTATTCATGACAAAAACATATGCACATTGACTTTGCATTTTTCCAGGACATTGCCTACTTAAGCATAATCCGCTTTACAGAATGGGGGCTCCATTACCCCCCCCCCCCCCATGCATATCACTGTTAGGGATGTATCAGATATGAAATATATATTACGGTCCTAAAATAAGATTGGTGATTACATCATTGGCCCTGCCTGGCGGCAAGAAGAAGAATCAAATATTTATTTATCGTCTGGATCTCTGAGAACATGGTGTGTTCAATTCAGATGTTTCCCTCTTAGTTACAGAGTAATATGCACCATAAAAACAACAAAGGTGACATGCTCATTCCATGCGATCCAACAAAACCCACAACACCGTGCACACACACACACACACACACATTATGCCTCATTTCCACCTCCACATACAAAGCCTCTCACCTTTGCAGTTTTCCCAAAGAGTCTCCCACTGTGTTTTTCACTTCCTCCTTCCCAGGTTTAAGCACCTTCTCCTTCAAACCTGCTAACCCGCCAAAGGGCATGTTTCCCCGTGTCTTTGGCTGCTCTCCAACCTTATCAGAAAACAGTGTCTTGATGCCTCACTAACGGACTCTGCTCGGGCAAAAGGAAATCCACTAGAAGCTGTTCATCATCCTGACTCTTTGGCACTGGGGTGAAGGGGGGTGGGGGGGGTGGCTCCACCATTCAGTGGTGCCACAGGTCCCTCAGGGGAAGGATAGACCTTTTCTCTCTGGTGTGACGTTTCAGTGTTGACGTGGAGTGCGAGATGATGTTGAAGTATTCCTCAATGTCCAAGGTATCCGTCAGCCCAGAGCCTCTGGAACTATTGTCATATTCTAAAGATCCACTTCATGAAAGTGTAGAATCCAGGTTTTAGTCTCTAGGCTTTGTGAGCCCCCTCCTGTGTCTGCAGCGGATCTAAACCAACTGGTAAGATCTCCTCTGCTCCTCAGAACGCAGCAATTTGTGGTGAGGAGGGGCAGGTGTAGCTGTTTTTTTTTTCAAAAACCCAGCCCCCTCGCTTCACACATCAGCATCATCATCATCATCATCATCTCCCCGGCTCCACCCCGTCAGCGTGTAGGGTTCATCAGAACCCTTAAATATGCATGGGCTTGGCAAGTGGCAATGAGGAGAGACAGGAGAAGATAGACTGATGTGGCGTGAAATGGGAGCAAGTGAAATATAAAACAAAGCATTGAGTTCCAGGTTGAGACTCCTATTTTTCCTCGAGTGCTCATTTTCTCAGGTTGTTATGGCAGAACTGCTGCCGTACAGCTGTATTATTCATGGACTCACAAACAACACCCTCGCTTGCAATTTGACACTGATGGGTGTTTTGCTCAGTAGCTTGGTTTTCCAGCAGGGGGAAACCCCTCATTTTTTCACAGTGAGTTTCCTTTATTCCCGATAATGAAATATGCAGCACTTGAGAGGGATTTTAAAGTTTAAACAGCAGAACGGATGATAAGGGCTGCGGCCCCTTACTGTCTCTGAAGCGATGGGCTCCTGCAGAGCAACCGCTGTGAGCTCCATCCCCAGTGGACTCTCCAATAAATAAGGTCATTTGTTGCTGAAATATCACAGCTCCATTACAGTAAACATGTATGGAACTGCATTTTTTTATGTAAGTACCTTACGGCATAACATATATATGAAATGTGTTCATCTATTTAACCATTTATTAAATAAGGAAGTCTGTTTAGGATGATGCACCACTACAAGGATACAACATTAAAATAATGTCCTTTTGTAGACTCAACAAATACTTTTTGAGGTGTGTAAAGTAATCTGATACTTTTAGATGTAAAATAAACTTATGTAATGTAACTAATGTAACATCTGAACACGAGGCCCGGGGCGTTTTGAACATCATCTTTCTGAGTGAGTGGTGTCTACCACCTAGTGTTCGAAGGAGGAAGTAGCATGTGATCATCAGGTGATTCACATACAATCGATCGATGCATAGTATGAAACTCAAGTCATCTTCTGAGGAACTAAAACTCACTTGAAAAGAGATTAGACTTTGGAAGTTTGAGGCAGAAGTGAAGGGCTAAAGGCAAATACAGCTGCTGCTCTGTCACATCTGTTATTAATCAAATGATAGACTGTCTTTGTTTTAGAACTACCAGCACTGCAAAGTGTGTTAAACGTTGAACTGACCATATTATAGATAGAACTATCAATAAGCCAACGCGTCTCTCAATTTAAGGACCTGCTGCTCCAACAACTTTTCAAGATCTATTCAAGCTAGTTTTGAAAAACCAACAAATCCAAATTATTGTCCAAAAAGCCATCTAATCTGCACCATTTATTCATGAAGAACGGGACTCTCGTTAAGTTAAAACACTTTAAAAACAACTATATTCATCGAAGGAGATTGAAGGGGTAATTTTTTGTTGGGAATACATTAGTTTAAGACACTACGGCTGTTTTCCGCAGTGATACAATGGCTCTGTGGACATTAGTATGATAAATTAACAGCAAGGACCACAGTTAAAACTATAAACGTTCACTCAATTGAGTGTGGATCTTGGGATTGGTTGAAAACGACTGCTGCTGTAAAGCTTGTCTGAGTTCAGTCACAAATAACGTGGGTTTGGTTTATAATCCCTCAGACATTCCAGCAGGGTTACCTCACCGGTCTTATTTTCACACTCCTCTTCCAGCTTCATTACGAGCCGGACGCTTTCCAACCTCCGTTTGCTTAACTGCAAGTAAACATGATTGGTTTCGCTTCCCTCGATCACTCTCCCCTAATTCTGATTTCAGATGTGAAGTCACATGTTTCCACTCTTCCTTGGATTCATGGAGCTCTGTCTGGCAGTTAAGCAGTTTTGGCTCAAGCATCCTTATTTGGGAATGGACATTCTCCTTCAGCCTCCCGTGGGAGCATCGTGGGGCCCTCCGGCAAATGGAGGACATACAATTCCTCAGTCGTGGCTTCAGACTACTGGCTGATGGGTTGTGTGGGTTTGAACTATCACTGGATTAAAAATGAGGGTTTATTATTATTATTATTATTATTTTTATTATATGTATTTTTTTTTTTAAATGGATACGTAAGAAATGTTTCCTCTTTATAATTAGAATGAGTGCATTTTAAGACCCCTGGCCATACTTCATACCAGCTGATGGGGGTAACGCACCAGCAAGTTGTTTGCCAACCGCCACAGAATGTAAAGAAGAAGAACAGAGATCCCGAGAAGCTGAGGCGAGTGTCTCCGGCGTATCGATGCAGCGATAGGAGGAGACTGTCCATGTTTACCGCATTTCCCCCACCAGATCTCCGCTGCGTCCCTCAGAGCACCGCGCGCGGGTCTTCACCTTTTCTGCTGCTGCTCTGTGCACCTTCTCCCTCTCCGTTTCTGCACATAGCGAATGCAAGGTGGCTGTAAACACAGTATTAACACAGCAGCAACCCGCTGTCTCATCCATGCATCGGAGTCCTGCGCACCAGCGCTGCGCCTCCGTCTCCGGCTCCGGCCATGTCGGCCTGGAACACCGGCGGATCGGGGGGCGAACCGCCAGGTAATCCAGAGCCACCACCTCAGATACAAGTACAACACATACACTTCTATTCAGGAGTGAGGATTCAAAGATGTTTTCCATCATTTATATTTACCATTATGTGATCTGTGTCTGCATGTGCCTACAGAGTCGCAGAAGTTCTGCACAGTCCACTGCACAGGCTACATACGCAGCTGGCCCGCCAGTCATTTCGGAGCAGAGGGGGAGGGCGAGGCAGACGAGCAGGACAGCTCCCACTTCAGCTACCTCATGGCGATGGGACGCGTGCACTCACACTCATCTCCCCAGCTTAATGGAGAAGTCTGCGTCAAACCCAGTTCTTCACACGTTATGCTTTGGATGGAAAATTCACCTTTGTCGATCAAAGGTAGAATTAGATTTAAATGACGGGGGTTGTTGAAGATGGTTGTAATGTCGTGGTGCATGGATTTGAAAACATGTACAATTATTTTGACATTTTAAATATCTTTTGTTTAGGTTTCTAACTTCCTTTGATACTGATGTTAAAATGAAAACAATTTCTAAGCATTCTAGATAATACAGTGGTTGATTAAAAGTCATTCATAGTAGCTTTAAAACGCCTTGATTGTCTTTTAACGCTAAAATATTCATTTTGTCCTGCAGAGCTACAACAATTCTTGGTTATCTTCCCCAAGAATTGCTTGGGACATCATGCTATGAGTACTTCCATCAAGACGACTTGCCGCATTCTTTGACCTCTTACCATTTATATAATATATATATATATATATATCCAATTAAAGAGTTTAGGTAATTATCCAATCCTGCTTAGGTAATTAGGTGAATTTCATTTTGAGCCTATTGAGTTTCTCCACATTAATTAATGAATCAGCTGTCATGGGTTCTCCATATTTCTGTCTGCTGGTCCTTTTGCATTTGTTTTTTTAAGATTATACTGATGCCTCGCTTTCTGTGTAGTCCTCTAATCCGCCCTGTTTTCGTGCTGTGGAGTAAAGACAAAATAGAGACAAACTGCTATAAGTTTAAAACAAAATGTGGCTCGTTCGTCACTCTGCAAAGTCAGTGGTTTAGTTTTGTGAATCCCTGGACCAAAGAAGTGGAATACATAGGTAACTAACAAGGTAATATTGTGAGTATGTGCTTCAGCTTCTTGTTCCATAACCTAGATGATGTCTAATTGTACCCCAATTAGTCACATTAGACATTAATCGGCACTGTTTTCTCATCCCACGACCAGGATCGATCACATTCAAACCAGTCGGCCAGTAAACACATCTCACCCGTCGAGCAATTACAAGACCTGTGACGGTAAATCAAAATGAAAAAAGACGACAAAGATGAAAGATAAAGATCTTAAGCCGTGTGGACGTGAAGCACATATCCGTTCTTTTCTGGTAGAAGATGGCAGGAAGTCCCATCCAGTTGTACCCGGCACCTCCGACTTTAAGATTTATGCTGGAAGCATCGGAGCCCAGATTGCCAAAGAGCTGCTGGATTATAACAGGTGTGTTCTCACAAGAAAGCAAGTCCCCTTTCCTGTTTGCGTCTGTGATAGAGAGAAGTACATCTGATTGACAATTACATAGGAAGTAATTCAGTGAGTGCTTTTTGCTACAGATGTTTCCATCGTTGATCTGTGTTTTTCTCTTTAGGATGAACACGTCACCTTCCTGTTGTAGCGTCAGCCCGTTCAGTCGACCGCGTGATAAGTGTCCGCAAACTCACAATCCAATCAGCAACAATGTAATTTCATGTACATCTGCATCATTGGTGTATCTGTCTCAATGCTCTTCTATTGACAAAACTGCAGCATGCTTTTCAGATGAGCTCAGTCCAAAATAGCTGAGTGTAATTTATGAAATCAAAAACATAAATGTTTATAGTTTTATGGGTTTAGGTCTATGCTAGTGTGTAAATTGGACAGTTAGTTGAAATCCACCTGAATTGAAGCTCATTCAAACTATTTACTACTATAAATTGAAATTACACTAAATCAATGTGACGGTTATTGTTTTTGCCCCATTTGTTTTGCTAAATGCAATAAAAATACCTTTCACTACCTGAATATGGTGGGAATTATAACTAAATAATGTAATTTGTTAAGGGTGGTCATTATCAAGACATGCCAAACATTTTAAATGAAATGAGGCAATGCCATCCTAAACCCCTCAAATGATTTATACAATTGTTCATTTATTACCTCATAATTGAATGATCAAACCTGTTATCTGTCGCAAATAAGACGTGTTTCACGTTGACATTCTGGCCAAAGCTCTTTTAATAGAAGCACGCTGTATCTACTGGAGTTCAACTCAGTTCATGTTCCTGATGGGCTGTAATCTGCTCCTCTTTCGGTCGTAAGGTGCCAGATGGAGGTGCAGCGGATATGGAGATGCCAGGAAAGTGCGGCTCAGAGGATGATCAGGGAGCTGCTTTCTCAGAGGGTATTCTCGCTGCTCCTGTTGATTACCTTATTCACACATTTTATTTAGCAACAAATTTAGCTCTATTATACTATGTATACACTCTGTATGTATAGTTAGATTCCTCTTCTAAATCCAGTCATTTCCTTCTTTCCTGTCTACCTATCTCAACTCAGAAGGGAACTCCCAGCTGGATTCGGACTGTGTGGTTGGACCGGGCCTCAGCAACCTCAGCGGCGACGAAGCGGCGATGGCAGTGTTCATGAGCCTCCTGGAGACGGACACAAACCCGGGGGAGGCTGCGGACATCCAGGAGATGCACTGGTCTTTGTAGAATCCGCCGCCACGCTCCGAAAAACACCAGGATATAATCTTTTTTTCTCTAATGCAGTATTATATTTTTGTTGGTGGACATTTATCAGTAACCTTTTTCCACGTAAGCCAGCAGTTTCTGTGTGACTGCTCTCATGAGGAGCCGTTGCGATCGACAACAAAAAGAGACGCCTTGTTGTACTTCCACGCATTGTCAGCTTTCATATTATACACTGACATTTCATAAAAGACAGACCCAATTCTGTCCTGCATACATTTATTAACTTGGATTTTCTCCTGATCATGTTTACAATTGCTCATCTTTGATTTTTACGTATAAACATTGACAGTAATCATGACATAATTATTACATTAGTGACCTATTGTTGAGAATCACGTGCTAGCCAGATGGCCTCATGTATAAATACAATGTACTATGTCAAATTGTGACATCAGCTTTGCTCATGCCAAATAATACAAACGTATACATAATTCAAGAATACCTTAGTATTGCTTGTTGAAAATGATTTGATCTTATAAAAATGTGTTCAACAACATGTCTTTCCCTCTGTCATCTATTCCTAAATCAATTAATCAAAATACCCATAGTTGTATTGCTACCCAAATGAACAAAACATGTTGATGGGTTTGAATGTGTAGCTTTCATGCCGTCATTCATATTAGTGTCTCAGGACACAATTTATAGCCTCCTCATGAGGACCGTTGAGGCTTTTCCAACAATAAATCTGTAAGATGTTGTTTTGCAAATTGCATGAAACTGTATTTTTTTAATCTAATGCTTTAAAATGAGCCAGTGCATTGACCTCTTTAGCTCTTAAGGACTCTTCTCCCTGTGTCCAAAGTGCCTTGGCTGCTAATGGAGACTCGCACTCAGCAACCTCTACAGACTGAAGGGAATGTTGAAATCTGGATGGATTCAAATTTTTTTTATTTGGTTCGAGGCTTTGTTACTAGTTACACGAGCCTTTTGTACAATCTATTATTAGTTGCATCAATAAACCTGTAAAGTTGAAACAGACTGATGACACGGACGCCTATTGCTGCAGATATTATTCATCTTATTTTGGGCAGCTTGTTACTTCCTCCTTTGTATCACTATATAAGTTAGTTCATTCTTTATTTTTGGGCCCCAAGGAAAGCACTTACTCTTTATGACTGTTTCTGCCGTGCTATTAATTTGTCTGGACCCGGTGTGGTTTATTCTATTCGCTGGAAACTGAAGTACAACCAGGTTGATGATGGGACAGAATCGTTCCAGCCTCTCATTTTCTCCTTCCTGAGAGAAATAGCATCACAACTGCTTGGCGATGGAGTTGCCTATTTCTATGTCTGATTGCATTTCTTTTATTGATTAATTCATGGGTATCCTGTGAAAATGAAATTTTACTTGTCCTTCTCATTTTATATTATTATACTGTATATCCATGCTGCACTTAAACCGCATGTGAAGGTATTTGATTGTCTTGGTTTACCCTGACTGCCCATTAACATCTGCACTGCATGCGTAGTATTCAACACATGACTGCAGTAATTATATTTTCATGTCCCGTAATAGTTTTACTCCATTTACTGGAAATATTGCACGTTTTACTCCACCACATTTACCAGATACCAATTATTACTCAGACTAATAATTTAGCAACATACCCCAAATAAGCTTTATAAGCTGAATATATTTAGATGCCTGCATCAGAAACAATATTCCAGTACAATCCCCAATGGGAATACGTTTGGCTATTAATGTTTCTGTACTAAACGTTTAAATCGTAACTTCTACTGGTATTCTTTGCACAGTACGGGGATGAAGGAAACGCATGACCACATGATGTCCTCGGTGCTTCTTCAACGCTGGACAGACAGGCTCCTCCCACACCGTGAGGAATGTGCTGCATTCAGGGGCTAAACATTTAACGTTTCACAAAGGTTTTGACCTCAACGCGATTAGTTCAGTTACTCGATTGCAGGTTTTCCCTTGTCATTATTGTGATCACGTTTTTCTGTGTATTTGTAAAGAGCTAAATAAATATGAACCGCCTTTTTAACAAATCGTCATGCACTGCGCATTGCTTGTGTCGTCGGTCATCGTTCTTCCACAGTGGAGGATCTCGCATTTCCCATTTCTACCACGCTACGGGAACGCACCAGAACTCCCATCCTTAGATGAATCCGCGCTCGCGGGCCAATCCACCGGCAGCGGGGCGGGATTTTCCTGCACCACGTCCCGAGTTTTCCAACTTCCATATCCAACAATCCCGCCGCGTCGCGTCGCGTCGGGGCACCATGGAGTAGGGATGTGGACGGACGGGGGTAGCACACAGCGAAGTTCAGACGCCGACTAACGCGATTGTGGAATTGTTGGGAACCATCAACGGACTAACGGAAATCACTGGGAGCGGACTCTCGGTGAGTGAGCGCGACCATGTTCGTCTCTGAGCCAACTTTGCTTTGCGAGTTGCTAACGTTTACTTTGGCCAACGTGAGTCGGACCCAATTGAATATCATGGCGTTAAAGGACACCTTATTACTTGAACGAGTATTAACGAATGTTCCGACTGTCCGGAAAGGGTTTAAGCTTCTATCACCAGTTGCGTAAAAACGTTGAGCCTCCATGTTCTTGTATTTTCACTCCGCCGCCGTGAACTACAGGTTGACTCATCTGATTTATTGTGGCCTCAGGTGCTGCTGACTGCCGGTGAGATAAACCTGCTTTGATGCAGAAACCTTGGAGGTTTTTTTTTCCGCCAAAGGTGAATTTAACCAAACTGTGACCTTTGTCCCCGTCGACTGTTTAACCTTACTTCTTTTCGTTTTTAAAGCTGTAAAATTGGGCCAGCTGTTGCATCGCCCCCCAGTTGACTCCTCCAAAGTATTTGGCCTCCCTTCTAAAAATGCTTTCCTAAAACAAATGTATTTCCGGAGAGTGGAATAGATGAACATAAGGTAATTCCTCTGCAGTGGTGCGTTCATGAAGTTGCGTCAAACCATGTAATTTTACTCCTCTAAACGTTAACTACCAGGGCTCTTTATTTCCTTCTTCACAGTCTTTTCTTGAGCCAAGAATGCTAAAACGTCCTGCCTGTAAAGTTGCAATAAGCTACTTTTCTTTTAGTGGTTGTACAGATATGGAGTGACGCTGGAAAGGCTCATGCATCACAAAACATCAACATGTGTGACTGAACATGAATGATTTCCCCAACAATCTGCACCACCCGTGCACTGTTGCCTTTATTTTTTGGCATAATGTTAAAGACAAATGTTTTTAATTTGAGGAACAAGTCGTGCAGCCACGAGTAACAAGAATGAGGGGCTCCTCTCCAACATAAATCAATTGCAACTATGCTTTTTTGTTTTGCATACGCACGCGCAGGGGTAAAACTTTTTTATTTTTAAACATGGTAACTCATAATAATACCCCCCTCCCCCTCCTCCCCCTCAAATGTCCATCTTTTAGTGATGATGTATTCTGCCTGCTCACTCAGGTTGTAAATAGCCAGCAGGTCACACGAGAGCGGCGCCCTGCGGACGCACGGGCCAGGCCGGCTGCCTCCCAGCACTCCCCCACCCTTAAACTGCAAGACGATAACAAAACCTCCGTCACGAGAGGAAATCGCCGCAGGCCGTGTGCTTATTCTATGATTATTTTAAGCGTGTTTTACGGTGTGGCACAACACCGTACATGGTTGGGGCCAAAACACACTCGGATGATGTTTTTAGAGAGGTGCTTTGGAACACTTGAGCCTGTTCTAAGGTTTTCATTCATGGCGCTCTTTGCAATCGGAGCATTACGGGACGGAAAAGACTGAGTCAAAGCCTGCGTGACTCAAGACACGGAAAGTGACATAATGCGGGGGTTCTTGAACCCGTCCCTTTCTGCCCACACCTTTTTGTTATGACTTGGATATAAAAAGAAGTAAAGCAAAGTCTGTAAGATTGAGGCCTGTATTGTAAATTCTTCTTGTTTTATGTAGCAGTGCAACACTAGTTATTAGAGCCAGTTGCATGCCTGCAGTAAACACCCATCCCATCAGAGACAAGAGGCCCCGCGGGCTTATATTTAGTTTTCTATTTTCTCTGTGTAGAGAAAGAGTATAGTTTTTTCAGGACTGAGGAATTGCAAGGTTTTCTCTTCATTTCAGCTTTTGGTAATGTTCAGTGTTGTCGGGATTGGGTTCTTCCTGCATGAAGGGACCAGAGCTCTAGGATATAAAAAGCCATTATCATGATCCACTCTCCCCCCTTGTATTCATTATCCTCTGCATGCCTCCGTGAACATTGCGTCTGCTTTTCACTAAAGGGCATGATGGCTTTTCCAATGTGTCTTCTTGTTTTGAGGCACTGTGGCTCTGTAAGGAGTACGTAGGCAGGTGTTATTGCAAATCCAGCGTGTACTGTAGCAGAGCATAGCATTTCCCCCCCCTATGTTTTTACCCCCCCCATCCCTCTCAGTCAAAATACCTCACTATCGTGGACAAAAGCCCTCTCTGTGTGTCTTGGGGTTCATGGAAGTGGTGCTTCTAGAGCAGCACACACTGAGACTTTGTTTTTTCAGACTGAGACTGGGGACTTTTGAGATGTCTCCTTTGATAGCAAGTTTGGTCGGATTAATTACAGATGCAGTAATGTCCTCCACAATGCATTATTAATTAAGTAAAGATAAAATGCAGTTTAATGATTTGATGAATGCATCATCTGTGGCAACCGTCTAACTGATTTGTGAAGATACCCGTTTGTGCTTTCACGAAACCATCATGCGCAATCTTTTGACTATTCTGACATTGTTTTAGACCCTAATTGAGAAAAAAATCCTGTGTTGCAGCCTGAAAATACACTGATTCACTCTTTTGTTTCGTGGAGACAAAACAGGCAAAGTCACCCTGCTGCTTGCTAGACAACCCTCCTTTGTTATGACTAGCCTTCCATGGAGCACACAGTGCACTTCTGCAGTTAGACATTCCTGTTCCTGAGACGTATGTCCACTGAATCGCGAATAACGCCACGTAAGGGGTCAGAGACCGTCCTTACTCTTGTTCAGAACCGATCAACACATGGCCAGTCGCCACCTGAGCAGCATGCCTGGTCTTGACTTGGTGTGTTTGAAGTCTGTTTGCTGTAAGCTGTGTGTTAACCGTACCCATATTTGCCTCTCTGCTGTGAGAGAAGCGCTGACTCGGGTTCTAAGGGAGATCATCTCCGATGCCCTGCAGGCCTCCATTCCAGTTTTGAGTCGCAGGGATCCACTCCGACTCTGCAGTTGAACAATGACTTTTTGGCCAAGCTGGTATTGACTTTCCAGTTTCGTGCTTACATGACATGTTGGAGATTTTGTTTTAACTAAAAAAAGGTGCAACAATAAACGACCGTATAGTTTCTTTCAAAAACTGAGAAAAGGACATTTGTCTGTAAAAAATACGAAGACCAACACCAAGATCCCATTTTCCAAAGTTAAAAAAAAAATTTGAATCAATGTTTTCACAGACATGTTGTGCTTATTTTCATCTTTATTTGTGCCTAATGTTGATGTCTTTCTGAGAAGATAATGTGCAATACTGCTGATTCTGGGTCGAACAGTGGGCATGATCTAGGTCCCTTCTGAACCACCATTGAAATGTAATATTTTTAAACTCTTCCAGTAATTTGAGTACATTATTCCCATACCTAAGTAAAAAAAAAAAAAAAAAAAGACATTCTAAAAGAAGATTGCCTTTTGGAAACAACCGATCTATTTCTCTGCTCTGCATTCCTGTCCTATTTGTGAGACAAGCAGTCACTGTCGGAAGCAGCTCTGCCCTCCTTCAGGGTTTACTGTTGGAAACCACTCAGCAGTCCACTATGAGGCTGACTGGAGGCACGCTGGTTCCTCTTATTTCTTCTCAGTCGATTTTGTGTGTGTGTGTGTGTGTGTGTGTGTGTGTGTGTGTGTGTGTTGTGATGGCTGCATGCTTACTTTACACGCAATGGGAAATGTGCCCACAGAGATGCTGAAATAACAGTGTTGGGTCTTTGGGCGGTTTCCATAAAGTTTGTAAATGGTGCCAATTCCCAGTGATAGGCACTCCCAGGATGTGAGGCAGCTGATTTAAAGGAAAAGGTGTGTGTGTGTGTGTGTTCAAATGAATGCCTGTGCATGCACTTTTAAGCATGAATTTGCAGCCCGGCCTTTTGATTAAGCGTCCAAAGATAAAGGGTCTGTTGTGCTGCTGGGGCAGAGCTCCAAGGCTGGGATGCTAAAATGTAACTGATTCAAACAGAGTGTCCACTGTCCTATTGGCGGGACGTTCATTCTGACAATAGTTGAGGTGAATGGTTTGATTGAAATTCTGAAATGCATTATTCATCCCCTGCTCCATTGAGTATAAATCAGCAGAGCACATATAGTTCTATTTCAGAGGTTTTGGTTTGTTTTGGCAGATCTTTTCTTATTTCTTATTATCTTATCTTTATTTTTGCTGCCACACTCTGGTCATCATGTAGCTGTCTATACGTGGTGCTTTCAGGTCATTTTACTCAAAAACGTCAAATCCATCTAAACTGTGGCATTTTAGCAGATAATGTGCAAATTTCAGGCATAGTGGGTTGTTGAGGATGCACTGCAGTCACAGCTTAATTCCCCGGTGGGAAGTGCACATCTGCAGATCTGTGATTCTCACTGCTCTATGCTGCTGGGTTGGTCGTCCCAATAACCGTTGGTGTTTTCATTGTCATGTTCTTTTCAGTTTATTGTGAGATTTCTTGTTTTGTGTCACCGCCTGGTACACCATGCGAGTGTGGAGATTTCTCAGAGGCTTCTTTACAAAAGAGATCATGATGCATTGATGATGATCATTGGATTTCCAGGTTCCTCGGTGAGTAAAGATGATGGCTGATGCCAGCGACATGTTGGCGGCCGCCTTGGAGCAGATGGACGGCATTATAGCAGGTATAATTTGTCTATTGCATCAAGCGTTGCCATACTATTTTATAAATTTACAGCTGTGTCAACAAAGCAAAATGTTTTCCAGGTTGAGCAAACATTGTTAACACTTTATCATTTTAAATAGACATCAAAAATGGCAGTCGCAAATCTATTCAATTGACAGAGAAGCAGATGAAGCTGAATGATAAACATAAAGGACATATGTAGAATGTTTGTTTTCATAAAACCCAAATCACAAATAATGTAGCTTTTATTCTGCTTGATCCTTATTAAGCTGCCATAACTGCATCATATCTTAATTGCTCATCTTCAACACATAGCTGATGCCAATATTGGTCGTCTCCTAATTACGTGAATTTTATGATGATCATCATTCACTTAAGTCCAGCCTCTGATAGCGGGCACTCTGCCATTTAGTCAATGCAACATTGTAATTAATACGAGTGTTGAAAGTTGTGTTATGTGTATGGTGACCTGAGCACGAACAATACCTGGTCTCCTTTTGTACGGCTGAGAGCAGTTTTCTTTGGGGTTCCCGCCCTTAATGCTCCCCTCCCTCTCCTCTGTGGTGCTTCTCTACCTCAGGCTCCAAGACTCTGGACTACTCCAATGGGATGTACGACTGTCAGTCCCCCACCTCTCCTTTCATGGGCAGCCTGCGGGCGCTGCACCTTTTGGAGGACCTTCGGAGTGTCCTGGAGTTGATGGACACGGAGGAACGGGAGAGTCTGCGCTGCCAGATCCCCGACTCCACAGCTGACAGTCTGGTCGAGTGGCTCCATGGTCACTTGGTAAGACGTAGATTTAAAAAAGCCTGCACGCGCTACAAGAGAAGCTACAAAATCTGTAACAGAATAGTGTCTGAGATATTAAACCGATATGGTAATCATCAACAGTTGCTGTTTTAGTTCATTAACTGGAGATCAGAATACAGTCTCATCTGTTTCTCATCAGTTTCTCTGGTAATATAACGTAACTGGTTTATCTAAAATTAGAAGGTGACAAATGTAGAAGCAAAAGAGGGAACTCTTTCACTGTCTAAGGCCGGTTTAAGTTGAGTCACCATGGAGGAGGCTTAGTCTGTGCTGGTAGGACAGAATGTGCTGCAAACAAGCTGTAGAACATCTGGTTTGCTTCTGATTGTGATCACCCTCTCTGTGATCTCTGTGAATGCACACCAGCACGGGCAAGCAGTCCTGTGTGAAAGTAGAACGTAGACAACAGACAAACATGACTGCCGCCCCGCGCCGAGTTCACTGGGAATTCATGCTGAAATGTTGGGGGTGGGGGCCGGGGGTGTTAAGTGTGCTTGGCTAGATGGGCTGAAGAGTTTTTGTAGGATGCTGTAAGTCAGTGTAAACAGCAGCCTGAATGTGAGCCATCTTCTCAGCTATGGAAGGTTTTGCTAGTGCAGGGCAGCCAGTCACACTTTGAATTAAATCTGACATCGTTAGGTGGTTAAACCTCAAATAATTTTAGGATCAGCTGACTAAATAACCTACCTGAGTCTGCACCGTGCAAGGTGAAAGAAGAGTCTCTCTTTGTCTAATCCATGTTTCTTTCTCTGTGTGTGTGTGCGTGTGCGCAGTCCAACGGGCACATCTCTCTGAGTGGCTCTGACCACTACCAGGAGAGGCTTTCCCGAATAGAATGTGATAAGGAGTCACTAGTTCTTCAGGTATCCATCCGACAATGGTTAAAAATCCCGCAATTTCCAAGAGGAGGCAACATTTGACTAGAGATAAAATCTGCTTAAAAAAAACCCCCACCTCTCTTCTTGGTTCCTCGCAGGTGAGCGTGCTGACGGACCAGGTGGAGGCTCAGGGAGAAAAGATTCGAGACCTGGACATGTGCTTGGATGAGCACAGGGACAAACTCAACGCCACTGAGGAGATGCTACAACAGGTGTGTGTGCGTCTCGTATGCAATGTGCCACCCGGTAGTGAAAGCTTTCATATGTGTGGAAGGGAAGCTCACTTTTACCGTTAAAGGTCGGAGTTCACGAACATCTGCTGTGTTGTTTCTTACTCATGCGCTTACGTCGGGGGTGGAAGTCTGCCACTGACTGTTATTACTAATATTTACAACGACAAGAATGCCTCTGCATCCAACGTTGACTATACAGCAACCAACTTTCATTGCAACGTCGCTTCTTTTATCATTCGCAGGAGATTCTGTGCAGAACTACGCTGGAGACGCAGAAGCTAGAACTGATCTCCGAAGTGTCCAACCTGAGGCTGAAGCAGAATACCTTGGAGAAGGACAGACTTGATTTTGATGATAGATTTAGAGATAGTGAGGTATGTGAGCTACTTCTCAGGAAAGGAATTCCCTTTCTCCTTTCTCGCTCCTCAATATACGCACGCACACGCACGCGCTAGTTTTCACGCATATTGTGACACATGTGGGGGACAGACGTCACATTTTATTTAGTCAGTCTCAAAGCAGCTGTGTTTTGAGAAAGAATGAAAGTCAGATGAATGTTCTTACTTTTCAAGGACAAATCATTCATGGAAGTATCCAAACTTTAAGAAGCCTATCCGTTGTTTACAAGATTGGAGAATTTTCTGCTCTCAGAGGAAGCATGCAGGATACTTGGAAGCATTCCAACGCGACGCGTTGTTGTTGTTGCAGCGCGGCCGCCTCTTCCACCCCACTGGAACAAAAAGCTGCTGTCAATGTCCTGCCTCACAAGGCGTAAATCCCCTCTCTTCTCTTGTTGTAACACCGCTGTGCCTTCTGAAGCATTAAATCTCCAAGGAATTCAGTCTCTTCAAATGTATCCACGGTCACTAAATGCTTTCTATTTTCAGGATTTGATTCTTGAAATTAACGAACTGCGGTACAGATTGACAGAGCTGGAGAGTGAAAAAGTACAGTACGAAAAGAAACTCAAATCCACAAAGGTGAGTTTTCACAGGAGGGTTCTCTGACTGTCTTCGTGGCTGTGGATGTGTTCTCAAGAGTTTTCTTTCTGTTTTAATGTGCTTTGTTCTGTAAATACTCTGGTTTGAATCTTAAGTAGTTTATCTTATTGACCTCCTTCACTTCTTGCATCTCTACATTCTCTCTCTCTCTCTCTTCCTTGCCTTGTCTCTCAACTGCTAGTCACTAATGGCCAAGCTTTCTAGCCTGAGAATCAAAATGGGCCAGATGCAGTATGAGAAACAGAGGAAGGAGCACAAACTCCAGGCTATGAAGGTTGGCTTTTGTCAGGACGACTGTTTGGCTTGCTGTATGATTATGGTTTTTGACCTCTCCCTTTGGATCCTCTTCTGCTTTTATTTTTGAGGGTAAAATCATTACATCTGGTTGGCAGTATTATTTTAAGCAAATGGACTTTTTGTAAACTGTGAAGTCACTTGCTTGCCTAAACCATGCAGCAGAGTAAAATGCAAAAAGTCGGGATCATTTAGAAAAATGTCTTGCTTGACTCAGGGTATCTACAGGGGGCAACTTCAAGCAAACGCTCACATTTTCAAACCACAGGCATGCGCTAATTGGGGTTCTCGCTGTTTTTGGCAGATTTGGCAGCGTTCTATTTCTGTGCGTCTTCCTCTTCTTTCTGAAATTGTTCAGGGAAATTTATATTTTCAACTTGCTTCCTATTGTGGTCAATTGTAAACGTATCGTTTTTATAATGGCATGTATTTGTTAATACCTGAGTCCTTACCCAGCCACCTCACACATGCCGCCCCCCCTCACCCTTCCCAGCAGGTGTGTCCTGCGTGTCTGTACACCACGTCTGCATCCTTCAAACTCCGTGTTGTGGTTTGTTTGTAGTGTGGCGTTGGAGTGGGGGAGGTTGTGTCTGTGTGGAGGAAACGCCCTCACTGTTGTCATCTGCTCGACAGGAGGAGCTGGCCGCGATGAGGTGGCAGCTGGAGGGCAAAGACGGAGAGACGAGGAGACTACAGGACGAGACGGGCTTCAGAGCCATCGCCTCGAGCAGTTCAGATCCTGCGGAGAGAGGTGGGAAAACCAGTCCGATGGCCAGCGGTACTGACGACGAGCATGCATGATGTCTAAGCTCCTGGTCATGAGATTGAGTGCTAATATCTATGGATAATTAGCAAAGCAGTCGGCTTAGTTCTGCTAGAGCCAAACCATTTTTTGTTTCATAATTCTTTGTCCTGTTTAGTCTCTCATCCAGATGAAACTCTTAGAAAGAGGCTGAAAGAAAAACGTAAGGGGGGTTTTTATATTTGTTTTTATTATTGCACCTTATTACTGCACCCCTCTCAACCCATGTTTGCATGAACGAGCATGAGCCACCTGAACTCAGCTTGTCCATTATAACCCATTGGAGTGCTACTACCAGACCGCAACGCATCGCATCATTATACCGTGGTCAACTTTGGGGACCTTGAGGTGAAGACCAAAGCCAATCCTAAAGGAATGTCTGCTTTGTGTTTTCACCAGGAATGAATTTGTTGTTTGTCATAACCATTCAGGCTGCTCACTCATCCTTCTGCCTCGTGTTCTCCAACAATAATCACCTCCTGTACTCGGCCATATCTCCCTTCTAGCACCTCCGGACCTGCCCTCGCGCACACCAATAGCCAGTGTGTGTCCTGCTAATCCGCCATGTTGTTGTCAAGCTCAGTGTGTGACAGTCTTATTCGTTACCGCATCAGTGATCTTCCACTTATGTAGAACAATTTCATTTTTCATTCAGTACGCGGATTCCCTCAACATGGACATCCATACAGTTTACTAATCGAGAATAGATCAGTTGAATTTGCATTTTATTGCCCAAAACCGATGTCTTTTTTTTTTTTTTCATCACAAAGCACATAGAATCTGAACAGTGACATTTTTCTCATTAGAAAATCAATATCAGTCGGGTCATAATTCTATAATTCTTCTAAAAAAACGTTTATGTCCCTCCACATCGACGTTGCAGTGGTCACTTTGCCAATGCAGACGAGGAAGACGTGGCGTGTTTTGCCGCGGGAGTCACCAACACATCTGGCTCAGGCTCTACACACTCCTGCATACAGAAGTAGCAGCCATCGCTCCACCAAACGCCTTAATTAACAATATGGCTCTCTGTCCCCTGATCGTCTTCCCTGTTATCATCTACTCACGAATTTGCAGATATCTAAATATCCAATTAATCCCCATTTGGAGATCATATTGAAGTACTTTTTGTTGTTGAATTACTTAAAAACAACAATCCTGAGAGGAGACTGGCTGAATAAAAGAAGTTTGTTAGTGTTTTACAACGCTGTCACAGAAAAGGCGCTGTAGCTGTGTGAGTGTGTGTCTTCTGGAAAGCGAAAATGTTCTACCAAGTGAAATATGTGAAAAATCTGTTCACACAAGGATATTATTATTTCATTTGAAGAACAGAATGTGGCTGAAATGACTTTCAATGCCTGCACGGTGGAAGCCCCCTTTGCGCTCTGTGTGCTCAGGTCCTTCATCCATATCCTCCTTGTACCTGCGTTAATCATCACACATTCTGTCGTTGATAACCGTCTGTCCTCACTAGATGTGGAAGTGCAGAGAATGAAAAAGGCAGTTGAGTCGTTGATGGCAGCCAATGAAGAAAAGGTACATTTGATAAGTTGTGATTCACTTTGTGCCGAATCAAGCAGTTCAAAGAACTTACTGTGGATCAACTTGTCTTTGACTTTGCAGGATCGTAAGATCGATGACCTGAAGCAGTCGCTGCTGCGTTATAAGAAAGTTCAAGAGATGGTGATGTCAGTGCAGGGGAAGAAAGGTGAGTTATCTGCCAGAGTAAATTAGTGATATTTACAAAGATCCGCCTCAATGGCCACGATGCTATGTCGGAAGTATTAGTCCATTAACTGCATTTGACTTATACTTAACTTTAACACCAGCAATTCTTCACAATATATCTGATGTTTGATTGTGCTATCCAATTTAGATGGCGTCTGGATTTATTCCTGTACAATATGATAATCCCCTTGAGTAAAGGTTTGATCAATGCTAAACAACACAGCGGATTCTGAAAGTGTCAAACTTCTTAATCATTGTCTATTGCAGAGAAAAGCAAAGACACTGAACACATGGGCAGTAATGGTGATGAGTCCATTGCATTCTTCTCAAACATCCCGGAGTTCATGGAGTCCGAAAAGTATGACGTTACAGATGGGGAACAACTGAAAAGTAGGAGCCCAGATGAGGTTTGTGTTCCATAGTGTGTGTTTCACAAATTCTAAAAATCAACTGGCACTCATAAGTGAGTAGCAGTTGATTTTGAAAAGCATAAAAAATTCAGTACTGTAAATTGCATTCTTAACCACAATATATTTTTGATTTGTCAGTGTTGATGTAGCAATGTATAATGTTACATTTTGTATTACGAACTTCATTGGTTTCTTTTTGATGTATTGCTTAGCGACTCTCTGCGATTTCCACTTTTTAGAGCAGCGTCATATCTTATTAAACTCAATAAACTCACCTAGATTTCACACTTGCTAAATGATTGTTGACGGGTTTGACGTCCAATTAAATGAATAACATTGGCTGTCGGTTCTCTAAGCATTACTGGAGATTAATAGAATGCTGTATTCTCATGTCTGCTGAATCTTTATTTTTTTACTTTTAATGTTAAAAAGTGTATATTTCTATGTCTAGTTGGAGATCCTCAATGGACTGAGTGAAGAGCCTTCCCCCACACCGAGCCCTTCAGATCCAGAAGGAGTATTAGAAGCAGCAGATGTAGAAAGGTTAAAGTCAAGACTATGCTCTTCTACATGCATTGATTTAGTAGACAGGATTTGGCAAATGTAGGTTTCTATAACGTATGTATATATTTATTTTTACGTGTCTCCAATAGTTTCCATTTTTTTGTGCCGCTTGACAAAGAATCAATCATATATCAAAAGAAAGATGATATCAAGTTGTACTGATGAATATGACCTGAAGTCCTTTCAGCAACACGAAGGTATCCATGCCCGCTCTGTAGTGTGCGCTTACGTAACAAGCAATCACACCACAGCCGAGGTTTGCTCGCCGGCTTCCTGCAACCAGACAAGAGCTCCACATAGCGACTTGGCTAGATAGGATTTAACAGAATTAGAGCTACGTTTTGTGTTGGTCTGGTTTGTTGTTACAATATTTAAGAAACGTGTACGTTTTGAATATTACAGATTGTTTCAAGAAAACAACAAAAGCAGAGATTCAAGTGTTTCTATGTAGTATGAAGTGAATATTACATATTACAAGTGAATTTATAACATTTTGATGTTAAGATTGTATATTGCATTGTATATCTACTGCACAGCTATGGCAGCAAACCACAAACTCAGGCAACTATTGTTGACTTACTTCAGTCATGTCTGAGAAGGTGTCTCAGTAGTTAAGTTCATAACCTGTAGCTGCAGACTGCTGCTTCTGACGACCAAAGCTCCCTATCTCTACTACGCTGCCACCAGTTTAGTTTGCATTGTTGTGTTTTGACGTTTCAGCTGCCATGATGCTGCACAGACTGGCAGCCGGGAGCATCTGGAGAGGAGCAATAATCAAAAGGTAAAAGCTGCTCTTTTTTTCTTTCTTTTTTATCGTTAATCTGATGTTAATGCCTTTTTTCCCAGGATATTGTTCATTTGTAAAACAATACAACCAGCCTCTCGCCCTCATAAAAATGTATATAAAACGAATATTTTAATTATGGATCAACTATCTAACTACAGTTTAGCATGTCATACTTGACCAGTTGGCACTTGTAGGTTGGTCCTGTAGGAGTAATGCTTTTTGGCCTCTGCTAGAATGCCGGTGCAGAGACGAGTGAAAAGCCGCCGATGGGTCCCTCCGCCACCTCGCCCGCACAGCACAGAGGATGAAAGCTTTGGTTCCAGAAAGGCTCGTCCTCTTTGAAAGGGCTTCTTCAAGCTCCGTGGGGCCAAGAAACACCAGTACTCCTAACCTCGTAAGGCGAGCTTCTTCGCTCTGCATTGATGGCCATTCTGACATTCAGCGTTTACTAGAGAGTGAGATTGACTTGGAGGCTTTTGTCACCATGACTGAACTTCCCAAGCCCCACCCCATGGAACATTCTAGCTGGGACCAAGACCATAATTTGCGGCCCACACAGACTGTGCTCCCCATTTAATTATGGAAGTCCGTTCCTGTGCCGATGTATGCCCTTTGTTCTGTGTGTGGGCTTTTAATGTGTACTATACACAACTATGCCTGTGTTTGTTCCAACTGTACAATCTGGTTTTCCTATTTTTATCATAATGTCTGCCCTTTGTCTTGTCCTTTTTTAATTTTATTGGATCCTGTTGTGTGTGTCCTTTTGTAACACATGAAGACCGCAGCCGGAGTGCAAGTGCGCCTATGCTAGGTACAGTATAGACAAGAGGTCGTTGATGGGCTCAAGACAAAAGGAAACTACTGAAATATAGCGTGCATTGAAGTTCTCTTTTGTGCTTTTTGAAGCCGTCCATCTAGCTGACATCTTTTTATCATCCCTCCTCAGTGCTACAGCTGCACCCTTGTCCCTCTCATTGTTGCACAAATGTCCAACATAGAGAGTCTGTTGTTCATTTGCCTGTGAGCCTGCATGTATTTGTTTAGTCGTTTTTTTTTTTTTTGTCCAAACGATCTGTTTCAAGATTGTGATTATCAGATAAAATGATATATTTGGATCTTGAAGGCCTCCCGCAAAACCATCCAACACCAAACTAATGAGCCTCCTTTCTATCTAATCAAATTTGACTGTTTTATTCCAGACTTAGTCAGACATCCACTGTGTCTGATGCATGCGTACTAGAGAGGGTATTGCTTTTAATGCCCACTGCCATCACCGCTCACTCTGTCTAGGTCCAGACATCATGTGTCTGTCTGCTTTCTGGGTCTCTGCACAGACCGTGTGCAGCAGCCCGTCTCCCACACGGATCCTTGTGATGCTGATTCTGTGGGTACTTGTTTTTACAGCTGAAATGGAGCGCCAGGGCACCGACCATCTGGATCTGGCCGGGCTGCCACAGAGGTCAGCTAACAGCGACAGTACAAACACGCTGTCTACGACTCCAGAGAGCAGGAAAAAATCAGAGGGAATAAAGAAACTCTTTGGGAAGTGAGTAGAAAATAACATAGAAATTGTAGCGCTTGATTTTAAGAAGAACACACACAAAAAAACGTTTTTGTATATCGTAATACTGAGTTTTATCAATGTGCAAAACAATTCTATGGTAAAGGCTGAGATTTGATCATGGGAAAGTTTTAACATGTATAATTGAATGTCCTATTTTAAGGCTAAAAAGGAGTCAGTCTACTACATTTAACCTGGATGACAACCTACCAGAAGGTGACTTCAAGAGAGGCGGAGTGCGAGCCACAGCAGGACCCAGATTGGGTTGGTCTCGTGACCTCAAAACCGCAAACAAGTAAGTCTGTGTATTCAGCCTGACGAAGTGGTTGGCTTGTTTTGTACCTCTGGTGTGTTTAGAATCATGTGATGTTTTTTGTATGCCAATACAAAGGTGTCATAGGTTTTGACTACCTATTCATTTACTTCTTTTATTAGTGACGTCGATGCTCCTTTTGCACGCTGGTCAAAGGATCAGGTGTGTGACTGGCTGCAGGGGCAGGGTCTTGGCCTTCATGTGAACATGGCTCGCGGATGGATCTCCTCTGGGCAGACGCTGCTGCAGGCCTCACAGCAAGACCTGGAGAGGGTGAGAACAGGCAGAATAATTCATTAAGCCTGGCGGCGCATTGTTGGTAAACAGTAACTCGGACGATGTCTCTGTAGTCTTTACTTGTCCTTTTTTGTGGATGTTTAGGAGCTTGGCATCAAACACCCGCTGCACAGAAAGAAGCTGCAGCTGGCTCTGCAAGCACTGGGCTCCGAGGAGGACGACAATAAGGGAAAGCTGGACTACCACTGGGTGACGAGTGAGTGCCAGCGAGTACGATCTGAACGATCTGCTGGCCGAAGGCCTTTTTCTGCTTCACTGAAAATTGTATTTGACGTTTGCTCTTATATAAATGACGTTTTGCTCTTTCTGGTCACGGTCAGGATGGCTGGATGACATTGGTCTGCCTCAGTACAAGACCCAATTTGATGAGGGGAGGGTGGATGGTCGCATGCTGCACTACATGACAGTGGTGAGTGTTGGCGGGGCGATCTGCACGGCCCGAGCAGTAAAGGGCTGGCGACTCCAGCGGCGTCCCACGTTAGAATTATTGAGAGGCAGATGAGCTCCACTATGGACAGCCTGGTCTCACCATCCGTATTTGTCACCGCATCCGCTATACTTTGCTTTTGCAGTAAGTCATTGATGTCCAACTTTTGTTTGTCAGGATGACCTGCTTTCTCTGAAAGTAGGGAGTGTTCTGCATCACCTCAGTATCAAGAGAGCCATCCAAGTGCTCAGACTCAACAACTATGAGCCCAACTGCTTGCGTCGTAGGCCGTCTGACGAGGTGCGTTCCCTTTAAATCACCCGTTTCATATTCCACGGCTGTGTGAACACAGTATAATTGGTTGGGGGGAGGTTCATCCTCTTTCTATGAATTGTGCCCGCAGAACAACATTTCTCCAGCGGAGATTTCCCAGTGGACCAACCACAGGGTCATGGAGTGGCTGCGGTCTGCAGACCTGGCCGAATACGCTCCCAACCTGCGAGGCAGCGGCGTGCACGGCGGCCTGATGGTGAGGGCGTCTGGCTTTCAGTCTTCCTAAGGAACACCGATTCCCTCCTGAAAGTATCCACTACTAGTCACTTGCCACTCTTTTAGGTTCTGGAGCCACGGTTCAACGTGGAGACCATGGCTTTGCTGCTGAACATCCCCCCCAACAAGACGTTGCTGCGCCGTCACCTGGGCACACATTTCAACCTGCTCATTGGCTTAGAGGCCCAGCAGCTCAAACAGGAGTGTCTAGAAAACCCGGACTATACTCTGCTGACGGCCACCACTAAGGTCAAGGTAACGTAAGAGCTCTCATGGAAACACTGTCTGTTCTTTAAAAGAGTACTGCTAGAAGTTATCTTAAAGCCCCTGAATATCCAAGAAAACTTTGGATTTGACATGATGATATACCCCTTTAGAAATGGTCAATTCAAATGACTAAATAATGTTAAATCAGGCGATGTCGAATCAGTTCTGTCCATCAGAACTTCCTTGTTCTCAAATTGTACTGCCAACTAGCCTGATTTTCATCAGCAAAAAGAGCTCACCAAAATAAGAGTGGAGAAGATGTTATTTTTACACTTTACAATGATTTTCATGTGCATGTCCAACATGATTTGATATGCATATAAAGGGTGGCCCATTTTCCCTTTTTTAAAATGTGAAACATTTGTTTATTTACTTTAATTTGGTAAATACACAAACCTTGTAAGACATCATTCATTGCATTAGCATTACTGTTTGCATATCTGTGTATTGTAGTGTATAAAACACTTTATTTATTATTCTTTTCTCTTGTCGTTCATACCAGCCAAGAAAACTGTCATTTGGTAACTTCGGCAGTATTAGGAGAAAAAAGCAGGATGAGACAGAGGAGTATGTGTGTCCGATGGATGTGGAGATGCCAAAGGGACGAAGCTTTCAGAAAGGCTTTGAGCTCCAAATCTACGAGGATGACCTTGACAGGCTAGAGCAGGTGAGCTTTTCCCTCCATGGAACTGTGGACGGGTGGTTTGATTTATGCCTCTTACAAAAATGAACATCACTAACTGCATGTGCAGTATATCTGTAATATGTCAAAGACCTCTAATGTGTGCAATAAATGTAGAGAAGAAATAGTCACCGCTGTTGCTTAGCTGGTGGGTTTTTTCCCTGAGGATCTTCTCTCAGTCGTAGAGTCTTTACAGCCCAAGTTTTCATCCTCTATTGGGGGGTTTCAGTTGATTGATTTGCTGCTTCACAGATGGAGGACTCTGAAGGAACTGTGAGACAGATCGGAGCGTTCTCTGAGGGTATTCAAAACCTCACGGTGAGAATTCAACATTAAACAACGGACCGTGCTCAGCAATCATATTGTTTTGAAAAGCTTGTTATATTGCTTTCCATATTGTGTGTCTGATCAGAGCATGCTGAAAGATGATGAATTCTTCAAAGAGGCTTCAAATTCACCAAACCCGAGTGTAACGGATGAGGACTCCAACGCATGAGACCCGGTTCCCTTGTGACTGGAACGCTGTGCCAATACTTCTCCCGTTGCACACAGACTTCCCTCGACAAACCCCAACAACACTCTTTTCTTCTTAGTGTTACGTTCAAAGACGAGCCAAGAGTATTGCAATGTTTTATGCTTTTTATTTTTCATTTTTAAACATTGGTGTCTTGACAACCTACAGTCCAGCAGCCACTATCACTCCTGGTCGTTGTCTCGGTTACTGTCGTCTGATGAAAGCTGGGGAACCTTTGGGGCAACCCCACTGCTCGCCTGCCAGCTGGTTTCTGGAGTTGTTTACTGCCACAGTTCTATTTCTGATAGAACAGAGGTGTCAACCAGCAGAAGAAAATATGCCAATATAGATTTTAATATATGTCTTTTTAAATTCCTTTCTGACTTTAGAACTATTAAAGAAAGAAGTGATGTGCTGAGAAGATTTGCCCAGCTTTAGAAGTTGGTGTAAAGTAATAACTCCAAACGGCTGCTACGTTTTCTACAGAACTAAATCTTGCTAATTACATGGGAATTGTCATATATTTGATCCTACACTGAACATTTAACAGGTGTTCACTCAAAAGTAATATTCTACATGTATTTGCACCGATACATATCATACAGCACAACTTGTAATGACATGGTATTGAAATTCCACACATTTACAGTTTATTAACTTTTTGTTTATTTCTTGCTATAAACAAACTTTAATTGAATACAAGTTTTGGAAAGTGTTATTATTCAGAACTGTGATCTAACATTATGTCACATTTTTTTCCAAATACTATTGTCATAATACAACCCTTTAAATGTTTTTTTTACATTTGTTTTCTTAGATCAATAAAGTTATTTAAATGTTTCAATTTGTCAAAAGTTGCGGTACAGGTGCAAAGATTTGTCTATTTAGTTTCCTGAGCAAAAATCTGATTATCAAACTAGTCAACAATTCAAATTTGGTTAAATGAAGGTTTGATGAACCTGGAGACAAATGGCAGCAGTGGAATCATCACGTCATTGAAAACATCTTATAACCTCAGAGTCCTGATCAATCAATGCCATGTGTAAGTTTGTAACAATATTATCAAAAACTGCTTCATTGGGAACATGTGAGCACAACATTTGTGCAAGTTTTGTTTAATTATTAAACAACAGATGTTACAAATACTTGGATGTGAGAAGTTTAACTAGTACTGAGCAGAATTTGCTTGAGGAACATGCGACACGGGTCTTATGGGTCAGCAACCCCAAAGCAGCAAATTAAAGATAAATAAATGATATCAAAGTGCACGTATTCTAACGAGCTTTGGGCTCCAACTAGATAGTACTCTTGTCCCCATGTGGGGGACGACCTGCCGTTTTAGTGCTTCGCTCCATTGTTTCGTTGCTTTTAACGACAGCCCTAATTCAGGTCGTAAATGCCGCGCATTTAAAGAAACGCGGTTAGGGTCTCTGGACCGACATCAGTCGTCTGCAATTGTAGTTCGCGAACACATCTGGCAGAACCGCGTTCAGTCCGTGAGCTGGAGCGCCCTCTATTGGCTGTGCAGCCCAAACGTAAACACCACAGCGAGTTGGTTCAGGTTTGCGCATGCGCAATAAAAAGTTACGAAAATCAGGTTTGGACTTTACTGTCAGTGAAGGACTCAGCAGTCTGAGCTGTAGTTGTGGAAGAGGCATCATGGCTGCAAGGTCTGTATGTTTGTTTTGACCAAAATACTAATAAAAGGAATTTCCTTATATAGTCAGGTTAAGTTTCTGAAGTTATTTTTTGTCAATGCTACACAATAGACCCAAACACATATTTAATATCTACTCATTGGTGTATGTACAGGTTCTGTGGGCTCCTGGTCCTCCTCACTGTGTGTGTCGGTGGACTCAATGCATCGAGGTACAGTAGCCAAGCACTCACATCTCATGGGTTTATTGACTTTGCCAGTATTTGTCAATTTTTCTCCCATACCTGACTTTGTGTAACAGACTAGCTGTTGACCAGGAGCTGTCTGATATTTTCGACGAGCTGTGGAGGTTGGATAAGAACCGCCTGACTCCTGTGACGGACTACAACATCTCTGTTCAGGTGCGAAGCATATTCTAACGCTGACAGAACTCGGGCAGCTTTCTGCTTCCACAAACACGTATCCTGTGTTTTGACTGTGCAGGGTAGAGCCAGCTTTGTAAACCCAGGCAGCCACGTTGTGCGAGATTATGCTCTACAGCCTCTGTTCTCCGATGTTAACGAGAACAAACTGGCCAACACAACCACGTACTCCCGTGAGTGTCTCTCTAACACACAGAATATGTTTCACCTTTCTAGAAATCAAAACTCCACCTCATTTGCCGCCTTCACTGGAATGAATGTGACTTTTTGTTTTGCTCTGCAGGCTTCATAAAACTCCTGAACAACTACGAGCGGTCCACAGGCGTCGCTGAGCAAGTCACGGCAGAGGAACGGACCGAGATTGATCTCTTCCTGGATGCTGTCCTAGAGACAGAAGTCATGAAGGTACATTTCACATGTTTTTGTCCAACATTCTTTTCCTGTTGGTTCTGTTGCACAACACTTCGTTCCTTGCCCCCTTTTTGTTTGCCTCTTCCCAGAGTAGGAACACGATGTACCATATGGAATATACATGCTCCCGACACTCTTTCTAGTTTGTTACCAACTGTACTGCAGCACCGAACAGATAACTTGGATGTTTGCGAGAATTCAAAACAGATGTGTGCAGCTGTGGAATGCTGTGTTGGCTTCAGCTTTTCTCCCCAGAGAGGAAAGATTGGAAAAAACATGCAGTATGATTAGAGCGACCTGATGGGTGTTTTGACATCAGGAGGGGGAAGAGGACAGAAACATATTTGATATTTGGTTCCCTCTTGTTAATTAAGGTTGTTGAAAGATCTTCATTAAGACATTTTCTAATTATTTCAATAAATACTAAAGTTCAATACATTTTAAAATACGGTTGCTTTTATGACAGTACAGACAGGCCTCTGGTTTAGTTCAAATCTTCTTTAAACGACTGAAAACATATTGACCTTAATATTAGAGAAGAGATAAGTTAGGAAGGCTATTGTAAGACTTTGTTTTTGATTATGTCTGCCTGTTTGGATCAATAGAGCTGTGTGTCATCGCTGTGATTTGTCAACAGCGGGCTCATCGGTACCTGGTGAGCAAAGCAAAGTCCAACTCTGACCTGAGGCGCTTTAAGAGTCAGCTGTATTTAATCTGGTTCAACTTCTACCACCGGCAGAGAAACGCAGGGTGAGACACACAAACAGCAGGCGATGGCTGTTTGTCTACGTGTGCAGAAAAGCGATCACAGGATTTACTCTGATTGTGCAAAATGCTGTGATTTGTTTCATATTTAATTTAATTTTTGTCATCCCTAAACCTAAACATTCTCCAGCCTGGACTCCTGTGGGTTCGAGCATGTGTTTGTTGGAGAGACGAGATCTGGAACAGAAATTATCGGTTTTCACAACTGGATCCAGTTCTACCTGCAGGAAAAAAGCACACACTTGGACTACAAAGGATACAAGGGCAGGAACTTTGACCTAGTGAGTAAACCAGTTCATCAGACAAAGAGAAGCCTTTCTTTCTGTAGCAACGTCACCAGCTGCCTCCGTCTTTATTCCTTTTCTTCACCAAACTGAACGTTTATGTGTTTCTCCTCTCAGCCCGATCAAGACGACCACGTTCTGAACCTCCAGTTCAGCTGGCATGGTTTGGTGAAGCCCGTTGGCAGCACCTTCATCGGGACCAGCCCGGAGTTTGAGATGGCGATCTTCACCATCGTCTTCCTCAGGAGCACGGAACGGAGCACCACGGTGCTGGTCAACATTGACCAGTGTCAGATGGAGCTGGTGGTCATCAGACATGGACGCTCCCTCGGGACGGCGTACCCAAAGCTGCTTAGCAGCAACAGCAGACATGTTGGGCAGCAGCACTCGCGCTGATGTGCTACTCACTTCAATATGTTCATGCACGACGGGCTGAGGTACAAACTGGGGTTTAGACCACAGACCTTCTTAGTATAGCACCTAGATGTTTAAACATCTCATATTTTATCAGAACCACTGTAAACATGATTCATTTATGATGAAAATGCGATTTCAATAAAAGTGATGGGTGTTTTTTAAAGTCAACAATTAATTAAATGTCCTGTAATTTAACCTGTGTAATGCATTAAAATAATATACTAATTTAATTGAATTGGCTGTGAGTATGTGGAAGAAACGCTAAAATCCTATCAACAAATTGCTAATTTTGAGTAATCAGTGTGAGAATTAGTGTTGCATTATCAATATATTAATATGAGTCCCTCAATACTGACCGTTAATTGGACATTTTAGTACTGGAGACCGGAGTACACTGCAATAAAGACAAATTGGACGAGAGGCCATGCATGGTTTGCTTGTTCCCATCCGATCAACTATAAAGTACATTTTATTTTCCAAGTATGAGTTTGTACTGAAGTTCAGACAATAAAATATTCTGATAATCACACCTACAACAATGCACATGTGGATCTCCATACACTTGTTGCAGAAGATTAGAAATCTTTTTTCAGCCAAAGAAAAACGACAACATGCGGAACACTTACTTTACACTTATTTTACTTCTTCCCGCACGGACGTTTTACAGTGTAACACCAGAGCGGGGCTGCACGCTTCGGCCACTTCCGACCACACGATAGCACCATCGTTCGCCGGTGCGAGCCGAGGAGTCTTTTAGGTGTTCGCCGCGGGACGCCGGGGAGAAGCATGGAGGTGCTGGGAGGAGAGTTCGGTGACTTGACTCCTCAGGAGCTCGCGGCTCCTGTCAACACGGTGGCGGTGAGTCGCGTGCGGATGACGATTCGAGAGCTTCCTCCACGAGCGCAGACGCTCACGTTAGCGCGGCGGCCATCGCTACACACTAGACATAGTCAATAATAACAATAATAATAACAGTAAACCGCTTCTGGAGGGACGTGTGAACCTTAATCACACGCGCGGTTTTCAGTTGTAGCGTCTTGAAATGTCAGTTTGCGAATTGAAGATATCGTGTCAACTTTAACTTGCGAAACATAAAGTGTTTTAAACCATTTACCGTCTCAGCTGGTGAATAAATAATCCAGTAAAACCTGATGTGTTATTTATGTATTTTCTTTTCATTTTACAGGAAAAATGGAAACTGTTACCAGCTTTTCTAAAGGTAACAGGTCAACATTAGTGCCCCAAATATCCCAAACTGAATTAAATCTTTCATGTTGTCTATAAATCCTCTGTCATTATTTATGTAGCATACAGTTATATTGCGATGAAACAGGAAATTGCGTGGGATACCAACCGGTATACTATAAATGGATAAAATATAGGGTAGAGTCTGCTTTAATGTAGAAATGACTTACGGATTTGCAACCTTGCCTATAACATATTGATACCTTAAAGTAACCGATGTTAATTATTTAAATTGTTCTCTTTCCATCTGGTCAAAACAACGTACGTTTCTGTTGGATCAAGTAATCACACTAATTGTATCAGCACTTGAGTACAATCTATTTACTTCACCGTGGACATTTTTCATTTCACTGTGTGACCTGTTGCTCGACCTGTTCTGCAGGTGAAAGGACTTGTGAAGCAGCACATCGACTCCTTTAACTACTTCATCAATGTTGAGGTGAAACACAACTCTTAACTTGGATTTGTGTACAGCTGTGTTGTTATGTCCATGTGTTCATGTTGTTTATGTCTGCTCTTCCAGATAAAGAAAATAATGAAAGCCAATGAGAAGATCACAAGTGACGCTGATCCTATGTGGTATCTCAAGTACGTAGTTTGAACATCATTTCGGTTAACCGACATCAATCCAACCCTATGGACATCCACAGAGCAGCTTGTGTTGAGAATATTGATTTTATGCTTTTAATATTCATAAATGATTTCCTTGCAAGATACCTCAATATCTACGTCGGCATGCCGGATGTTGAAGAAAGCTTCAACGTAACCAGACCAGTATCTCCTCATGAGGTGAGCTTAGTTTGTTGTGTAATATTAAGAAAGATTTGTGCAACAGCAGTCAAACATCTTATTTAATTTTTTTTGTTAATTAGAAATAATTTGCACTTGACAGATAATTAATGAACATATTTATAATTGCACAAATTTAAAATATTCAGAGGTTGCAGCTTCTCAAATGCGAACATTTTCTGTTTCATTTTTTGAACATTTAATCAAAGTACTGTAATCACAAATATTCTAGTTTCTTAAACTTTAATGGTTTAAGCTAAACATAGATAATAATAAAAAGTTTTGTTATAATGCAAAAAATTATTAACATATGGTGACCTAAAATTTCCAAACATTTAATTCGATGTTCCTGTTGTTTTTTACAGTGTCGTCTCAGAGACATGACCTATTCAGCGCCCATCACAGTGGACATCGAGTACACTCGTGGCAGTCAGAGAATCATCCGCAATGCGCTGCCCATCGGAAGGTATCGTAGTCTTACTTCCTTCCCTGATTTAGTTTACTATCTTCGTAGACAAAACTTAACAAGTCAAAAAGACATTTCATCAGTCAACATCCTTCACTCACTTTTAATTCTAGGCTCCTTTTTTCATTTAACTTAAATGTTAACTTCCACTCCAACAATGACCAACTGTATATCAATAACTTACCCCGTGTTGCCTTGAAATCCCTCAAAAGCTCTTTTCAGTAAACAAAATATAAAAAGATGAGAAGAGTCTTGATGAATTAAGTGTGATATGAGCAACTGCATGCTGATCAGCTGTCGTTAAACAAAGCCACCATTTATTTCTAATCAAGAGTTGCTCTACGCATGAAAAGGTTTTTTTCAGAGAGGTTGATTATGTTGAACTGTAATTTTACAGTTCTAGCTTTTGTTCATAATGGATACAAAATAATCTACAAACACACACAGCAGTGTATAAAGTGATTTAAGTTGATTTTGATACTTCTTTTTAATTAACTTTGCTTTTTTCAGGATGCCGATCATGCTGCGAAGCTCAAACTGTGTTCTCACGGGAAAGACGCCCATGGAGGTTTCTAAACTCAACGAATGTCCTCTGGATCCAGGTACACAACGGATGACACTGAATCAGAGCAATATCACATCACAATCACCAACACAGTTTTACTTTTGCGTTGGTGATTTATACTTTCCATGTGGTATTTCTTCACAGGGGGGTATTTTATTGTAAAGGGTCAGGAGAAAGTAATTCTGATCCAGGAACAGCTGTCCAAGAATCGAATCATTGTGGAGCAGGACAGGAAGGGAGCCGTGGGAGCCTCAGTCACCAGGTACTGTACCAACGTCTCCCCTGATCATAATAACAGGCAACTGCTTGTGAAGCACGCAAAACGTCAAAAGACATTATTGGTCTCAAATGAGTTCTTGAAATGTCGTCATTCTTTTTTTACTCTTTGCTCCATTCCTAATCAAAATAAAATCATGGATGTCATTATTTTGGGTTCGCCTGCAGCCATGCAGCATAGGTTTCCCTAGACATCTACTGATGAAACTGAGCTGTCTTTGAGATACGAGAACACTTGCATTAAGCCTGACTTAGTGTCCATATACATGCAGTGCTTCATACCCATTGTATGCGTCTTTGAGGTCAAACAAAGTAGTTGCAATTCTTGTATTGCAATTCTTCCTCAGAAAGCATTTGCAAAGACAGATTTCTTTTTTTTATAAAAAGCTTTGGTAGGAGTTTGTATTGGACATCCTATCACGTGCACAATAAACAAAGCAACGATCCACTGTGATGGAATTACATAGAACATGTTACACTTTTGTTTTTGTAACTTTCCATCACTTATGTTATTGGAAAACATTTAGCTTTCTTTGTCAAACCTTCTGGATCTTCATCTGCTTTGATTTTGAAATCTTATCTTCACTTTCAGCTCCACTCATGAGAAGAAAAGCAGAACAAATATGATTGTCAAACAAGGGAGATTCTACCTGAAGCACAACACGCTGTCGGAAGACGCCCCCATTGCCATCATTTTCAAGGTGCAAGAGTTGTTGATGGTCCCGGTTTAACTGAACTTCCTGTAGGGGGGGCTGCAAGTCAGCGAGTTTTCTTTGTCAATGATGTCGCTTGCTGATAAACACCTTAGTTGATGGCATAATTTTTAATTATTTGCTTTTGTTTGCTGCAGCTTGCTGACCTGTCTGCAATGGATGATTTTTGCACTGCTTGAACAATTCATACTGCATTTTTTAAAAATAGGTTTTGTTTGCACGTTAGTGTGCAGTCAGAGCTCAATCGTTTCAGCGATTCTTCATCAGATTCATTTTCACGTGTCGCCATTTGCTCTCGTTGAAAATGTCAGTTAGCCGGCTGGCTTCATTAACTTCTTCCCCCACTAGAGACAAATCCCTCCGAACACGGCAACTGGTGGGTCTGCGGTGTTTGGAGCTGAAGTCATTGTCCACAGGGCACTCGTGGATATGCTCGCTCTGTTTGCAAACGAATATCCTGGATGACCCCCGCCCCCCCCCCCACCCCGTGTCGGCTGGCAGAAACAACTTCACATTTCCATAAACAAATGTCACACAACCTCACGACTCCCAGTTCCCTCCTCCTGCTGTGTGCACTGCTCCTCCTTTTGCCCGCTGCTTCACCTCTTCCAGTTGCTAGTGGCAGAGTGTCTACTTTGTGTACATTTCACCTACTTTCAAAGCTCTGTGTGTAGCCACAGGAATGAAATATTAGTCCACACTTTGTTCCTGTAACGTGCCTCTTTGCCGGTCCCTCTCGCAGGGTATGGGCGTAGAGAGCGACCAGGAGATCGTGCAGATGATCGGCACAGAGGAGCATGTCATGGCCAGCTTCGCCCCGAGCCTGGAGGAGTGCCAGAAGGCTCAGATCTTCACTCAGACTCAGGTACCTCAGTGGTCCATGTGTGGTGGAAATAGTTATCAAATCATAGGAATACTCCCCGGATTTTACACCTGCAAAGCTAACAAGCAACGTCTTTATCGGCCGTTGTTTAAAAAAACAAAAAAAACATGAGAAAATTATTAAATTGCATATTATAATAATTCACAAATAATTAGTTAAATAATATAATAATAAAAAAATAAAAAGTACATAAAAATCAGAAGACAAAAAAATAAATGCGAGTAGAACCAGAACGATTATAAACAAATGAAGTCTTTGAGAAATAACCCAGACATCATCCTGGATTCATCCTGAGCTTGAAAAGTTAAGTCTTTTTACCAGACACATTTTGTGGAAATGTAGGATCCACTATTTAAATTGTCAGCCCATCTTGACCTCGGCCCTTATTAAACCTGTTGAGGAATAATGGGAGATGAAAAGACTGATACCGTTCATGTCTGAGCAGTAGATATAAACTTGACGACAGATGAACTCGGTGTTACG